ATCACCCGGTGCACCTCCGGTCGGGGGGCCTCGGGGGGGTGCGCGGCGAGAGGAGAGAGAGACGTAGAGACAGGGCGGGAGACGCAGGGGGCACGCCGGGGTGGCGGCCCGCGGAGTATCGACCCGCCGAGGAGAAGGCAGCCAGGGTCGCCGTCGCCGGGTTTTGTCACTATAGGTATGCCGCGGATCGGAGGAGGTGCCCCGAGACGCCGCCGGGGGGGCCCGCGGCGCCACCCTCTGGGACCGGGACCTCCGTCCGCGGCCTCCACTTTTCCGGATTCTCAGCTCGAGCCGCTCTCTCTCTCTCCTCACAGGGCGGAATTAGATCTTCAAGGTGAAAGGTCCGGCTCCTCCTCGGCAAGGGTTCTACATAACCCCTTCGCCACACCTCTGGCGACTCGCCGTTGAATATAATCTTGACATTTTATAAACTTCCCCCTGGAAGTTTACAGGCTTGACTTATACCAACTTTCTGACGTACTTTCAAACAAAACCGGCGACATACGTCCGGTAGGGTGTACATGGTGGGATAAGATCGCAAACCTATTTGGAAGTCCCCGGAAATGCGTATACGGATTCAGGTTTAACTCCTCGCCGTCATACTTTGACGAGTCTGACTTGAGATATAAATGTTGGGTTAAAAGAAACGAAAAGAAATGCTCCCGTGGTGCGAGCGTCTTTCCTCGGGATTTCGGCCGACTTTGAACATTTTGCACGGATCACCTGGGCTCGGGTTTTACCGAGATAATTAGTACGGCAAGGGGTTAACGGGGTGCCACCCCCTTGGCATACCTGGAGCCTCTGTCTCGAGAAGCTCCACGGTGCAAAAGGTCCTGGCGATACGGATACCACTTTCTTGAGCGGCTCCTCGGGGTCCGCGGGGTCAGGGGTCGCGAGCGTCGCGGCGCCCTCCCGTTGGCCCGGCTCCGCGGGGTGTGGCCACGCGTAACGACCTGGACCGTCTCCCTCTCTCTCCCTCCTTGGATCGGCGGGCGCGCTCCGTCTCGCTCCCTCGCCTGTTCTCTCGCGGTCCCGGCGGGCCGCGCGCAGTCCCACTACCGCGAGCGCCGCCGCCGGTGATAACAATAGGTCGCCGCCTCGCCTAGGGGAGGGGTCGGACGCGCAAGCTCGCCGCGACGCCGAGCCGACAAGCAGGCGCATCGCCGCCCTATGACAATGGGCACCGCCGGCCCTCCGAGGCGCGGCGCATTGTCATCCGACGCTCTCTGCCCATGCGTCGATGCGCACGAACCCCATTGTCTCCGATGGGCGGCTCTAGACGCGACGCCGCCATCGGCGCGCCGCGACGTCGACGGGGTCTGAGAACTCGATAGAGTTTCGCGGAAAGTACCCTCCAAAATCTTACGCGAACAGCTGCGATACTTGACGCTGAAATCCGGCACTTAGATTCGACAATTACTTATTTCGCAATTAACCCTTTAACCTACGGGGGCCTTTAGAAAATAATAGATCCAGGTAGAAGTTTCATATTGGGCGGTGTCAAGTCGAGAAAATATTCAACGTGAACACCAAATTAATTTTATAAACATTTTTACGTGTTTACGTATGCGCTTAAAGACGCTTGGAGCCTAGCGAATGCATGTATCGGGCATCTACGGGATCCGCCATGTTGGAAACATGTAATTCTAATGATTTTTTCAACACAAGCATCTAGTTAATTTACTATTCTTTAGATGTATTTCCTTTCGGGAATTGAAATCTCATGAGTTTTAGGACGTTCCTTAGGACCGCCATAATCACGTGCTGAGGTCTTAAATGTTTATTGTCGAATTATTCTCGACGCTCAAGAAGAAGGCATCGGTTTCCAAGATGGCCGCCGCCAGGACCCCTTCGAGGGTTCCCCGACCCCACCTGGCGAACGCTTCGCGTATTTTGTTAATAACCGGGGAATTAACTTTGTTATCGACGTTATTGTCGCGATTAGGAGCGTTAATAAGACCCCGACGTGGAGATTCGTGGCGTCTTCGCTATCGTCGAACGAGTCTATCCTCGCGGCCGATTATCGCCGCGTTTAAATATCGCGAACATGCCCCGTTTCGGAATAAATTTCACGGGAATCAGCGGGATCACGCGGCCGTGCCGCGCGATAAACCCGGTTCTCGCCCTTTGGTGCCCGGGGGACGGTTACATCGTGTAAGTTTGCGATACATCTTCATGCGGTGGTTGACACGGCGCCTCCAAGATGGCGCCCATTAAGCGGCCCCGGGAGCGCGACGCGCGCCCGGAATTCCCCTCGATTACGTTAATAACACGTTGGCCCGGCCCCATAATCGGCAATTAATCCGGGATTTGTCACTGCCGAAGGATCGGGGCCCTCTTTTCCCGCGGTGTCGGGACCAGACGCGATAATTTGACTAACCACTGCAGACGGCTCTGGCCGGCCTTCCACGCAACGAAGAGGACGCGCCGCTCGGCAACGAGCCAAACGGGCCGGCAAAGAGCTTCGAAAAGGAAAACGACGAACATTTGCCCGGAATTATCTCCTCTTCCGGTCCGGCTTCTTTATTCCGCGCGTCCTGTGGTATGACTCCTGGAAACGTTATTCAAAATGGCGCCCGGCTCCCTTTTAGCCGAAGTATAAACGTGCCCGTTAAAAATCCAATAAAAAAACTCAATTTACCGCATACCATTCTGTCAGCTACATTTAAACTATAAAAATGTGATGTCAGTTTCGCACATGCAGAAAAAGAGATCGGCCGTGAATTCATTTGCTAGTTTAAATAAAGTCTGTCAGTGCGATATAAAAATATATTGTAAATAAAAGATAGGACATATAAGTTTCCGAAATTCATATCAATGTCAAGTAGCTAAATTGTGTTACTATTTACGTATAAATTGAGGGGGGATGTATGCCGTTAAATAAACTATCATGGAATCGTCGTTTGACGTTACATTAATTTTCGGTAAGACGGTAACGACGATCTTGTGACATTTCAGAACAAGTACTTAGACTCGCATTGCCCAAATGGAAACGAGACGTGCTTAGCTCTCGCGATTTGCACGCGATTAAACGAGCACAGCTCGGTCGGGAAAACGCTCGCGCGAGTACGCGAATCGCTCGAATTAGTGGCTGCACGTTGCTCGCTGATATCGGAGTGTGTCATAACGCGACAGGATAATTCGCCTCTGGAATTTCGCCGAGCGATTGGACGTTTCGCGATGCATTGGCTCGGCTACCGGCGGGATATATATTTCCTCATCCGCCGAATCCGGCTAATCGATAGCAGATTTGCAATTCATAGGCGCGAAATTCCATACTACGATCTAACGGAGAAATCGAACTCGATCGACTTTGAAGATAAGTCGAGAAATTGATCTGGGATTTCGGAAGAGAGATCGTTTCCCTAGAAACGGAATTCGAGTTTACCTGTTTAATGACGCGTGTTAAGAGACACGCTAGAGTTTCACGCCAAGTATACATAAAGGCGGAATAAGTATAATCTGCGACGAGACTAGACTTGTCATCAGATGACCATTATTATTAATAAGGTTACGTACCATATTATTAAAAAGGTATCCTATTTCCCAGCCACGTTTATAAGGGTATTTCGTTATTTTTAGTGTCAATAAATGGCGGCTTCCCTGTATCGAGACATTCAGTGGCGTGTGAGGAAACGAACTGTCCTCACAGTTGGGTAGAGTCCTATAATGTTTTACGAGAGAAGTGCAGGAAGAAGAGGACGTGCTTACTCAGTCGTAAAGGTGCATCGTCGGGATAATACTCCTCACGGGGGTCCGGGATCCCATTCACGAGAGGGGAAATCCCGCAGGAGAACAAGGGTCGTTACAAAGTCCCAGAGATGCCTATAAAGGAATGAAAAGCAAACGATGAAGAATTACACCGAAAACCCTAAAAGCATATGATGCTTCGTCGCCGATTTAAGTGTAATAAATCATTCATCCTGATATTCAATATCGATTGCAAGTTACTATAATCTCTAGTTATCGCCGGTCTCATTGTTTCTACTTTAATAATTAATTCTTCCCCTGTGGCCTTTCGCGTTATTTCTAGTTACCTCTTAATTCTTCATCGGAAGAAGAATTCACCATACTTGCGGAGACTCATCTCGGCGAGTTGGATGGAATGGAAAATTAATGGAATCCTCTGTTCGCAGTCGACTCGACCGGGAAGCACCGGAGCGATCGAGTGTCCTAATACGGCGATCCCCGGGAGACAAAACCTGTGGAGTGTCTCTTCTTCCTTGTTTTCCAACTCTCCTCCGGAAAGACGTCCTGATCGAGCGCGAGTGAGCCACTAGCCGGTTATTTTTAATGAAATATTATAAATGCATTTAGAAATACGTAACAGTAAATGGTCAATCGAATTGTCATGTTACATTTTCTGCATTTTAACTAGCCGGCTCTTCCTGTTATGCTTATAGTTAATCAGACACCGAAGTCGCATTTTGCATGCGGCAAATGCTTTAACATGTAATGCAATAGTTATACGCATGATGATCAAACACCGGACAGCTGGCGCCATTTTAAAATACATGAAAAGGATTTTCGGTTAGTCATTTATTCCCAGAGCGATCGTTACTTACATCGAGACTTTCAACGGGTCAACGATATGAAGGAACTACCTTGCCCGATTTAAACTTCCTCTGGAGTCGTGTAATTCGTGGCACCGCCAATGAGGGCAGCACTAAACGGATTATCACGGCGATGGCGGGAACTAAATGGAAGGTCTGTGTAACCCAGCGCCGCCATTTTGAATCATGTACGCATTGTTACCATCTCCCCAGTATTAATTACTGATATAATAGAGCATTAACGTAATCCTGATTTTATAGAAACGAGCAGCGCGATTCTCTGTAAACGATGTCCAGGAATGCTAGACAAATATTACAATGCATATAGTAGATATGGTAATATTTAGATGGAGCTATAAAAAGTGTGTACAGTTTTAGGGATTCCGCCAGAGGAAGCTGCAAACGCACGATCTCAAGAATCTTTTCGTAAAGGATCTAAAGAACGATTTGATGGTTCATCTCGGAGAGTGTTAAATTCCACCTTTGTCGAGTTCCCTCGTCCAGTTAATGTTATGCTTCATTCAAATCTGAAAATATGTAATCCGCACCGAAAACCTCCCGATGACCCGTGAATCCTTTCGGAGCTGACTCCTTCCAATTAATTGGAATCTCTTCTTAAGTATGTAATTCGCGTGCCAGTACACGTAATTATAAACTAAGGGCCACTGTAAAGAAGATTATTTCACTGACTGGTTGTGCAAAAATGAATCTGTTATGAAAGTCGACAGGTATGGTTATCAACGGCCATATTATTTATTTTTATGTCAGCGAGAATGTCATGCTTAGATCGAGCCCTGACATTCATTTTGGATTTGGAGCATATTTGTTGCAATTCTGGAATCTACGGATCGAATGAAGTAATTAAAACAATGATGTCTTTAGGTAAGGGTTGAAGTCTGGTCGGACCGTATTATTATTCTTTCCATTCCGATTGAAAGCTGCATCGTAAGAAAATGTATAGGTAAGTTTCTCAGTGTCAGCTTCAATTATTTGCGGGTATATGTTACAGCGAGGAAATTATTTTCAGTAGAACATGTGCCAGAATTCTTTTGCATCCTGGGTTAGCTGACCGAGGCTCCCTTTACTGATCTGAACACTGGTGGAAAATAATGAAGGATAAAATGCCACCATTTCGCAGGAAAAAATCTGGAAAGTCATTTCCCGTCAAGGTCTGCACATTGGATGCGGAGCTCGAGTTTAATCTGGAGGTTTATATAAGTTATATATCGACGTGGATACTGTGAAAACAAAGGCAATGAACATTAGAGATAAGTTTCTATAATTTTGCTTTTAGTGGAGAGCTACGGGAAGGGATTTATTTGACTTGGTCTGCCGCACGATAGGACTTAGAGAAACATGGTATTTTGGGCTTCAGTATGAAGATGCAAAAGGTTTTATATCATGGCTCAAATTGGACAAGAAAGGTAAGACTAATCATTGCGTTATAGGAACGATCCTTTAGAAGTATGCCCAAATGTATAACAAAGTAAATTGATTTTAGTTCAAGATCAAGGTATTTCGCAACAGCCCACAACACCTTTCATGTTCCTTGCCAAATTTTATCCAGAGGATGTTGCGGAGGAACTAGTTCAAGAAGTCACTCAGCACTTATTTTTTCTCCAAGTGAAGCAGGCCATTCTTTCAATGGACATATATTGTCCTCCAGAAGCTTCTGTCTTATTAGCATCATATGCTGTTCAAGCAAAGGTAACGAAGCATTGGTGTTAACGGTGATGTATCGCAGCATGCATTGTTCAAGCCTTTTGCAATGTATTACCTGTTTCCATGTACACTAAAAGTATGGAGACTATGATGAAGTTTCCTACCGTCCTGGAATGCTAGCTAGTGAAGACTTACTACCACAGAGAGTTATCGATCAATACCAAATGACTCCTGAAATGTGGGAAGACAGGATAAAAATATGGTATGCCGATCATCGTGGAATGTCTCGCGATGAAGCAGAAATGGAATACCTTAAAATAGCTCAGGACCTTGAAATGTACGGTGTTAATTACTTTCCAATTAGTGTAAGTACCACATAAAAGATTCCTTATGGCCTCCATAATTATGTGTTAAAATTTTAGATAATTCGATATTACCCAGTTCAGAGAAATATTTCATCAACGATTAATCCCTTAGATGTCACTTTTATATCATCTTAATATTAGAGTATATATAATGAAATATGTATTTCAGAATAAAAAGGAAACCAATCTTTGGCTCGGCGTAACGGCACTTGGATTAAATATTTATGAGAAGGAGAACAAGCTGACTCCGAAGACTACGTTCACCTGGTCCGAGATCCGTCACATTAGCTTCGACGACAAGAAGTTTGTGATAAAGCCTGTGGAGAAGGCTTCCCCTAACTTCGTCTTCTTCTCTCAGAAAGTTCGCATGAACAAATTGGTAAAAAAACAGTCAGATGTTGGCAGCTGGGTGAAGGGCTTGGTATCTGTAGGCTTCGACGAGCATAACACTGAGAAAGTTGCTCGTGTATTATTTGTTAAGATTCTGGACCTGTGTATCGGCAACCACGATCTGTTCATGCGGCGACGTAAGCCTGACTCGATGGAAGTTCAACAGATGAAGGCGCAAGCTAAGGAAGAAAAATCTCGGTGAGTCTATTCATTGGTTTTTAATACTTTCAATTGGCTGCCTTTTTTACGTTGCTACCTGTGAATTGTGTTTTAGCTTATAAAACCATTCGCAATGTAATATACGTTAACCATGTGGCTGTTTCTTAATGATGTATTTATTTTTTTCTACTTACACTAGCCTTGACGATTGTGCATGATGTGTTGTTTAATAATAGTCATAAACTCAGTACATACACGAACAGAACATATTACTTAACATGTTGCATTAAACATGTTATATTAAATCAGTATTATATTTGGATCTCAAATATTTTGTTTCTCTTTTTTAATTACTTTTACAAGATTGGTAGCATCGTAAAAAAAAATAGCCTAGAAATAATAATGTTTCTTCCAAAGTCACAACTCATTCCGTCGTAAGGTTTTTCTGTCGACTAAGAAGATCCGGAGATCCACAAGAAGCATTTATTAATGTGATACAAGTGACATGCTTTAACATTTGTAGCTTTTGACAGTCAAAAACAAAGTATAATCTAATTTAATAATGTCCTTATGGCAATATTTGATAATGACAAAACGTTTGGCCAAATTACTAGGTAAGTAGCATTTAAATCTCATTGTAGACAAAAGTACGATATGATGGACATTATCACCTTTCAAGAAGGTAAGACAACCGATTTCATGCCGATTGGAAATATTGATTGATAATTGAGCTTGAATGCAGTGAATCGTGGCCCAATATGTTGGATGATAAATTTAAGCTAATTTTACAATAATAAACTAATTTAACGTATACTTATTATTTGTTTATCTAATTATGGCTGTGCTTGTCTTAAAAATAGGAGGCAAATTGAAAGGAATAAATTGGCCCGAGAGAAGCAGTTGCGAGAAGCTGCAGAAAGAGAAAAAGCTGCCATGGAACAGAGATTGTTACAATATCAAGAAGAAATACGATTGGCGAACGAGGCTTTGGTAAAATTCTAGAATTCGATTTGACGTCATTTATGCCCTAAATTTAAATATTTAAATTTATTGAATCTCATTTTGCAAGCAGTTAAGAATATAGGTTATTTTTTGCAGAGACGATCCGAAGAAACAGCTGATCTCCTTGCCGAAAAAAGTCGGGTGGCAGAGGAGGAAGCTCTCTTACTAAGTCAAAAGGCGTCAGAAGCTGAGCAGGAAATAACACGGATTAGGTTAAATAACATGAAGACAGAAGAGGAGAAGGTTCATTTAGAAAGGAAGACTCGTGAGGCAGAATTGCTAACCGAGAGGCTCGTACAGGAGTCAGAGAGAAGAGCTGCGGAAGCTGAGAAATTGAAGGACGAGCTTCTACGTGCAAGGATTGCTGAAAAGGAAGCGAAAGAAAAACTCTTAGAATTCCTTAGCAGAAATGCCTACACTGCTGCAATAGCTGTCAGTATATACAGATATTCTTTTTCTTTTCTTTTTTAAATATCTAAATTTTGAGTGTCGAGGTATCCCTTAGATGCTCACGAGTCATATATTAAAATTTCGGCCAGGTGGATCGATGCCGTTAAAAAAGTGTGTTCTTCGAATTGATTAGCTTTGAGGATTTTATGTAACCTTAAACACTTTAATTAAACTTAATTTGTATCTTTTTACAGCCCGTACCAAATCTCTTCCCTTCGACACAAGTGCTTCCATCAGAGCTGCAAGCAGACTTGCAGACTCTACAGTTAGATGCCGAGCCACTGCCTACAGATCTTACATCATACGATCTGATAGCCGATGGAGATGTCGACCAACTGTCCCTAGAAATTGAGAAGGAACGAGTGGACTATTGGGAAAAGAGCAAGCACTTACAAGAACAGTTGAGAGAACTAAGATCGGAGATCGAAGTGATGAAGGTCGGTGAGAAACAATGCGAACTGGATCAGCTTCATGACGAGCAGGTGCGACTCGGGGAGAACAAGTATAGCACGCTTAAGCGAGTTAAGTCAGGCTCTACGAAAGCTAGAGTCGCCTTTTTCGAAGAACTTTAAGGACTGCGACATGCGACCGATGGTCGACGTCTAGGAGGTTAGGTCGAAACGTGGCAGAACGCACATATATTTTCATGTACGTTGCGTGTATCATGACCTGCATCTGTATGAAATTTATATATATACATATAGAGAAAGAGAGTAAAATCGTATACGTGGACTCGTGCACTCGAATGTGTACATACGTTCCTCGACTGCAGTAGTGTGTACGAAAGGATGACTTAGAACTAGGTTAGGAGACAATCATTGTTATACCAGTTACTTTGTTAGGGAAGATTTCATCGCGTTAAACGAATCGACGCGCATAGAGGTGCGACTAACGAAATTACTGTAATATATTAATATTCCGTTACGTTTATAAGATCTAGTTTGCTTCCTAGTGCAGTATTTACATGGTACTAGCGGATACTGAGATGACCAGTGCACATATCTGCTCTCTCAAAAATCTGACGCAACTAACACCGAATGTCATTTTACAATTACTCTAGGCTGTGGCGAATATATACATATATGTATACACATATAAACACACATATATGTTATGCACGTTATACATGCATACAGTTTTAGGGAACCGCATATATTTTTTAACATTTTAACCAATTGCACAGAAACACTTTTGAATGGTTTATCGAGTACTGCTATCATTCTGTGCTCGTAGTGAAATGATTTAACCGTTGACTCTTTAGACGGAATTTTATCGACTGACATTAAAATACCGTAACTATGAGTTAGGCGTTTCAAAGGATTTTTATTTCACTGTCTATTCGTTTGTCGTATGTTTTGCGTCAGAATATGTGTGTATAATTTAAAGTTTCCACTGTTTTTTTTTCTCGTTAACCATCAAACTATTGTCCCGAGATATCTATTACCGAATTCCCAATATACGTCTTTTTAATTATTTAGTTTTTAACCGCTTAGTTAGGAGTTGTAATTTCCTTAACATGAATATTTGTACCCTACTGAGTCGTTAAAACTTTATTAAGATAGCCTTAGACGTATACGTGAATATATGGTCGCGCGAAACTTGTACGTATGGTCGCCGAGTACAATTAAGTGCCTTGTTGTAAGTGCTCTCAATTTGTTAATATCATAGTAGTAAAACAAAAGCTGGCGTTGCCGGAGACCTATACATTAATTCAAATAATATTCTTCCCTTTAAAGGCGAGGCGAAATGTGATTGGTGATTCTGTTATGTCAACAATGAAAATGAAAAACCCAGTTACAAGTTCGAGGCGTGTCGTGGCGCGACATTTGCATACTCGAGCAGTGATTCAACTTCATTTCTGTTTACTCTGGTACAGTCGGATTAAAACAAAATAGTACAATTCGGTATAATGAAGAAAATGACAGTACAAATTAAGAGGATCAAATATTCAATCATTTTTCTGATTATTTTTTTAATTCTGATAGGAGCTCGCGCACTCGCGATGGCGGTACCACCTACCAGTCGCCATTGGCGGCTCACGTACATACAATGCTCATCTCTGACAATATTAATGCATGGTCCACCCCCTGCCCCTGCTATTGCTCGTAAACCTGGGTAAGTGAGTCTACTGCATGGCCCTTCTCTTGAGGTTTGTCATTTACGGCACTGACAAGCATTCACAAGTTTGACGTTTCTTTTGTCTCTTGGTGGGAAAAGCGTTATTCCAAAAATCTAACGTAAGTAGTTGACCATAACGGTAATCGATCCAAGGTGATGTGATTTTTGAGGTTACGAGACTATCGTCGATTGTCGGAGTCAAAGCAAAATCTCTCGTGGAATGTTGGATGAGTCACTAAGTTTTAAACTAATCTGTTAACAATCGTCATATTTTTACTTAATCTTCTCTTGGCTCACCCTGTCTAGTATTTAACCGTGTTACCGGTGACGGTGTTTGTAGGAAGTGTTTCAAAATAAAATTCATGCCCCTATGAGAGGTTACCAATTTAATATTTTGGTTATTCTTGTTTAGAACAAAACTGAGATATACGTATCGTGGCCAAGATGGAGTGGTTATTTGGGAAACGTATTACGCCGGAAGAAATGTTGAGGAAAAATCAACGTGCCCTCAACAAAGCTATGCGGGACCTTGACAGGGAAAAAATGCGGATGGAACAGCAGGAGAAGAAGATCATAGCTGATATTAAAAAACTTGCCAAGGAGGGACAAATGGTAGGGCTAAATAATTCTCAACCGATCGATTTTATAACCGGTAATTGAATATTAAAAATTTAACAAAACCTTTCCTTTAATTTATTCAGGATGCTGTCAAGATAATGGCAAAAGATCTCGTTAGAACTAGACGTTACGTTAAGAAGTTTATGTTGATGAAAGCTAACATCCAAGCGGTATCGTTGAAGATCCAAACGTTGCGTTCGCAAAACACGATGGCACAAGCTATGAAGGGTGTAACGAGAGCAATGCAGAGCATGAACAAGTGATTATTTTTATAACTTTACTTTTTTTAGACGTAACCTATTTTTCCTGTTATGTTATGAAATTATATGTATTTACCTTAATGTGACAAGTTATATCTTTATATTTTAGGCAACTTAATCTTCCACAAATACAGAAGATATTGCAGGAGTTTGAGAAACAGTCGGAAATTATGGATATGAAGGAGGAAATCATGAACGACGCGATAGACGACGCGATGGAAGATGAAGGAGACGAGGAAGAAAGGTGATTTTATAAATAATAATTGAGGATAACTAATTTCAATCATAGTTGTTTTATGAAATTTGTTACTTCTTTTTTCTTATATATTTCTTTCAACAGCGATGCAGTTGTCTCGCAAGTGTTAGACGAATTGGGGCTGCAATTAACGGATCAACTTTCGGGTTTACCACAAGCTGCCGGCTCCTTGAGTGTGGCAGGTTCGAAACAACCTGTGGCTGCTGCTGCAGGAACTGCCGACGAGTCAAACAATCTAGCAGATGCCGATGCCGATCTGCAGGCCAGATTGGAAAATTTACGCCGAGAGTAAAAGTATTTTTTTTTTTCCTTCATTGGATATTTGTATAATTAATTTGTCAGAATTTTGCTTTATACTTGTGATAACGTTTTCTTAAGGGAGCGGAACTTACCGCACCGGTACTCGAAGAAAGCTAAATCGATGCATTGACACCGCTCCCTTAAAAGCCCTTACGTCTCGAAGGGGTTGCAAGAATTTAATAATTAACTAAAGATTCGGTACCAGAGACCGGAGTTGCTGTACATTAAAATCGAACGTGCACTTTTCACCGCGTAGAATAATCTTTGACTAAGGACGTGGGGTTTTATAATTTTGCTATAAAGTAGAATCGTTGCAGCGGTCGCACGTTTGTGTATAGAATAATGCCCAGAAATTGTTATTTCCGGTTAGAATAGGAGAAACTAATTAAAAATGGGTGGAACGTTGCCGAGAGAGGCAGAGGAAAGGCAGGGTTCGAAAGGTCTACAAAGACTGCTTGCAATCTGCAATATATATATATATATATTATTTAATGTGAATATCTTAGGAATTATAATTAACTAGTGGACTAAAGTTATGTACAGGAGATCTCTTCGTTCCGTATTAAATATACATACGTATGGCACTTTGTATTTACACGTGTATATCCGTAATCGCTAACCGTATAAAAGTCTCAAACGAAGGTGTCGCGCTAATCCGTCGCTCGCCGCCAACGACAAATCATTTTCTCGCATAAGGATAAAGGGGAACGCGACGGTCGTCGCGGGCTGTCGCCGCGACCTCGCGACAATGGCTAAGCGAGCCCGCGACGACTTAAATTCGATTCTAATGGTACCGCGACTACTCCAGTCGGGCCTATCGCTCCTAACTCGAAACAACGAGAAGAGGCCTACTCGCTCGACGACGGTCACCGGGACGCCTGGGCTCGGATGCGAAAAGAACGCCGTTAAGGAAACTCTCCTTCGCGTCCGATAACGAGGATAACGAGGGGTAATGCGATGTAACGTTTGCGAACAGCCTCTGGAAGAGTTACCCTATTATCGCGATATAGTCTTTGCGGCTGGCCCCATATTTACAGCAAGCTTCGTTCCGCACCTCTTTCCGCCCTGGGGAACCAGGTAACGCGCGATACCGCGATTCGTTGTCGAGTAGAGGCTCGGGGCTCCCGTGCGCGTATATTGTCTAAGTATACGTCCGGACCGGTCGCTCTAAGGAAGGTGGAGAGCGACGGCTCCGAGAACGCGAGATCGGCACGAAAGCTGACGAACGGTGGAATGTTTGGTGTTAACGACCAGGAGGAGAGACGCGACCTTACGGAGATCGTCCCCGGTCTCGTCCTTGCTCCCGTTCGAGAGCGATCGTGCTCTCGGGGAAGGGCGACTAAGACTAGGAGGGATTTTCGTAATTCCCGCCGACTCGTTACGGCGCCGATTAACGAGTCATTACGAGGTAATTGGCTCGTCCTCGGGGTCGGGTAGTTCGGCTAGCGAGGTTAATGCTTAAGTTAGCGATATCGGAGAGTCGTGGAACATCGAGCTTCGCCGAGTAACGAATCGTTATGCCTTCCTCTTTGCTTCTCCCGGTGGCCGCGCGACGGGACCGGGAATTCGTACTCGGGGCCGACTTCCGGGAGGTTTCGCTCCCGTCAGGGAGGGCGGCGATCCTTCGGGAGCGGGTCTCTAGGATGACGGCCCCTCGGCGTCACTCGGTCGGTTCCTTTAACGAGGTTAATGACGATCAACGCAAACGATGGGAACTCTTGGTCAAGCGGGCCGAACGGTGGCGAGTACCTAACTTAATGGGGTCCTCGCGATCCTGGCGCTTGCGTTGGAAACGCTATCGTACATATTTACAAGGGCCGTCGTCTCCGCGGAAACGCTGCTCCCAGGTACGACGAGCCCTCCGACCGCTCCTTCTGGAGTAGACGCGGGTCCCGAGCCGGAAGAGTAGGACGGTCTCGAGTCATATGGTCCAGACCTGCACCTTCTCCGCGACTATGCACCAGCTCGCGTGGTCGTAGTAGGAGGAAATTACGTGGAGGTTCTCGACGTACTTCTCGATCAGCTGGTCCAGCTCGCCCTCCCTGAAGACGTGGTAGTACTGGTGGTAGGTGATGGCACCTCCCCCGCGGTCCGAGGGGAGCGACTCCTGGGAGGAGGAGGCGCTGAGGGTGCCGTTGCTGGCCGCTGCCGAGGCGGTGCCCTCGGACACGTCCGAGTCCGGCTTCCCGGGGACAGGCCCTCGAGAGGGAGCCTCCTCGGAGGCCGACCGGCCTCGGGCCTGGAACCTCCTCCTCGGGGCGGCGGGGAACCGGCAGCCGCGCCCGGACTCCCGACTCTCCGGGCCGGCGAGCGAGCTCGATTCCGGGGACTCCTCCGAGCGCCCGGGGACCTTCCTCGCCGGCCTCTCCCGCTCCCCGAAAACCTCCAAGCTTGCGGACCCCGCGACGAGGTCGAGCGCGTCCTCGGAGCCGCTTCTCGGCACTCGGCCGACGGGGGTGTCGCTCCGTCCCGGCTTGTCCGGTTCCGAGTCCCGGGGCCGGTCGCTGGCCCTTTTCGGCCAGGCGATCGTATCCAGGAGCTCGCTGTACTTGCAGGACTCGCCGGGGCTCTCCTTGTAGTAGGGATCCATGGAGCGCAGGTCCCGCCGAGCGTCGTCGGGACGAGTCGCGTCCCGGTCCGGTTCCTGAGTCAGGTTCTCGCTCAGCCTCTCCGTGAAATCGATCAGGTGCCGGCGACACTCCTCGCTCCAGGTCACGTCCTCCGGCGAGGGGCACCTCGAGGAGCTCTTGGAGGAGCTCCGCGAGGAGCCGATCAGCCTCCGTAGTTCCGAAGAGGAGCCCGTCCTCCTCAGGGAAGACTCGGGATCGGGCGAGGCAGGGGACCCGCCCCGGACGGCCGCGCCGACCGCGTCCTCGCGGTCCTCCGGTTCCGGGACGTCGCTCCCCTCGACGGGGAGTGGTCCGGGGTCTTCCGTCTCGGGCGGCGCGTCGACAGCCTCCTGCGGGTTTTCTGAAAAGGACGATCTCCTCTGTAATGCCGGACCTATCGCCAAGGGCGGGGAAACAACTCGAGATACCTTTCTTCGGGACGAGGAACCGCTCGTCCGAGATGACGCTGATGACCGAGCCCGCCGACCGCGGGGACGAGCCCCCCGAGGAGTCGCTGTCCAAGTCGTCGGTCTCCGGGTTGAAGAGCTCCAGCGACAGGAGCCTGGGCAGAGTCTTGGCAACGGCCTCGAGCCTCCCCGCGGTCGAGGTCGAGGCCCTCCTAACAAGGGGGAAGCTCGGCTTCGAGCACCTGGTGGCGAAGCCCGGCCTCTGCTTCAGCAGCTCCTTGATCTGGTCCAGCCTGCTCTTCCGGGTCTCTTCCTCGTCGGCCGACCTGGCGAGCTCCTCCTCGGGAACCGAGCCGAGCCCCGCCTCGTCCTCGGGCGGCCTGGGGCCCGCGCCCCGGCCGGCCCTCCCTTCCAGGTGAACCGAGGACAGTTCCTCGGGCCGCTTCTCCTCGTAGCGGGACCTAGCCTCCTCCTGCTTCCTGCCGGAAACCGAGCCGAGGGCGGGAAGAGGAGGCGGGGGAGTCGGAGGGGGCCTCGCCTGGAGGGCGCCGAAGCCGCGGGGCGGGCTGGGTGGGGTCGCCGGGAACTGCTTAACCAGCGGCGACCCGGGCACCGGCTTCGACCTAGCGCCCCCGTGGTCGGGCGGATGCTTGACCCTGGGCGAGGGCGGCGCCGAGAGCGCGGTGAGCTGGTGCCCGACCGTGGCCGAGGTCGGGTCCGACGGCGTCTCTGGCCTCGGCACGTAGATCACCGAGGCGAAGCTGTCCTCGGAGTCGACGCTGGTGTCGCTCTGCAGGCTGCTGTCCTTGGAGGAGTCCGAGCCGTCCTCGCGGGACGGCCTCCTCTCCACGACCGGCTCCGGCTCGCGCCTCGCCGTCGCCGCGGTCGCGGTCGCGGTCGCCATCTCGCTCGGCCTCGTCGCGGGATCGCCGTTTTCTGGGGAGAACGCGCCCGGTTAGACGTCCGGTCGGGACCAGGAGACGGGGAAGCGAGACGCGGGGTACCGTTCGCCTCCGTCGACTTCCAGCCCTGCAGCATCTTGACGAAGCCGTTCCTGATCGACATCCCGGAGACCCTCTCGATGTTGTCGGTCGAGCGCTTGATCTTGTCCGAGAGGCCACTTTTGAGCAGCTGGAACCGCTTCGAGGCGTTCCCCGTGTAGACGGTGTCCTTGAACGCCTCGAAGGCCTTCCGCTTGCAGATGATCTCCTCGTTGAGGGAGGCCTGCTTCATGATGTTGCGGCGGACCCGCTCCTTCTCCTCGAGCCGTTCCAGCGACATCAGCTCCTCGTTCATCGAGCTCTGCTTGTGGACACCGCCTCGCTTCGCCTGCGAAAAGGAACGATCGGTTAGCCAGGTCGGCGCGCCTCCTGTCCGGCCGGTCGCGGGGTGACTCGCCATCTGAAACTCCAGAAGGTCCTCGACGAGCCCTGGAACGGCGGGGCCGTCCTCGGGGTCCTCCTCCGGGTCCTCCGGACCGACGTCCTCCACGAGATGCGACTTCTGCTTGACTAGCCTCGGCTTGGAGCCCGCTAGGGAGGGCGTCCTCGACCTCTCGTCCAGGTTGAGGTCCGAGGTCAGGGTGGAGCAGAGGCCCGGGATGCTGGACCTCGACCGGACGAGCTCGAGCCGCTGGATCTCCAGGATGTCCCCGAGGCTCTTGGACTTCACGCTCAGGGCGTCGGCTGGCTTGCCGACGACGACGCCCGGGTCCTCGAGGCGCCGCAGCTCGATCGGCAGGTCGTCCACGTCCCCGCTGTCCTCGTGGCCGAGGTGCTTCCGGTCCTTCCCCGAGCCGGTCTGCCAGGGCTCCAGGAACCAGGGACGGGACCCTCGCTTGCCGCCCGCCAGTTTCTGAAAACCGACCGGTCTTTCGTTCTCCCTCCCGTTCCTCCACCTTTCGTTTCGTTCATCGCAATTGGAAAGATCTCGAGACCTGCAGCGCCCGCCGGAAGAAGCTGTAGCAGGTCTCGTTCGGGCTCGACAGACTGCTCGTCGAGGGGGACGGGCTGAAGATCGGGTCGATCCGGTAGCTCTTGCTCCGGAACTTCCGCTGGCCGCCCCTGAAACGATCGCGACGCGTTTAGGACCTTCGACCGGTCGGGGGGGACGGAGAACGCTCGAGTCACCTCTTGGACGTCAGGATGCACTTCTGGGGCCGGTGGTCGCAGCGGCAGGCGCCGCAGGGCCCGGAGGCGCCTCTCGAGGAGTTCGGGCAGCAGGACTTCGGCCACGGCACCAGGACGTCCTGCGACTCGAACTGCAAAAGAGGAGGACGACTCTTCCGGGTGAGGGGGTCGCCGTAGGGCGGTCGGTCGGTCGATTTACCTTCCGGTGCCTCTGCTCCATGGCCCAGACGGAGATGACCAGCCGGCCGCCGATCCGCAGCACCCTCGCGAGCTCCTTCAGCGCGTGGACTCGCCTCTCGGTCGTCGCGAAGTGGTGCACCACGGCGATCGAGAGGACCGCGTCGAAGCTCTCATCCCGGAAGGGCAGGGCGAGGTTGTCGCAGATCAGGACCTGAAACGAGACGAGCCAGTCGGTCGTCCTCCGGCCCGAGGGCGGTCGAGCCCCGTCAGGGCGCTCACCTCGTTCTCCTTCTCGCGGGCGATGTCCGTCAGCCTCTTGCAACGGTCCACCCCGACCTTGAAGACGCTCTGGTTGACGCTCAGGTACTTGCCGTTGCCGCAACCTGAGGGAAACGATCGCGATCAGATTATTTCCTTCTCGAGAGAGAGGGAGGAGAGGAGTCGGGAGAGGGTGGAGGCATACCGATGTCGCAGACCAGCGCCCCGGGTTCCAACTCCTGGAGGAACTCGTGAATCCTCGGCCAGGGTCGGCTCTGCGCGGTCCTCTCGGCGCATTGCTCGTAGACCTCGTGGACGTAGGCTTGCTCCAAGGCCACGGACCGAGCTGCTCGTTCTCCGTCGCTTTCCGACATCCCTCTCGCTAGGGTGGCTTCCCCTCGTCCATACGCGAGCTCCTGGGGAAATGAGATTCGCGGCGGTTTATCTTCCCGGGCCTACGGGACCGATCCTCGGGAGCGAAACGCGGAGGCGAGGCCGGGGAAAGAAAGAGCACGGGGCACTCGGTATACGATTCGTCGGTTTTATTCTTTGCACGCGGCGGAAGTACAGACGCTCAGGGCGGGCCGACGGGAAGACAGCCGCAGCGAAGCAGGTCACGCAGGATCCTCAGGAGACGCCTCTCTTCGCGGACCTCCTCCGGGGCGACTCTCTCCCGGTACCCGAGGAAGGGCACCGCGTACGCTCGACACCATCGCAGGAACTCCCCGCAGTCCTCGGTGCGGATGAAGGTGACGATGGCCCACAGGGCGCCGACGTGCCCGACGTATCGTTTGCCCTGCAGGTAGATCCGGCAGACGTCGAGGAACTGGATCAGGTCGACGACGCTCATCTCCGTCGACTCGGCCCTCCTAGGGATATCCTCGTCTCGGCCTCTCACCCCTTGCCGGACATCGTCCTCCGGCGGAGACCCCCTCCGGGTGATCAGACACCTGTTGCTCGAGGCTCCGACTTCCGACCGACGGAAACTCCGTTCCTCCGGATAGATCGCCTCGACTCCGCGCCTCCGCCCCGAGGAAGTCCCTTCTTCTCGGCGTCTCCTGGCGTCGGAGAGTGGACGCGCTCCTCGCCGAGAGGCGATGCTCGATCCATATGCCCCCGCGGATGGATATATACGGATACGCGGTATATGCGCCTCTCTCTCTCTCTCTCTCTCTCCATCCTCCGGGCTTCGTCTCTCGGAACGGAGCGGCTGCGCGGTGAATTCATTCGATATCCCTTTCCACTACCTGGGGTAGTTTCTGTGCACTGGGTCAACTAATTTACGGGTGCACGCATCCGTGGCCCCGTCGATCGTCTCGACCGGTCGCGTCGAAATCGGGATCCCGGAGACCGGCGACCGTCCGGCCAGGAGACGCCGGGTCGGCGATCGCTGATGTTCCAATTTTTTTTTTTTTCTATTCCACCGGCGAAATCGATCCGCGGGTTAACGCCAACATTTTCGACCGGGGGGTCGTCTCGACGGAACTCGGAGATTCTTCTCGCGACTCCCTGGGAAGTTTTCCCCGCGGAGAGGGTGGACCTCGGGGCGCCAGGTTTCCTCGATAGTTGGATACTGGGTGACCCAGAACCGACGCCGCCACGTACATAGGAAGTACATCCTCCGCGTATAGGGGTGGACGCCGGAGAGGAATATACCGCGCAAAGGGATGAAGCGCCTTTGATGTCGCCGGTCAAACGTCGCTCCCGGCAAGAGTCGGCGACGCGCCCGATGAACGAAAGATCCCCCGGGAAGATCGGGAGCCAGGAAATCCCGCCTTCCAGGGCGATCGATTCGGATGTCCCGCGGTAACGAAATCCTGTCGGAAACGACGAGAGGACGACCGGAAGGCGTCGGGCGGTGCCAACAAAGGGAGACGTCGACGCCTGGACGTCGCGCGGATTCGCTCCCATTTTCCATTCGACGTGCGCGGCCGCCGGGAGATAAGTTTGCCCGGCTCGGATATAAAAAGAAAGTGGAACGAACCGGACAAACTGGAACGCGAATATTAAAAAACCCCTCCCGCCCCCGGATTCCATTTTCGCCGCTTCCTCGACGGCGCTCGGCGCCTCCTTCCCGGCTCGCGATCTTTCTCCTTTCCCTTTCGATGCCGATCTCGATTTCGATCGCGCGGAAAGTCCTCGGTGAAAGTGCCGCGAGGACGCGGATCACCGCAGCGCGAGCTTCCTCGGGGAACTCCGCTCGCGCGAGGGATTCTATCTCGTTCGGATCGGATCCCCCCGACTCGGGTCGGTCTCCAAGATGGTCAATTATTCAGGGTCTCGGCCCTACCTAATCGCGGACGACTCGAGCGAGCGACGGACAGGGAAGAAGCGACCCTCGACGGAGACCCGAGGTGGCCGCGAGGCGGTGATTTATGCGTTAACCAGCTGACCCAGTTATCCCCGACAAAGGTAGCGCGCTCGGATAAAAGTCCCGGGTGGGTATCGCAAATTGGGGGCCGAAGGAGAGGAGGGGACCTCGCGTCGCGGGCAATCGAGATGCAATCGAGATGCAATCGCCCGTAAGTGGCCCGTAAGCGCGAGCGGGCTAACCCCGATACCGTAATTCCCGACCTTGGCGGGAAACCGCCGATAAGCGGCCGAGAGATCGCTAAACGTTTCTTTATGGATTCGCCGGGTGGACGCGGAAAGGGGAGCAGAGAGAGAGGAGGGAACGTCCCCGCGGTCTAAAAATAACCGGGCGAAAAACGTGGTCCTTGCCAAGGGGGTGGCAGGGGTGGGCGCCGCTGCGACGTCGCGGTGGATACGGCAACGTGCCGGCGCGAGGGAGGCCGCCATGAATGAAAGCACCGCGTATCGATTAATCCGCACCGCCCTATTTATAAGCGACGGTAAACGGTCCGCGCCGTCGGCCCCGACCCGAGGTTACGTCGGGACCGACGGCACCCTCCCCGGTCTCGAGGAAACCGGCGGGTCGATGCGAAAAGGACCGAGGGTCGAATCCACCCTCTCGAGGGTCTCCGGGAGCCGGGGATCCGCCATTGCTGGCTCGTCTCCGAGGAGCGACCCCGGGAAGGCGGCGAGACCTCCGGCTCGAGAAGGGGACGGAAGGAGAGGATCCACCCTGGCAGAGAGCGGACGTCTAGGAGGGCCCACGTACCTCGGCGACGATGCTCCTAGCGGTGTCCTCATTTCCCGTGGAGCGGAGGCGCGGGAAGGCGTGCTCGAGGTCCCGACCGGGCCTTGGCGTTCCTCGCGAGCCCTTGGTCAGCCATTACCCGGGCCAGGTTCCCTGAGAGGCTCCTGGAGGCGCCTGGGGTTCGTCGGGTAGGTCGGGAATCGGTCGGCGGTCCGTGGTCGGCGGGGATCGCGCGGCCAGACGAAGCGCTCACCCCGGGCACCTCGGACGAGACCGCGAACCACCTCGGCGACGGCGGGCGACGGCGGCCTACGCGGCTGCGGGTCAGCCCGAGCGCCCCCTTCGCCGCGACGCCGCGACGCCGCCAGGCGGCGCCTAAATCGACCGGTTGGCGCATCGCCCACGCCCGCCCGACCCGGCCGCGACACCGACGCCGTCGCGACGCCGACTCCCCATTGGCTGGCGCCTCCGGGGGAGGATGCACTCGGACCTCCGGCGTCGCCGGACGGATTCCGGACCGCGGTAACGATCGAATCGCTTGCCCCGCTTCCACCTTTTCCTGGCCGCGTTCTTCTTCCGAACCCATTTGTCGGCGATCGCTACCGATCTTTGATGACGCCGACTCGACGCCTTTTCGCGACCGGACGGAAACGTCCTCGAGACTCGGTTACCGGGCCTTTCGCGAGAAACGAACTTTCGATTTGCATCCGCGAAGGATTCGTTCCTCGTCCGCGGATGGGGGGAAGACGACAAGAATAAGAGCAAAGCGAAAGAGAGGAAGGATGTCGCTCGTCGACGAGGCGATCGATTCTCGGAGCCGGGGGAGGTAGATCGATGCGAAAAAACGATCGCTCGGTAGACTTTGTATCGGGCGGAGCAGGTTCGAAAGATATTCCTCCTCTTGATGCGTTTAGCGGTTCAAGGACGAGCGCTATCGGAAACACTCTCCTTATCGGTCAGCTGCTCGCATCTAATCGGCGTTTCGGCCTCGATTCCAAACGAGCGATTTCGATTAAAAAAGATACAAATAGAAAGAAAAACGGAAGGGAGGAGAATCAAATCTCGCCTCCCGAGTTTTTTGGAGCATCGGTCGAGATCGAGATCCGATCGTTCGAGTTGGCGATACGACTCGCCGACACCTTGAAAGCGTTTCTCAGTCGTCCGTGGATTTTCGAGGTGGAGGAGGATCGAGAAAAGGATCGCGTCCTCTCCCGGCTAGCTAGGATAATTTATTCGAGCGGCCAGTTCTTCTTCTTTGCCCGGTCGTCGTTGCCGACGCCGATCGCAGACGCCCAATATTGACGAAACGTCGATAACGGTCCCGATCAAAGGTAAAGATCTAGGCGCGGGAGGGTGGCGGGAAGGCAATCGAACGATTGTCCGTCGCTAGTCGACGGAGGGGAAGACGCGATAGGCTCGTAAAGGAAAGATAAATATGAAAATAAAAAGCAAGGGAAAAAGAAGGTGGCGCGCAGTTCACGGTTTATATAGAGGTGGGAGCAGGTGAAAAATTTCAGTAGCAGAGGCACGGCTCGGGGCATCGAGACGTAAAGTGCGCCCGAAAAAGGTCCCCGGAAGGTTTAGGTAATTCTCGTTGATTTTCTCGCCCCCCGATCCGGAGCGTCTTCTCGGCGGTTTCGACGTCGGGTCCCCCCTTTTTTTTCTCGACTCGAACGATCCGGAGCAAGAGAGGCGCGACGCGCGACCGCCGATCTCTTTGTGGATCCTTTGGAAAGGTTCTCGTCCCTCTCTCTCTCTCTCCTTCTCTCCCTCCCGTGGCGTTCCGCACGTGAGTGCCGTGGACTACTTTCGAACTCTCCGCAAGAAAGTCTAATCCGAAAGTACGAGCCGGAATTTGAATCGCCGAAATCCCTTGTCGTCCTTTGGACGAGTCGTTAAAGGAAAGGACCTTCGGTCGGTCTCCTGCATTCGCGCGGACGTCTCGGCGATGAAATGTCACCCTCGGCAGGATCTTCAACGGTCGGTGGTCCATTCGTGACGGTTCCGAGTCTCAAGGAACACTCATTTTCGCGAGGTGTCGACGAGCGGGCATAAGGACGAAGGACGAGAGACGTTCCTCGCGTCCTCGTTGTCTGGCTCGACGATGCCGGAACGAACCTTGAAGAGGTGGGTTTCGCTTGCGATTATCAAATGCTAAATTAACGGGCCGGATTAGTTCCGGATGCCGGGTCGATAAGGAAAGAAAAATGATAAACGAGACCTCGATCCGTGGTGCACCGATTGACTCTCCCCGATAACCGGTCGATCTTAATCGATGTTGTAATCGTCTTAATCCTTCCTCTTCTCGAATGGTGTAACCTTGATAAAGATAATCCGAAGATCCATCGACTCCAATTCGTTCCTCCTTTATCGGATGATAAGAACGATGTATCTCGGATCTGAGGCAGAGCAGATCTCGATGAGGGAACTCGGGCGTTGGTTTCTGCTTCACGCATTACCTTTTCCCTTGAAAAGCATTTCTGAAATTTTGAAGCATTCGCGGATATGAAATTTTGCCCGTCGATACTTTATCCGTGTATTTTCCTTTCTTTTTGAATTTCGTCGGCGCCCAAAGACCGGGCAAGGTATGGTGCGCGTTTTACTCGACGTTATTCCCCGCCAGGTTATTAACGATTTGCCGAGCTCGTTCCGAACGTCGGCAGAAAGAAACGAGACGTAATGTAAAATTGTCCAGGAAGTACTCAGAGCGATAAGGATTTATGTAAGTAGTGGCAGGTGGAAGTAAATAAATAAGGGATTCGTTTCTCTCTATGGGAACAGTCGGCTCGCGGTCTCGCGCGGGAATCTCGTTGTTTTTCAAACGAGGGATATTGGAAGATGCAACTACGGCAGAAAAATCTGCCTCGCATTTTCGAGACGATTTTATCGCATTTTGCGTCGCTAACGTGATAACTCTATTAATCGGGCAATTTTCCATTACTCACCTCGCGTTATGTCGATCGAACGATAACGCTTATTATTGCATAAATCTTGCTTCCTGTACTCTCGACAGTCGTTGCAATTCTTCCTCGGATGGTAATCGCCCTCCGGGTTAGTTTGATCCTTCCTTAACAAGATTCGTGGATTCCTGCAACGTACATATCGAAGTTCGAGAGGACCGCCATTTTTCTACTCTCGTTGGAATTCCAACGAGTTTCGTTGAAACGGTTTCCGCCGTTTAGGTGGGTTTCCCATGGCGAAGGTGGACGGAAGAAAACCTTTCCCACGTAGCCAGTCGGGCCTGCCCGTGACTTTCAGCCAATTGAGCCGCTCCCCATCCGTTACGAGCGATCGCTCGGTGTCCAATCGGAATGGCGCGTTCACGCGCCGTCGGCTCTCGATATCGATAGTAATCGAACGCGAATCTCGAGCGCTCGCCGGAATTCGAGAAGGGCGGATCTCCGTTCTGCGATTGGCGGGATCCAGCGGATTGCCCAGAGTTCATTGCGGTTCATTGTATTCCATTGTGTTGGTTATGGGATCTACGTAGCTAACCTCTATCTCGTTTTAACCCGTTCTAACCTTTCAGAAAGTGTTAGAACAGTGGATAGTGAAAGGACAAGCTTCGTCGAATCGTGAACGGGGACGGCGGCGCAAAGCAACGAACTATCCGCAGGATTTGCTCTGATTTAATGCGCTCGTTCGACGTCCTGCATGCTGACGGAACTATTTGGTATAGGTTAGGCGACCTGTCCACGGTGTATACGGCTCTTGGTGCTCGGTGACGCTTCGATTGCGTCGAACCGTGAGTCGACCACGATTCTACGCTTCCACCTCTACCTGCGGCGTGCGGCAGGTCGTGGTGGAGGAACTCTAGGAAGGCATGGGAGAGGTAACCGAGGAAGCAAGAGGTGATCGGAGAGGCTAGGAGGGAGCAGAGGTAGGCGCGACGGCATGGTAGGGGACTGGCCGGGTGGAAAAATTAAATGGGGCATTGGGTGAAAGTCCCCATGGCTCGGAGGTCTTATATCGGATCAGTTTGGCTGGAGCGGTGGACGCATGATGTGGACGGTGCGTTCGTTGAGCGAACCGAGCAGTGGATCGGCACCGCGGATGTAACGCGTGCTCCTTGTCCGTACTACTGGGCGTCCTCGTTCCTCGAGAGAGCTATGCTCCCGGCTTCGTAGCGACCGACGGTTTCGCGAGCCTCCAGGGTCTCAGGCTTTATCGATCGAAAACTAAGGTACGCGCCGTGATTGCAGAATGTCGAGCACGGTCTGGACGTGGGGCTTCCTGGTGCTGGCCGCCGGCCTTGCCTCCGCCCTCGAGAATGGACTGGCCAAGACACCTCCCATGGGATGGCTTGCTTGGGAGCGCTTCAGATGCAATACCGACTGCAAGAACGACCCTGACAACTGCATCAGGTTTGTGCTTTCTTTGTTTCGCTCGTTCCTCCGGAACAAATCAAGAATAATAATGTAAATTACATCGACCACTATATCGACGCGGGCCATTGTATTGCGCGTACTCTCGAACGCCTTGACGTCGTCTAATGGGCAGGCAATTATAAAACTCACAACGGGGAATATGTGAAAGTAACGGGGTTGGATGCTGGATATATGAATTACGTCACCGGTCTGGATACAGAGTAAGGCGTACCTTATTCGTTTCCCTTTAATATAATGGCTCGTCCACGTGCGTACGATACTTGGACATATGTATATATACATGGTGTTATATTATTAATCCTTTGTCGGAACATTACCAAGAACAGCCCCTATAGACCGGTTACATAATTACAATTTATTTCAATAAACAACTTAATCGTTCAACCAAGACATCGTGGTTTACGATCCACGGTGCGTTCGAAAATCCCTGAATGACAAAGAGCGGAAGATCGTAATCCACTCAAGAGTGACTTTCTATTTCAGTAAACGACTTGAACATTTTTACCCGACGGCGAACGAAACGTCAAAGCTAATAGTTGGGAATCTCCTCCTCGAGGACGTCGCTTCCTCGTTTGCCCGTGGTCTAAATTTCCGTAAATTTTCCACATAACGCGGTCATTTTAATTACGCGAATCCTAGATGATCAAGGTGTCTGAAATCTTTCATCTGACCCAGCCAAGCTATCTTTAAACGATGATTAACACTTCGCGCCTCGTTGTCGTAAGACCGTGACAGTCGCTTTACAATGCTCCAGGACCTTGCAGAATAGTCCATCCCGCACCGTGCGTTCTCTCCCTCTATTAATATCGCTTCCTGATTGTTATTCCACCAGTATACGCTTATGTAAACCGAGACCTACCGCCGGATCGTAACTCCTTCACCGGCAGAAATGCAGTTTTGTAGGAAAGAAAAAAAAAAGAAACGACGTCCCACAACTCACTCGAGAAACGGCTCTTCCTTCCGATGCCTTTCAAACGTAGCTCCCCCGTGTTGCCCATTTTTTTTTTTCTTGTTTTTCTTCTCTCCTTAATTTTGTTAATTACCTTTCGACGTTCAGGAAGAACAAGGGGGATCGATTAATCCCGAGCCTCGTTCCCACGGAAATAGGGAGTGGACATAGGAATGGGCCGACTCCTCCTGGAACGCGTTATTGGACGTCCCACCGGTTCGGTTACGCAATTTTTCTCCAATACCGATATGATTTCCCCGGCTCGATCGTTACGGGGTTCACGGGGATTCTTGCGTAACGGCCACGTAGAAAGGGAAAAGAAAAATTGAAACTATCGGGAGGCTCGGCCGATGCCCACCTCTCCTCGAATCGGACGAACCGGGTGGTTACACTTCGCCTTTGCAAAACTAGGTATTCCGCCGATCGATTATCATTTGCGGTGGAGTTCTCATATTTTTTTTTTTAATTTAAACAATTTTTTATCTTATACTTCTACGCACCGTTTCTCGGTCAATGAGATATGCCCTGCGCATTCTACTCGTGGACTCGTTTTCCTTGCATTTTTCCTCTGTTTTCTTATCGCCTCCCGGTTGATATACCTCTACGCACTACGGTGCAATGTTACATGCAAATAAGCGGCGGTTAACCCGAGCACCGAGAGCGTGGAAACTTTGAGCCCGTGAATGCGCGCGTAATTAGCGGTTTCAACGACCGCGGGACGGTAATTACGGTAGGACGTTTCGCGCTTTGTACCTCGGTCGGTCGGAAGTATTTACATTACTGTCTACCACGGATCATTTCCATCCCGGGACTAATAAAAAGGAAATCGGGATTGCTTTGTCCGATTTCTCTCTTTTCCTTCGCCTGTTTGTCTTTTTTTTTTCTTTTTTTTTTTCCTCCCGACGAAGACACCTGGAGAGCCATACTCGTTTCGAGTACCTTTTCTGGTCGCGTCGGTCGAGCGGGATTTCTTATTCTGGTTCTCCTCACTCGCTTCACAATTATGCGAACGTTTCCTTTTTCTCGTATTTCTGGATACGAAAGATCACTCGATCCCCTTGAACCGAGGTAATTGAGCGGAGGCAATTAGGAAGGTGCGGATCGAGGGTAATCCGTCGGTATTTTTTTTCGGAGCCTCTTGCTCCGAAATGGTATCGCCAATTTACCCGATATTACGGGTTTAATGTTTTATGCGTTAACCCTTTGAGACGCGAAATTTAAGAAAATTTTTATTAGCGAAGGAATAACATGGTATAGAAACGAGAAGAAATAATAATTCAATTAAGTGTTATGACATCTCCGTCCCACCGTGCATATCCACGCATTGAAAAGGTGGGACACTTTTGATATCATCGCGCCTCGGAGAATTAAAGACCAAGGGATGTTGCGAATTAATAATCGGTACGAGCGATTCACCACGTGGGTGGCCGGTTACGCAAGGGAACCTCCAAGGTGCGACGGGCCCTTTAAAACGGAGCCGGTCCAACCTCGGACCTTCCCGTTCATTTTGCGAGGGGCCCGAGACTCTTACTTTCTTGGTCGCTACCAAATCGAGGACATCGAGTGTCCTTGGGACGGATCGACGGCGAGGGAGAGGACGAGAAAAAGCGGAGACTGCGAATACTCGGCGGAGATCGAGAAAACGTTTCTTTTGCGGCTCTCGAGGGAGCGGACGACGTTGCGCCGAATTTTTTTTTCCCGCAATCCTGACATGTACTTTGCAAAATGATGCCGACCTTCCCTTCAGCTTTCAGAGGTGTATTTTATTCCGCCGTTAATTTTCGGTTAAACTGATATTTGGCTTCGATTCGGTTTTCAGCGACCGACTCTTCCGGACGATGGCGGACATCGTCGTCGCGGAGGGTTACGCGGACGTCGGGTACGAGTACATTAACGTGGACGATTGCTGGCTGGAGAAGGACCGAAGCTTCGACGGGAAACTCGTGCCGGACAGACAGCGATTTCCATACGGCATAAAAAGCCTGGCCAATTACGTACGGTTTTCCCTCTTACTTTTTTATTATGTTTTATTTATTTATTTTTATTTTAATTGTTACCACCGCCCATCGAAATTTACTGGCTGAGTCTTGACGTTCCTTTCGTGATTTCAGGTCCATTCGAAGGGTCTGAAATTCGGCATCTACGAGGACTTTGGCAACTACACGTGCGCAGGATATCCGGGGGTCCTGGGATATTTGCAGACCGACGCTTTGACTTTCGCCTCCTGGGACGTCGACTACGTCAAGCTCGACGGATGTTATTCACACCCCACGGAAATGGACAGAGGTACTCGTAGAGGGATTTCCCGCAATCCTACGATTACACACATTTATATACAACGGTGATAACACATTTAACCCTTTGCGATCTTAGCCGCCACAGTGGCGGGATTCGCAAGTCGTCGTAGAAGTCGGTGCCGCCACCCTGGCGGCATGTCATTACTCCCCTCAAATGGTGGAGGAAATTATTTTTTGGGGCCATGGAGGGATGTGCGTCATGTGATAAATTTCCTCCTACTAGCTGGTACTCCCATCGGAGAAATTTCCCGATCGCAAAGGGTTAAGCGGGTGGAAGATAGGGAAAGCGGAGGAACTCGGTGACCTTCGTGGATACACGCACGTCCACGCGATACGAATCTCCGTAGAGTTGTAGATTCTCTTTGATTAAAGCGTTTTCACGCGGAGGGCTCTTTCCGCGAAGGAAATACCTCGGAATGCTCATTGTCCCAAGGTGGAGACCGATTACGGAGGTGGTAGGTGGAGGCGTGGGTCGGTTACACGGGAGTCCGGGTACTCGGTGGTTAATTGTTCCTGGCCGTCGAGCGGCGCAACCGGTTACTATCGTTTTCCGTCGACATTCCCACGATCGAACTGCTAGGGCGTGTTACTATCGGTTCCTTTGGATTCCCAAAGCCCGTTCGATGAAGGCGTTCCTGGCGCGGGTGTAGGCCTGATAACACCTTAGATTACCTCGTGCACGGAGGAGCGACTTGTTAATTGACTTTTGCAACCTCTGTTACAGGGTATCCGGAATTCGGCTTCCACCTAAATCAAACCGGCAGACCCATGATATATTCTTGCAGTTGGCCGGTCTATCAGATTTACGCTGGGATGCAGGTTGGTGTAGAGATAATATCATCTCCTGGTTGGTTAGAAAGAGCAGAGACGCTGTGGCATTTTTAAGTCCTGGGAAACATCGGAAGTGGATACGCCGGGCGATTTTTCGTTCGAGGGCCTTCTTGCTCTCGACACCCAGGAGGCCGCTCGGAGGCCGCGATTGTTTTCCTGGAACGAGGATCCGCTACTCGAACTCATCAACGTGGAAAATGGCTATTATAAACGAGTGGGTGACATTGGATCCACTCACTTGATGGAAAGTTAGAAAGTCCCGATCTCGTGCAGCGCGACGCCTCGGTGTTCCTGCTCTTAGCCGAGTCGTTTCGCGGAAGGCGATTCAAGGCGCGAGGGTTTCCCCCCCTCGAACTCCTACCGCTTTTACGACTGGTACATGTACATTCGCGCAATACCGATCGGTACCCTAAGGTGACGATACTTTCCCCTTTCAGCCGAACTTCACGGCGATAATCGAGCACTGCAACCTTTGGAGGAACTTCGACGACATCCAAGACTCCTGGAGCAGCTTGGAGAGCATCATCGATTACTACGGGCACAATCAGGACGCGATTGTCCCTAACGCCGGTCCGGGACACTGGAACGACCCGGACATGTTGATCATCGGTAACTTTGGTTTAAGCTACGAACAGAGCAAGACGCAAATGGCCCTGTGGGCTATCCTGGCCGCGCCTCTCCTGATGTCCGTCGATCTCCGCACGATCAGGCCCGAGTACAAAGCCATTCTGCAGAACAAGAAGATAATTGCTGTGGACCAAGATCCTCTTGGTATCCAGGGCAGACGGATCTATAAGGTGCACGATTCGCCGAGCAATGCCTAGCGCCAATCGTTATTCCTTTGTTACGAGTCTCTTAAAGTATTTGTACGTGCGTTTACATTTTTTTCTTTTTTTTTTCTACAGCACAAAGGGATCGAAATATGGGCACGACCTATAACACCGGTGTACCAGAACTACTACTCGTACGCGATTGCGTTCGTTAACAGGAGAACGGACGGTACTCCTTCGGACGTCTCGGTGACGCTTAAGGAGCTGGGTCTGCAGTACCCCTGCGGCTACCGAGTAGAAGTAATTCTTCATTTTTTCTTAATATTTCTAACGTTAATTAAATAACACGCCGAGTCGATAATTGTCACGTTTCCCCCCTAGGACTTGTACGAGGAGGTCGACTACGGCATCCTGACGCCGCAAACGAAGATCAAAGTCAAGGTTAACCCCTCGGGGGTGGTGATCTTGAGGTGCGACCTCCAGCTGGACGATCTCTTCTCGAATCAGTGTGCTCCATTTTCCGCGATTAATCAGGTGTTCAAAGTTAGGCAGAACACGTTTAAGTAGGAACCAAGTGAGTGACTAGAGATAGATAGATTTAATATTTTTTCTTTTTTTTTTTTTTAATTTTCTATAATTGTAATACATACGTACCAACGTTACCATAAATTCGCTAAGGCTGTAAAGAAATAAATCGTACCGTTTTACGATAAGCGGCGGAAGAGAAGGAAGAAAATGAAAATAAAATAAAATAAAGCCTGCGGAACCTGGAACGGTTCCAATCGGGCAGTCCAGAGAAACAGCTGAGCGTACTTAAATCGGTCCTCGACCCGGGGGAGCGTCATCCTGACTGGCCACTTCGACGAGCTCGAGGTCTTCGCGCTTTAAATGTTGCGCCCAAATATTTTCTATCGAGGTCGAAATGACCGTGAAGGATTCTTTTATTTTTTTTTTTATTTCTTTTCCGTTAGAGGCCGCACCACGGAATTACCATTCGGTGTTCCTGGTAGGGGTTAAGACGTTCGGAAGGTCGTACGTCTCGTCGATATCTAGGCTTCCACGGTCGATGGGAATCGAGAGGTAAGAGGCACATCGCAAAGAGAGGGTAAATACGTATTCCGAGTTCCTTGAGAGGAGCTCGTTTCCGAGCACCTTCGATCCAAGGGAAGCTTCCCACGTATCGGTCCCTTGAACGATGGACCGCTCTTTGTAGGATTCTTTATTGGACCCGGTCGAGTCGCCCCGGAAGATTGGCATCGCTCGAGGGCCCTACTAAGAAGAGGTCGGGAGGCACCGGGTACGCGTCCTTAAAGGGAACGGGAAGTTTTGATCGAGGCCAGGATGTCCTTTCCGAGGGCGTGACGCGTATCGATAGGGACGTCCGGGCGCCGGAGGAGGAGGACGACAGAGAGAGGGAGCGGAGTGCAAGGCTTAGGATAGGACGCAGCTCGCAGGAGCAGTAATATCGACCGAATCGAGGCCGGGGTCGAGGGGGTGCTGCCAAGGCGTCAGCTCCCATAAGCGGACTGGCTGGCTGGCCGGGCGGGAGAGTCGCTCCGTCCTCTCTTCTTCGGGAGGAACGCGCGGTACCAAGAGGACTCGACCAGGAACCTCCTCTAAGCCGGAAGAGACGACCCGTCCAAGTGTCCGAGGTCCGAGGAGGTCCTTTGCGAGGATCCAGGACCAAGGCGGGATGGCATCCCCTCGGCGCGGGCTCCCAGGAGAGTCTTCGGGGTCCTCGGGAACGTCCGGTCGCAAGGTGTCCTAGGACCGGGAGGAGTCACTCGGTGGTGCACGCTGAAGATACTCGAGGGACCGGCCCTTTCGACCTCACCTTCGATGGAGAACGTAAGACCGGACGGTGGATCCATGACGATTCCCGGGGTCGATCGAGGCATCTCGGGAATCGCTAGGAGGAGAAGAGGACACTGAAGAGGCGGCGCGGATCCGAGGAAAGGATGGAGGACTCTTCACCGCAGATGCGGCCTTACCTGGGCTGTTGGGACGTAAGTCGCGGGACGGAAAGGAGACGGAAAGAAAGAGGGGAAATCGAGCGAGGCGGTCTTCTCTGTCGTGCAGAACGAGGACAAGTACTCGGTGGCGAACAGCCAGGCGCCTCTCCAGGGGACCGAGGACGAGCACCCCGAAAGAGGGACCTGGACGGGGAGGTTCGATTTCCTGCTGTCCCTGTTGGGGTACAGCGTCGGCCTCGGAAACGTCTGGAGGTTCCCCTACCTCTGCTACTCGAACGGGGGAGGTGCCTTCCTGATTCCGTTTACCGTGATGCTCGTCATCGCCGGACTGCCCCTCATGTTCATGGAGCTATCCCTCGGTAACGGACTCTCGTCGAATGTGGCCGATAGCTTTGCGCTTCTTCTAACTACTCGTCCTTTTTCCTTGCAACGACCTCGACCTCGGACCGGAATTTCGGTTTCCTGGCGAGCGCAGGTCAGTACGCGAGCCTGGGACCGGTGGCGGCCTACAAGCGGTTCTGCCCCCTTCTTCGCGGTCTGGGCTACGGCATGGTCCTCGTCAGCTCCGTCGTGATGCTCTACTACAACCTCGTCATCGCCTGGACCTTGTACTACATGTTCGCCTCGGTCGCCGGTGAGGACGGGCAATTCTCCAATCCGTTCGCGAAACTGCGACGCGACCTTGGCCGCTCGCCGTTGACGTCCTCGACTCGTTCCAGGTGGAGGCGCGCTGCCTTGGAGGAACTGCGACCCTTCCTGGAGCACCGTCGACTGCTACACCCCCGAGGCGGCGGAGCGGTGCCAGGAGAGGAACGCCTCCTTCTACAAGGGCAAGTGCCTCAACGACAGCCAGATGACGGCGATCGGCCTGACGATCGAGAACGTGACCGCCGCCGTCCGGAGGCCGCCCGCGGAGGAGTACTTCAAGTACGTTTAAGATCGCCAGATCGCCCACCGGAGCTCGTCCGATCGTTCGATCCGTTCCCGCAGCAACCACGTCCTGGGCCTGAGCGCCGGCATCGAGGAGACCGGGGCCGTTCGTCCCCCTCTGGCGTTCTGCCTGTTCCTGGCCTGGGTCATCGTCTTCCTGTGCCTGAGCAAAGGGGTGCAGAGCTCCGGGAAAGTCGTCTACTTCACGGCCCTCTTCCCCTACGTCGTGCTGGTGAGGGACTCGGGGCGAAGGGAGGAGGTCGTCCGCTAAAACGCTTTTTCTCGTAGATAGCGCTCTTCGTCCGAGGTATTCTTCTACCGGGGGCCGAGGAGGGGATCCTCTTTTACTTGACCCCGGACTGGAGGAGACTGACCTCCGCCAAGGTCTGGGGCGACGCGGCCGTGCAGATCTTCTTCGCCCTCAGCCCGGCCTGGGGGGGTCTCATCACGCTCAGCTCCTACAACAGGTTCACCAACGACTGCTACAAGGACTCGCTCATCGTGGCCGTGAGCAACATCGGGACGTCCTTCTTCGCCGGACTGGTCATCTTCTCGGTGATCGGGTTCCTGGCGCACGAGCTGAAGGTCCCCGTGGCCTCCGTCGTGGACCAGGGCGCGGGGCTGGCTTTCATCGTTTACCCGGAGGTAACGGAAATCGTTTGACCCCTCGACGCCCGTCTTTGGACTGACCTCTCGCACCTTCCGCGAGTTCAGGTCGTCTCCAGGTTGCCGGTCGCCCCGGTGTGGTCGTTGCTGTTCTTCGTCATGCTCCTGACTCTGGGCCTGGACTCGCAGTTCGCTCTGATGGAGACCGTGACCACGGCGATCCTCGACGGAGCCCCTTCTCTGAGGAACTACAAGTCCTGGGTCGTCCTGGCAGCCGCGGTCTTGGGCTACGCCGGCGGCATCGTGTTCACCACGAACGTACGTCGCCGCTGTCCAAGTGTCCCATCCCCTTTTGCCGACAACTCGGTTCTCTTCCAGGCCGGGATGTACTGGCTCCAGCTGATGGACAAGTACGCCGCCAACTGGTCGGTCCTGCTGATCGCCATAAGCGAGTGCATCCTGGTCGCCTGGGTCTACGGAGCCGACAGGTTCCTGGACAACGTCCAACAGATGATAGGACCTCGGGGCCGAGTCTGGAGGTTCTTCTGGACGTGGATGTGGAAGGTGGTCACCCCGGCCGCGCTCTTCTTCATACTCTTCTTCAACTGGGTGGAGTACGAGCCCCTCGAGTACGGCGCTTACGTCTATCCGAAGTGGGCCGACGCGGTCGGGTGGCTCGTGGGCTTGTTGCCCGTCCTCGTCATCGTCGGCGTCGCTCTGGTGAGTCCATTGTCCTGTCGCCCTAAGCCTTTCTAAACGTTCAAGGTACTCGTTCAGTTTCAGTTGAGGAGTCGTCGGAGGCGACCCGCCTACGACGAGGACGAAGAGGACGAGGACGACCTCGAGCTGCCAGGAAGGGGAAAGAGCAAAGGCGCAGGAGGGAACGGTTCCGTTTGGAGTCGAGCGCGCGCGCTCCTTCGGCCGACCTCGAGTTGGGGTCCCGCCACCCGGAGCCCCTCGAGGACCCTGGCGCGGACTCCGTCGCTCGGTAACCTCGCCTCCTTTTAACGATTTCGATTCCGTCGGTTCTCTTTTCCTGGCGGCCTCTCGAGCGAGTCTAACTCCTTCCGAATCCTTCAAAGGTCAACCCGGAGGGTACGACTCCGTGCGGGACACCATCGTCCTGGTGAAGCCCCTGATGGTGCTGCCCTGTGGAAACGCAGGAACCGCCACCGGTAAACTGCCGGGGCCCTCGATCCTGAAGAACTCCAGCAAAACGGATCTCGTGACCTCTCAGCAGGTCTGACCCGACGCGCACGTCGTTCCCGAAACGGCGAGTCCTGGGGCGAGTCGGAGACCGCTGATATCCTCCAGCCTGGTCGTTGCTCGTTGAGAGATTATTTTTTCAATGTTACCGCGAGTAGTTGCCGCTCGTTTTCTTAACCCGTCGTTACCGAGGTGGTCCCGAAGAAGACCTACGGGAGCTCCTACAAGAATTCCCCCAGGTCTTCCGGTGGGAATGATTGGAAATTAGTCCTCTCGAGTTAGAGGTTCGGGTACGACCGAGACCTTCGCCCCGGGAGGTCGCGGTAATAAGCGTCAGGACTCCTCGGACGAGGCTCGAGCTCGTTTGGTCGAGCTCGTCGGGGAAGGGACCTCGTGTATGCCGGATCTCCTCCCATCGCGGCGCGATGAATGACGGCGTTGCGCAAACCCATGGGAGATTTATGCCCGAATCTCGCGATAACGGAACAGCGCTCCCTGTTCTTCGGACGTGGTCCCGGAGCGAGAAGAGCGACCGGCCGTTAAGATAGAGCCGCAACATCGGTGCGTTAAGAAAAACGAGCGAAAGGAAGAAAAAAAAGAAGAAGAAGAAGAGCAGAGGTCGCGGCCTCGCTTGCCACCGCCTCGCCGGCGGTCCCTTCCTCGAGGAAACGTGCCCCTCGTCGCGGAGGTCCACGGCTCGTTCCCTACCTCGAAATCCCCGCTCCGCGGAAATTTAGCTCTAGTCGAGCCAAGACACGTTCCTGTATTCGCGCCGTTTCCAGGACGTGCCCGGCCACGAGGAGGAGCTCGGAGAAAAGGCCCAGTCCTTTTCTGCCGGTCCTCCAGGTCGGAGCGTCTACGGATAGCGGCGAGCGTTTTCGGTGTGGTCGGTTAAACGATGTTAAATTAAGTAAGCGTCGCGGGATCTCTTAGAGCCAGGCCAGGTCGTCCAGAAGGTGTCCCGCCACTTGGCTCGGCGAGGTCGTCGAACGAAACGAAACTCCCGCGTAATCCTTACACGGGGACAGTCCGTCCGAGAGGGCGGCCGGAGGAGTTCGGGATCGAACACCCCTACGGGACGGTCAATATCGTAAACGACGTAGAGTACGTATTTTCTACGGGATGCGTCGTTTGTAAAGTGTTACTAGGTGTATCGTATATTTAGATATGCATATATGTTTACAAGAGCCTAGAGAGGTATAGTTTGTTACGTGGATGTTACCTACGAGGAGGGTGTCGGGAACGCGCCCACGTTCCCGGGCGTAAGCGCGCGACTAGGTTCCGGGGTCGATTCCTGGACCCGTTCGGGAACGGTCCCAGGGATATCGGGGAATCCGTGTCCAGTTGCCTCGTTCGATCGTTTCTTTTCTTTTCTTTTTTTTTTCTTTTTGCCTAGCGACCGTCGATGGAGCGTTTCGTTGCCTCCCGGCGTTTTCCCATCGCGGCTCGTTTCCCGATTTCGACGCCGTCCCGGAGGCGTCGGTACTTCGAAGCACCGGGAACCTTACCCTTAGAAGGTTCCTGGTTCCGCGGCGGATCGTCGTCGGAGGAAAGGGAGGGACTATCTCGGGGAACGAGTCGATCCCAATCTTCGTTAGAGCTCAGGACGCACCGTGTCCTTGGGCGTCGGTTCTGTCGGCATCGACCTCGTCCTTACGGTTCTGTGATAAGCTTTAGCGAGATATCCCCGAGATATATCGGAATCCGGAGCGTTCCGTCCACGTCCGCGGTGTTTGCGAGGCAACGCGCCGGAAGGGCTCTCCGGGTTGTCGGCCGATCGGTTAATGTCCTCCGGGGGAGCGAAGAGGACGGGACGTAGAGAGAAGAGTACAAAATAACGCGTCCTAGGGAATATCGAGCGTCTTCGACGTCTCGAGGACCTATCGAGAGACGAGGTGCGCGCCGAACGGTATACAATCATCACACAATAAGGCGGAGAGGAGTTACGGCTAAATATATAAAGATGATATATATATATATATACATACATGTATACAAAATTATCTATAAAAATTGTATATGTATTCACGTCGTTGCGCAACGTTAAGCGGAGGCGAATTAGGCGCGCGCACGAGGGAGAAGACAAAGCAGTCGTTGCGAGAGTGCCGGGAATTAATTTGCACGCGAGTACGTGCGAATATCTAGGTACCTAGCGATGTACGGAGTGAAGGAATGCAGCCGCACGCGGGAGCGCAACCGCGGACGGCCGCAGCGGAATACGTTAGAGGAGGATCCCCGAGAGGGGGAGTCGCGTATCTGCGTCGTTTCGTCCGAAACTATGTACACCCCGTGTTCGTCGCGTATATACGCGGATATACATACGTGTTTGACGTATACGTGTAGGAGCGTGTATCGTTAATAAAGTGTTGATACGTGGTTGACGATACGTCATCGAGCACATGTCGACGCGGAACCGCGAGAACGTCCCGAGGGGGTCCTTGCTCGGCCCGACCGCTACGTCATCTCCGTCGTCTTCGTTCCTCTTTCCGATGCAGGTCGGACCGCCGACCGCCGCCGAATCCCTCTCCTCCTTCCGAGGATCGTCACGTCCTCGCCACCCTGGTGGACCGGCGCCAGAGGAGCCTGCTCCTGGAGGCCGCGCCGAGGACGGGCTTCGCCAGGAGGAAGATCAAGGCGAGGACGAAGGAGGCGAAGACCAGATCCCGACCTACCTCGGACCCTGGCCACCAGCGTAGGTAAATCCCGTTGATGGTGGCCGCCAACAGGAGGATCGTCGCCGCGATCCCCAGGATCCCGTGGATCACCTTCAGCAGGACGGGGCTTACCCGAGGGTAGAGCCAGTTGGCGTTCTGAGTGGGGATGCCGGAGATCGCCACCAGGACCCCCACGACGACCGCGCTCAGCCCCAGCTGGCCGTGGGTCGTCATAAAGTGGTCCTTGTTGTACCAGCTTTTGTTAACCACTATCACCGCGAAGCCGGCGATCGTCAACCCGAGTCCCAGGGTGTGCAGCACCCAGTGGAGGGTCACCCTGCCGCGCCTGGAGAGTCTCTGGTTCAAGTAGGCCTCCCCGGAGATGCCGAAGACCGCCTCCGTCATCAGCAGACACACCTGGACGGGGGAGAAAAGTCCCTTTAGACGACGCCCCCACTTCCATCCCTCGGGACCCCGTGACCCCCGGTTGACCCGCGGAAATCCCGATCCCGGTCGAATCGCCGATACGTTCCCGATACTCCCAACACCGACCGCAACTTTTTGCGCAATCCCCTCCTCGTTGGAGCGTTTCACCGTTGCCCAATCGACCGATCGTAAACGAATACCCATCGAACCCGCCATCCCGCCGCCATTTTGGTTCACGCGTTCTCCGGGCTGGAGAACGGACTCACCCCGACCGTCGTGCAGATGGGGTGCCAGGAGAAGAAGCTGTACTTGATGGCCGAGAGGACGACCACGTAGATCACCGGCCAGACCAGCAGGACGTGCGTCAGGGCGGAGACCGAGAGCACCAGGAGGGACGGCGCCGCCTTGACGGCGGCATTGTCGTCCTTCATCTCGTCGAGCGGTCCCTTCCGGCCTCTTTCGAGCTTCTGCCGGGGAACACCTTAGCCTGGAATCATTTATGTAACTACCAGGCGAAGGATGGCCGGCGAGTGACTCATTAATAATTATGCGCTCCTCGGCCTCGGCGCCTCCTCGGTCCTCGGGAAAGCGACGAGGCGTCGTTCCTTCGCCCCCGAAGGAACGACGCCTTCGTCGCTCCCGTGACCTCTCGTCGTTGCCTCGGATTTCCCGCGACGCCTCCAACGTTTGCGGATCCGACGCCCGACGGACGAGCTGTACAAACACCCGGGGAAGACGCCAACACCCGACCGCCGAGAGTGGGGATCCGACGAGCGCTCCACGAGGCTTTATTCCGGAAAATCGAGGATCGTCGCGGTGTCGTTGCGTCCGTGCCGAACGAGTCTCCTAGAACGGTTCTCGTATTTGCTGCTCGCGGGGAAGAGGAGGAACTTTGGCCACCGAGAGGTCGACCCCGAGCACGGCATTGCGCAACGGAGGAAGATCGATAAAACCTCTTACGCCGCTTTCCTGCTTCCTCGTTCGAGCGGACGGTCTCCGCGAGGTCGACCCGAGAGGAGCGATCTTCGGGAATGATCGAGGTCACCGTTGTAAATGCGATTTTTAGGATTTTCAGCGAAGAAAGGAGACCACGGAAACGGTCGATCGGCCCGGGTCGTCCCTCGCGGTTTCCGGTCCGAGGTGGGCCTCTAGGTCTCGAGGAGCGACGCGAAGGGAAATAGTCAACGTCGATTACCGGTCGTCTCCCTTCGAGTCGGGATCGGTGAGGTCGGCGAGGTCGGTCGAGGTTCCCGATTCCGAGCTGGACCGTCCGGAGCGCGACTCGCGACTGAGCCCGGTGCCGGCGCGTTTATCGTGGCCTCCGTGCCGATAATCGGACGCTCCCACTCCGCGTTCTCCGGCGCCTCCACTCGAGATCGACGCGGTCGTCGGCCGGTCCGGCCGGAAGCTGCCCTCTGCGGTCGCGACTTCCTCGTCGGGGTGCCTCCCGAGGACCTTCCCGGGAATCGATCAAAGAGGAGGGATCGAGCCCGGGAAGATATTAAGATATGCCGTAGAGACGCTCGGCGGAGAAGGCGCTCTAGGTTGGCTCATAGCTATGCGGCGCATGGCTCGACCTCGACGTTTCGTTTCGATGGAATGCATCGGACGGAAGGCCGTTCTCCACGTGCGCCATAAGTTTATTTACGAGGCGCGCCGAGAGCGGGGAAACGCCTAGCGATATTTATTTAGCCTGGGGAACGGAAGGCGCAGCACCTCCGAAGCCTCTAGGAGGTCGTCCTCGAGGTACGTCGAGGCGACAGGTGGTGCCCGGAGGGCGGCCCACCAGCGACCGGCAGGTGTCGCCGAGAGCCCTACGCCGCGTCGTTCCGTTGGCGTCGCGTTTCCTTGGTAACGAGGGGAATCGATCGGGCTTCGATCGGTCGAAGCGTGCTTTCCGGGGTCCGAGGTTCCCCGGCGTCGAGTCGCGAGGAGGAAACCGAGGAACGCGCGTGGCGGGATCGACGATATTCATTTTTGCTCCCGGAAGATGGTCCAGGTCGACAGGCGGAGGGCACTGATCGTCTCCACCGCGGGGCACTTCTTCGGAGTTCCCGTCGGGGACGAGACCTATGCCGCGGCCGTCCCGGTCTTGGAGAAGTTCCTGGACGTCTCCGCGTACAGGACTCTGTGCGCGAGGCCCGGTCGAGACGCGAACGGCGAGCTGACTCTGATCCTGACCGGCGATATGCCTCCTGGAGGGAACACCTTGGTCTTCTTCAAGGTACCCGTCCTCGCCGGGTAACGAAACGATCGGCGAGCCGACGAATTCCGGTTGCGTTTCAGCTGGCGGCCTCGCGGGTCACCGAGGAAAATTTCCACGACCTGGTGCAGGTCGCCTCCACCGGGGGAGGCGGGGGTTCCACCCTCGTCGAGGCGATCCGCCGAGTGTGGGGACCTGTCCTGCAGTCCTCGGGAGTGGATTCCTCGGTTTTGAAGAAATTGGAGGACGACATCTTGGGCCCCAGGGCCCCCACCTCGCTGGCTGAGGAGGAGATCTTCTGGCAGAAGCGAGGAAGCGAGGCGAGGAGGTCCTCGGAGAAGCGATCCTTCGGGGAGATCGCCCACATCCTGAAGAGCATGAGGGTCGAGCTGGAGAGCGCGGGGGCTTCCAGGTGAGACTCGGTGGATCTTTTGCCAAAGGATGGTCCGAGACGTTCCCGATGAATGTCGACAGGGAAGGGTTGGCCGCGATGGAGGAGGCCCTCGAAGCCGTGTCGGGGTACGCGGACGACCTCTGGAAGCAGGGCGGTTCGGTGTACTCCGAAGATCGCACCAGGTCCTTGCTGGACATCGTCGGGAACGAGGTGGTCCTCGCGGTCCGGAACCTCGTCGACCTCGTAAGAACCTTTTCCACGCTTTGTTTCGTTCCGAACGCCTCCGGGTTACCCTGGTCCTCTCCCTCGATTCCTCGAGAGACTCCTCGGGGAGCATCGAGAATCGAGAATCGAGTCTCGACGAGGTTTCGTTTAAGGCCGCCAATTCGGGATCGAGAGCCAGAGACGAGGCCTTGACGATGGGAGCCTCGGTCTGCGAGAAGTGGGTCCAGCTCTCGGAGAAGCTGACGAGCCTCTTCTGGCCCCATCACTCCCTTCGGCCTTGGAAGAGTGGGACCTTCAGGCCCACCAGGTGTGCCCGACTGGGAGAAAGACTCAGGTAACGATTTTCCAGACCGGACCGCGCGCAAAATCCTTGCCTCATGGGATTTCTCATTTACAGACAAATGGCGGAAATTCGGGCCCAGCACCGCCAGCTGGCGAGACTGCTGAGCCCCGCTGAGAGGAACGGACTGGGCATCGACGAGCTGCTTCAGAGTCTCGACGAGTTTCAAAGTAAAGACGATCGCCACCTAATTTGCGCCCAAACGGGAGGTCGATCCTTAAATCGCGAGCGCTGATTTCAGTCAAATCGGAGGACGACTGGAGCGAGATCGACTGGGAGAGGCTGAAGAGGAGGACCGAGGAGGGTCTGGCACCTGCCGAGGAACGCGTCGCGGGGAAGCTGAAGAAGCAGCTCGCGGACGCGAGCACTCCCGCCTCCTTGGCGTCCGAATTCCGCAGATACGGAGACCTGATGAAGAGGGAGGCTCTTCGGCGCGCTCTTCGTGGCGAGAGGGAAGCTCTCCTCGCCGCCTTCGACGACTTGATAGGTGCGCCTCTCTCTTTGACTTCCTCCTCGCTCTTTCGCCCCATTCATGCCAGGATGCTTCAGACTCTTGCCAAGCCGATCCGGACACCGGAGACCTCCTGGACACTCCTCGAATACTCCAGGAAGTGCAGTCGGCGAGGGCGGCCGAACTTCGTCTGGAGAACCTTCGCACCCTCGGGAAGGAACTCCTGTCGGACCTTCCGGGATACGAGAAAGTTGCCAAGAAGATCGCGACCGGTCTCAGGGACGCGGAGAAGAGGAGGCAACACCTCGTCGACTCCTGGGTACCGCCCGAAGACGACGGTTCGTCGACGAGCGTATTCTGACCCCGCGGTCTCCGTTTCCCTCAGGTGGCGGAGGTCAAGGCAGCGATCTCGAGGAAGGAACTTACCCTGGGGACCGACGGCGCGGTGGTGGAGCTCACCGGGGCCAAAATGATGCGCGTCAACTACGAGCCCAAGCTGATGAGGTTGGTTCGCGAGGCCAGAGCATTGTCCAGTCAGGGGGTAGAGCTCCCGAGGGAGGCGAGGGACCTGGTGGAGCAAGCCGGGGCTCTGGCCGGCCGAGCGAGGGCTCTCCAGCAAGTGGCGACCTTCCACAACACGATAGGAGACCGGATGATCCTCTCGCAGAGGCCTCTGATGCTGGCCGCGGCTCTGGAGCTGGACAGGGCCGTCCGGGACCAGTCCGGGGTGGTCTGGTCGGATCCCCTGGCCGTCGACGCCTACACGGCTCGCCTGAGAGACCTGGTGAGCTAGTAGTGCGCGAAACGAGCGCTCTCCCGGCTACGTTTACCTTGAATCGTTCCTCCAGGTGAGAAAATTCGCTCGTCAGAACGCGGAGCTCGCGGCCAAGCACTCGACCGTTCTCGACCTGGTGAAGAACTTGCTGAGCGGCGACGCGGTTAATCTGGCGAACAGCCAGGCCACCTGGAAGGAGACTCTGAGAAACATGAGGGCGATCGTCGACGGCGTCGAGGCCGAGCACGGGAACACGGCGGCCTGGAAGCTGCACTGGGACCGACAGCTGTTGAAGGTGTTGGACGTCGCTTACCGGTGAGTCTTCCCAGAGATACCCGGAAAAGGGACGATCCTTGACTCGAAGAACGTTTTTCCCTCCTCCCAGGGCGGCGTTACCATCGCTGCTGAGGAGACTGCCGGAAGTTAAGGTCGAGCTCACCTTCCGCGAAGGTTCTCTCCAGTGGAGACCGAGCCTCGAAGAGGTCAGGGCAAAGCTGTACTCGGGGATACGCAGGTTCCTCGCGATTCCCACAAACTTCAGAGGCGTGGGCGACCCGGCCGATGGCCACTTCGGGGACCTCGTGCAGAGAAGCGCCTACCTCTTCGGAGAGGTATACAGGGAGGCGGAAATTCTTCTCTCGGCGATGGAGTCCTTCAGGGCCGGGTGGATGAGCCTGGCCGCCCCTGCGAGGATCGACGCCGGAGAACGGTAATGGATCTCAAAATCCCCCGGAATCCCCTCCGGAGGTCAATCTAACGCGTCCTTTTGCCCGCGATCGCAGGTTGAAGGGCAGCCCTCCGCAGGAATGGGAGAGGTCCTTCAAGGAAGCCAAGCAGTGGGCCCAGGAGGTGAGAATCCTCTTCGTCTCGAATTCTTCCAGTTAATTTCAGGGATAACTCCTCGCATTTCAGGTTGGACGTCTTCGAGGAGTCGAGGTGAAATTGTGGTGCGTCACCGTCGACACGGGGACCACCAGGAACGACCTGGAGTCGGCCTCGCGCAGGTACTGGGAGAGACTCTCCTCGGACTTGAGAGCGGAGGCCTCTTCGAGGTTGGCGGTGGTCGCCGATTTCCTGTCCTCGGCTGCGAAGGAACTGGATCGACGTCCTCGCAGCGTCGAGGAGGTGGGCTCCGCCCACGAGGCGCATCTCCGGATCCAGCAGCGCTCGGCGGTCGTTGCCGAAGAGCTGGAGGCGGTCTCCGGCCTCGGCAGGGTCCTGGCTGCCTGGACCAGGGAAGGGCTCGAAGGTTAGGAGGGAACTCTTGCGAGAAAGTCGAGATACGTACCATCCTGTGGTTTCTCGTGTCTAGGTATCAGCGGAGCTCGCGCCGCCTGGGAGGGCCTCGAGGAGCGCCTCGAGAGGCACCGCTCGGTGGTGGCCAAAAGGCTGGAGGACGCCAAGACCGACCTCCGCCATCGCGCAGCGGCCCTCCGGGACGAGCGGGAACGCTTCGAGGCCAGGTGGTCCTCCAAACCCGAAGAGGAAACCCCTGCCGAGTGGGTGACTTCGACGAGGGAGAGGTGGCAGAGTTTAGCCGAGCAGAGGGACCTCCTCGACGCCGACTGTCGGAAGCTCGGCCTCGAGCTCAAAGACTTCCTCGAGGACTACGACGAAGGCCTGGCCGCTCTTCGGGCTCGGCTGGAAGCCGAAGAGTCCGACTGCACCTTCCGGGCGGAATTTCTTGACGAGCTGAAGAGCCAAGAGGCCGAGGAGTGGACCGTGGCCAGAAGGAGGCTGCCCAGGCTGCACGACTGGCTCGACTCCTGGGAGACCAGGGTTCGATCGCGAGTCGCGGACCTGAAGCCCGAATCCGATGAGGACCGACCGAGGACGGACACCTTCGTCGAGAGGAAAATAAGAGAAATCCGCACGACCCTCGAAGCCGTGCAGCTCCTTCGGGGGGACGAGCTCGCCGAGGAGCACTGGCTCGAGTTGAGGCCTCTTCTGGGCCTCGGACAGGAGGGCACCCTGCGAGACCTGACTCTGGGTCATCTTCTGGGCTGCGCCAAGAATATCGAGGAAAATGCTCAGACCGTCAAGGTAAGGGTCTGTCGGCGATTCGTTCGTTTCGAGCCCTGCCACCCTCGTTTACCTTGCAGGACGTAACCAAAAGGGCCGCTGCCGAGAGCGGGATTCGTCAAGCTCTCCTGGAAGTAGAATCCTGGGAAGGATCCGCGTCTCTTGGGCTGCAAGAATTCAAAGACAGCGGAAACGCCACCGTGGTCTTGGTCAAGGAGTACGGAGGACTCCTCGGCCGCGTCGGTGAGATCGGGAGGGAATTGGCCGAGTTCAGTTTTCCAACTCCTTCGCCGTCGACGTCTCTCGAATTTCTTTTGCACCTTCTAGGGGAACTGAGACTCTTCCTGGAGGGAGCCAAGGGAGCTTCGAGCTACGAGAGGTTCTCCGGAAGGGCTGCTCGCTGCGAGACCGCCCTGTCCGAGCTCGAGGAGCGCATCAAGCTCCTCGGCGTCTTGCAGAGGAAGTGGATCTATCTGGAGCCCGTTTACGGTGGAGGCGCCGCCCCGAACGATTCCGCGAGGTGGCCGAGAGCCGACAAGGAGTTTCGCTATCTCATGGGGGAGGTTTCTCGCGATCCAAGGGTCTCCTCTCTGAGGAGACTCCCGCTGCCGGCCATGACGAGCCTCAAGGACTCGCTGGAGCGGTGCCAGAGGTGCCTCGACGAATTCCTGGAGGTGAACGTCGCCGTCCACACCGATCGTTGGTTCGGAATAAATCGGATAATGCCCATTCTTGCGACCGGCAGGAAAAGAGGTCCGCGTACCCGAGGCTCTACTTCCTGAGCGACGACGACCTTCTGGAGTTGGTATCCGGAACCGGGAGGGGCCTGGAGACTCACCTTCCGAAACTGTTCCAAGGAGTGGGCTCGATCCTGAAAGTGGAGGACCGACTCGAGGCCGTGGTCTCTCCGGAGGGAGAAGTACTGAAGCTGGCCAAGCCCGTGGACCTGACCGAGCCCCTGCCGACCTGGCTCTCCTGCCTGGAAGAGGAGGTGCGGCGCACTCTCCGGCAAACCCTCGAGAAGTGCCTTTCCGATTCCACGCCCGACCCCTCCTCGTACCCCGCACAGGTTTGGAAGGAAACGTTTCTCCGGTATCGTACCTCGAACGAGTCCCGACATAATGCTCGCCTCGTCCTCTCCTTCAGGTTCTTCTTCTCGCGGAGAGGATCCGTTTCACGGAACGCTGCGAATTGGCGCTCAAGGAGGGTAAGTCGAGCGCGAAGACCTTGGTGGACTCTCTGCAGTCACAGAGGGCCCGGTACAGGGGCCTCGAGGACGCCGGCGACGAGCTGACGGCCCTGAAGGCCAGGGCGCTCCTTCTGGACACGGTTCACCACCTGAACGTCTCCAGAGAAGTCCTCGAATGTCTGCGGAACGGCGAGGAACCCTCCTGGACCTGGAGCCGTCAGCTCAGGAGCTACCGAACGGTGGGTCGCGTTCGTCCTCGCTTTTCTCGGTCCCGAGGAAGAGAACGAGATAGGACTTTGTTGCAGAACGCCGGACCGGTGATAAGGTGCGCCGGGGCGGAGTTCCCCTATCGCTTCGAGTACCAGGGAGCCGCGGTCGGCCTCGTGAGGACGAAGCTGACGGAGAGGTGTTTCCTGGCTCTGACGCAGGCCATGAAGCTGGGTCTCGGCGGAAGTCCGACCGGGCCCGCGGGAACCGGCAAGACGGAAACTGTTAAGGCCCTCGGTGCCATCCTGGGACGGCTCGTCTTGGTCTTCAACTGCGACGAAGGTTCTCCAGTGGATTTTACTCGTACCGTTGTACCTTGATCCGATATTATTTATTTATTTATTTTTTCATCTAACCCATCCATTGCCCCAGGGATGGACGCCGGCAGCATGCATCGAATTCTCGGGGGTCTCGCCCAGGCCGGAGCCTGGGGATGCTTCGACGAGTTCAACCGCCTCGAGGAGGGGACCCTCAGCTCGGTCGCGATGTCGGTGAGGCCCCTTCAAGAGGCGGTGCGAGACGGGGAGAGGCAGGTGGACCTGGGGGGTCGGAAGGTTACTCTAGACCCTCACTGCTGCGTGTTCATCACGATGAATCCCGCCGGAGCCGACTACGGAGGGCGCAACAAGCTCCCGGACTCCCTGGCCAGGCTCTTCAGGCCCATCGGGATGGCGCATCCGGACAGATCCGACATCGTTCGAGCCCTCCTCGAGTGCGCCGGATTCCTCGAGGCCGCCGTTTTGGCCGAAAGGCTCGTCGAGACCTTCGATATATCCGCGAGACTCCTCTCGAAGCAGCCCCACTACGACTGGGGGCTGAGGGCTCTTAGGTCGGTCCTGGACGCCCTTCCCTCGGGCTCTGGGTCCTCCGATGAATCCTCTCGGTAGGTTCGATCTAGAAATACGATTATGTTTATCCAATCTTTTCTTTGGATCGGCAAAAGAGCGATCGCTACTCGGCCTTCAGGTTACTGGCGGCCATCCGAGCGTCGACCCTGCCGAAGCTGACCGAGACGGACGCCAGAAAATTCCGGGCCCTGCTGAAGGACGTCTTTCCCTCGGTAGACCCTTCGGGCTCCTGGACGGACGGAAAGGACCTCCGTGCTGCCTTGGCGGAGGTCTGCGAGTCGCGGAACCTGCCCGACGAGGTCCTGTCGAGGTGCGCGCAGCTCCACGTCCAGCTGCGAGGAAGAGCGGGCGTGGCGATGGTCGGTCCACCCGGGAGCGGCAAGACCCTCGTCAGAAGGACCCTGGCCGAGGCCCTGGCCAAGATCGGACAGCCGGTGGTCCAGCTGGTCGCGTATCCCGGCGCAATGCCGAAGTCCAGACTCCTGGGGCGGGTCGACCCCCGGACCAGGTGAGTCGGATCCTTGATCGATCTTGGAACTTAATTTTGCATCGTAGAAACTAATTCCGCTTATCAGAGAATGGAAGGAGGGCGTCCTGTCGAGGATGGTCTCTTCCGCCGGAGACTCCGCTACGTGGATCGTCCTGGACGGAGACGTGGAGCCTGGATGGGCGGAGGCCTTGAACTCCGCCCTGGACGACAATCGGCTACTGACCTTGCCCAACGGAGTCGGCATCAGGCTCGGTCCCGGGACCAGGTAGGCGGATCTTCCGCACTCTTCGACGTTAACGCGAGTCCTGCGATGAAGATATCCGTGTCTCCGGCAGGTTCGTCTTCGAGACCCACGGACTTTCCGGGGCCAGCCCGGCGACCGTATCCCGACTCGGGGTGGTTCATCTTCCGTCGGCGAGTCCTTCGTCTCTGATAACGTCCTCGAGGTTGGCCGCGCTTCCGTCGGTCTCCAAGGACCTGGCTTCGGCCCACCTGGGAGGAGAAGCCATCGACTGGGCGCTCAAGGACGACCGGCAGTTCTCCGCATCGGGGCTGATAGGAGCCGTCCTCTCTCACCTGGCGAGGGCCGAGACCAAGACCTCGGCGGCTTACGCTCTGCTGGTCTCTCTCTGCGGTCAGGTTGCGGATCCGAGCGAGAGGGACCAGCTCGCCAGGCGAATTTATCGATCGACCGATTGCTGGTGAGCGACGACCTCTTCCATCTCGATATTCCCGTGACCTTGCTTGAAAGGATTTCTTTTCCCTGGCGAATATCAGGTGTCCCGACCCCGAGAGGCCTTTCGACGCGCTGTACAGCTCGGAGATCGACCGGCTGGAGCCATTTTCCGGAAGTGCGGAATGCGTCGAGACGGCGGAGGGCCCGGTGCTCCTTTCCGGTATTCCGTTTCTTCGTCCAGGGTGGTCCCATGTTGTGAGAGTCGCAGGATGATCGGGGAACGTTTTCAGGGTCCGTGAGGAGAGCTCTCGCGGCGATCGCGCCCTGGATAGACTCCGGGCATCCCGTCGTGGTGAGAGGACCACCCGGGTGCGGAAAGGAAACGGTGATATCCGCCGCCCTCTCGCTGGCCAAGGACCGGGGGGAGGAATCCTTCGCCCTCGTGAAAGGATCTTCCCTTTACGGGACCCAGGACTTGTTGGCACGGCTGAAGAGAGTCTGCGTCAAGATGGACTCCTCGTCCCATGGAAGAGCCTACAAGCCCAGGGTCGGGGAACGGGTGGGGTTGATCCTGAAGGACCTGCATCTCGCCTCGATGGATCTGCAGGTACGTTCCCTCGGAAAGGACTCGAGAAGTGTTCCCGAGCGAAGCGTCTCTCGTTTTTCCGTCAGGAGGTCCTGCGGGAACTCCTTCAGGAGGGTGGATTCCACGAGGAAGACTTGGAATTCGCTCGACTCCCTTTGGCCTTGATTTGCACCGCGGACTCCTCGACGAAGCTCCACCCAAGACTGCAGGCCATCCTGGCATCTCACTACGTGCCGTAAGTTGTCCCTAGGTTCTTCTCGAACCCTCCGAGGAATTTTCTGAGATCCTTCCCTCAGACCTCCGAGCGCCAAGGACCTCGAGGGAATAGTGGAGCTCCACCTGCGGCGAGCCCTGAAGGACGTCGGCGTTTCGGTGGATTCTTGGATCTCCAGGATGTCCCCCGCCATCGTCGACGTCTTCCAAACGCTCTCGCCGAGTCCCGACTCGACCTCCTGGACCCCGAAGGACGTCGTCCTTTGGAGCGACTCCATGAGATTTTACCCGGACCCGGAAGGCGACGCAGCACTCACGAGGCACCTGTTGGACGCGGGACACCGACTCCTGGACTCCAGGTTTTACTTCTCCTCTCGGTCTCGATCTCGCTAAAGTGTTCTCCAAAACTCTCTCCGCTCGGGTCGAGACGTCTCGTCTAATTTCCAGATTCACCGGGAAGGATCGGTCAAAGTGGGAATCGAGGATCGCTTCGAAGTCCCCAGGAGTCAAGTACTCCGGAGACGACGTCTACGTGTCGAAAGGTGGAGGCGCCGGGCTAATTCCTCTTTCGGCCGAGGAGTGGAAGCTGCAGATCGAGAACGCGGTCGCGAGATGCGCGAGGGAAGGCGACCCCGTCGAGGCCTCGATCTCTCCCCACCTTCTGCAGACCGTTGCCGGTCGGTATACAATTTTATCAGGTACCTGTGAAGAGAAATCAGGATTCTATCCCTTTTTTTTTTTATCGCGAAGGTATCTGTTGGGCCCTGGGCTGTGGGCAAAGAGGAGTCGTCCTGACGGGGCGGGCAGGAGCGGGTCGCAAGTCGGCCGCGAAGCTCGCCGCGACCCTTACCTCCCTCCGGGTCGTCGAATCTGCCCCTGGTACGACGTCCTCGATTTTAACGCTCCTCTCCTCGGCGGTACGTCGATAGAAAACTGAGGTAACTCAAAATTTCCCAGGCCGAGGAAGAGCTGCGGTGAGGTCTTCCGTGCAAGCTGCAGGAATCGACGGGGAACCGACACTGCTCCTCCTCGAGGAGCACCACGGGAGCGAGGAAGGACTGGACGTCCTGGCAGGTGCCATAGTAGCCAATGGAGAGCTTCCTGGCCTCTTCTCCCCCGAAGAACTCGACGGCCTCGTGGCCCCCTTGGCGGAGCTGTCCAGGAGGGAGGACTTCTCCGGCACCCTCGAACAATTTTTCCATCATCGTAGGTTGCCGATCTCCGAGTCTCGTCCCGGATGCCCCTGGCTAGTTCTCCCTATAAGAAACGTTTTTCTATTATTTTCCCCCAGGTTTGCGAAATCTCCTTCGAGTGGTGATCATTCGGGACGCCGAAGACGTCCTGGAGGAACGGTCGAGTCGGTCGGGCCTGGGAAAGTCCTGCATCTTGGTGGGTCCGGGTCCCGGCAGCGAGTGGTGGTCCTCGGAAGGACCCTTGACGGAGCTGGCTCTGCAAAAGAGCGGTCTTCGAGGAACGGAGGCCGTCAAGATGGCGGTGAACTCGCATCTTCGAGCTCCTCGTCGCCAGCGAGCGCCCGCTAGGTTCCTGGCTCTGCTTCGAGTCTGGCTGGATCTGAGAGACAAGTGGACGGAGGAGATAGAGAGCGAGCTGGCCAGCCTCGAGGCCGGCATCGGCAGGCTCAGGGAAGCCGGAGACCGGGTTTCCAAACTCGAGGAGGAGGCCTCGCGGCAGCGCCAGGAGCTGGAGGTCCTCCGTCCTTTGATTCGTCCCCTGCGAGTCCCGATTTATTTTCCCGTCGTCCCTGAATTTCTTTTTTCCTCGACAGGCCGAGAAGGGGAGGGCCGCCGCAGCCCTGGAGCAGATCAGCGCCACCATGAGGGGAGCGACTGGCCAGAGAGGCGAGATGACGACGTTGAAGGCCGAGACCGAGCGCGAGAGCGCGGAACTGGCGCGTCGGAAGGTACCTCTCCTCGAGGATGATTATCTCCCGAAAATTCGATTTAAACGTTTGGGTGGGTCGCAAGGCGGACATCGAAGGCGAGCTGGGAAAAGTCGAGCCGCTGGTGGAGCAGGCGGCCCAGGCGGTCGCGGGGATAGGAGCCGACGCCCTGGCCGAGGTGCGATCCCTGCGAGCGCCCCCGGCCCCCGTAAGGGACGTCCTCGAGGGAGTTCTCCGACTAATGGGCATCAGGGACACCTCTTGGAACAGCATGAAGACGTTCCTGGCGAAGCGGGGAGTCAAGGACGAGATCAGGCGAGTACCGCGTCGGCCGCGCGACGAGTTCGATCTCTCGGAGCGAACCGACCGATTTTTTACAGGTCCTGGGACGCCAGGAGGAGCTCGGCGGCTAGCCTGGAAGCCGTGGAGAAGCTGGTGAAGGAGCGGCCGGAGAGCTTCGAGGAGAAGACTGCGAGAAGGGCCTCGGTCGCGGCGGCGCCCTTGGCCGCCTGGGTCCTGGCGAACCTGCAGTACGGCCAGATCCTGCAGCAGGTCGCTCCTCTCGAGAGGGAGCAACGAGCCTTGGCGCGGTAGGTCCGATCCTTTTCGATCCTCCTTGCCCCGCTCCGGGCCGAATGAATTTCCTTATCCCCCAGGAAACTCGCGGCCGCGGAAGCCGAGCTGGGCAGGCTGGCGACCGGGCTGACAACCGTGGAGAGCCGCGTGGCGCAGCTCCAGGAGGAGCTGGCAGAGCACTCGAGGGGAGCGGCGACGCTGCAGCTGCGGTTCGAGGCCACCGAGGCCGGCCTCGAGACGGCGAGGACGCTGCTACGGAAACTGGACACCGAGCACCGCGACTGGCAGCTGCAGTCCGAGAGACTGACCGAGAGGAGAGCCAAAGTCGAGGTCGAGGCCGTTAACGCGGCCGCGCTGCTGGTCTACCAGGTACCCGTCGAGGAACGTCGCCCTGCCTCCTTGCCGACTAAGTCGCTGGTTCCTCGACAGGATCCGACGAGGGACCAGGAGTGCCGGAGGACCGCGCTCAACTTGCTGGTCACGGAAAGGGAGAGACTCTCCTGGAGAGCTCAAGGTCTCCCCGGAGACGTCGAGAGTCTCGTCGGGGCGGCCTGTGCTCTGAAGGGCCCCCTGGTTCCGCTCTTCGTGGATCCGGCCGGGGTGGCGGTCGCCTGGTTGAAGGCCGGAATGGGATCGAATCTCGAAGTGACGCGTCCCGAGGGAGCCAACTTCTCGACGAGCCTCGAGCTGGCCGTTCGCTTCGGAAAGCCGCTGCTGATCGAGGAGATCCTGCAGCTGCCGGGGGTGTTGCTGCCGTTGCTGCGCCGAAGGCCCCTGAGACTGGGCGAGCGCTCTCTCCCCGCCCGGGAGGGCTTTCGGCTCTTCCTGGCCACCAGACGCGACGAACTCGACGGACTGCCCAGCGAGGCGGACTCCGTGCTCTTCGAGGTCGCCTTCGGGGCCGGGACCGGAAGTCTCGCCGAGCGATTCGTCGAGAAGGTGGGTCGGAATTCGGATGCACCTCGGTCCATGGTTGATACCGATTAATCGTCTCGAAAGGCGTTGCTGAAGGAGACCCCGAGCCTGGAGACGGAGAGAAGAGAGGCTCTGGAGAGGGAGGAGCGGCTGTCCGGAGAGAGGGACGCGGCGAGGGTGGAGTTGCTGGCGCAGCTGGGGGCGGCGAGGGGTCAGGATCTCCTTCAAGAGGCGCAGGGTTCCCCCGGAGGTCTCTTGTCTTCTCTGGAGGCGACTCAATCCAAGGCCAAGGAGATCGCCGTGGCCCTCGAGGCGAGCCGACGCAGCTTGGAGGAGGTCTCCAGGAGGGCCGAGAAGCGCCTGCCCCTCGCCAGGTTCGCCGCGGAGCTCTTCGAGGCCGTGCAGAGGCTCGCCACTCTGAACCCGCTCTACGTCTTCTCCGCGGAGGCCTTCGCGGACGTCTATCTCGAGGCCGAGGCCTTCGAGGCCTCCCTGGCGGCGGAGGATAGATCCGAGGATATGCGGAAGACCGTTCAGAGGAAGTACGCCCCGGAAATCCGCTCTTCCTGGTCGCGTTGACGTACTGACTCCTCCCCTGGCTTTCAGACTCGTCGACCTGACTCTTCGCCACTGCACTATGGCGGCCTACAGGAGGGACCGACTTCCTCTGGCCCTGCATCTCGCGCTCTCCCTCGAGCCGGTTCCCGATGACGAGAGAAGTCTTTTGCTGAACGGAGGGTCCCGAGATCCCGGGAACCGGGACTTCTCGGTCCCCGAATGGATCCCCGAAGAACGGAAGCCGGCCGCCAGGGCGCTCGGCTCGGCTCTTCCTCAGGCAAGTTCCTCGAAGAATCCCTTAGAAAAGAAAAGGAAATAATTGTCCCGACGTCAAAACCGATCGCGTTTTCTAGCTGGCCGAGAAGCTGAAGTCCACGTGGTTGGATCACGTCGACGCCGTTTACGCGGACAAGACGACGACTTCCTTCCAGAAGACCTTGATCGTCCTGACCCTGCGACCGGACCACCTTCGGACGTCTCTGACGAGGTTCGTCGCGGAGCGGCTCGGTAGGACTTTAATTTTGGCGTCGTCGGGTTCCCCGGTATCCGGGACCACTGTTTCCGATTTATAGGATCGGTCTTTGGTCCCCCTCTTCAGGAACTCGAGACATCGGCCCGCCGTCGTGGTCTCTGGGAAAGATCGCCGAGGACCCCGGCTCGCATCCGGTGCTGCTGCTGCTGTCCCCCGGAGCCGATCCAGGACCGGAACTGAGAGGCCTCGCCGCGAGTCGCGGGGTCCCCGTTCCTGGATTCAGCGAGGTCTCCCTGAGTCGAGGTCAGGTCGCTCAGGCCGAGGCGGCTCTTGAAACGGCGTGCAGGTACTGTCCGCGAAGAAAGACGTAAGGAAAGGACGATCGGCCAAGACGAGGCGCTTCTTCGTCCTCAGGAACGGCGATTGGCTCCTCCTGAGCAACCTGCAGCTGGCTCCGACCTGGCTGCCCCACCTAGAGGCTCTTCTACGTTCTCCGGTCTACGCCCTGAGGAAGCCCGAGACCAGGGTCTGGCTGACGACGGAACAGTCCTCGGGATTCTACCCGGGTCTCGCTGGGCTGTGCCTCAAGGTCGCCTACGAACCCCCCGAGGGCGTGAAGAGGAACGCGAAGGGGTCTCTTCGGCAACTCCGACTGCGACAGCGCGGCTCCGAGGAGGCGGCGGGAACCTTGATGCTCGCCTGGTTGCACGCCGTTCTTCAGGAACGCCGAAGGTATCCCCTTCCTCGTCAGATCCCAGGAGAACGTCCCTCGATGGGGATTTATCGAAGCCGCGCTTTCGGTTCCAAGGTTCGTTCCTCAGGGTTGGACCCGGGAGTACGAGTGGAGCGAGGCCGACACCGAGGCGGCCTGCGAGCTGGTGGTAAAGGGGACCACCACGAAGAAAGGCGAGACGGTGGACTGGGAAGCCGGCCAGGGGTTGCTGGACGCCGCCGTTTACGGGGGAAGGATACAGGACTCTTACGACTCGCGAGCCCTGACGGCGATCCTGAGGAGCGTCTGGTCCAAGGACGTCTTCTCGGGTCGCGAGAAGCTGGGGGGAGTCGTCAACGTTCCCGAGGCGGTCTCCCAGGATGCCCTTCGGGTTCTCGATCGCCTCGGCGAGGACGATCTTCCGGACGAGTACTTCGGATTGCCGGCCAACGCTCTAGGAGCTTGGGAAAGGTCGACCGCGGAATCCGCGCTGGCTCGACTTCGAGGTGACTATCCGAATCTCTGATCTATATCGATCCACCGATCATACATTGTATCTCGATCGTAAATCTGGTCTCGATAACATCGTCTCGCTCGATGACCTCGTTTGCCGGACGAATTAGGAATGTCGCTGGCCGAAAGTGGGATCTCCAAGGATAAGGCCTCCAAAGACTTCGAGAAAAGGATGCGCAAGGACCTGCGGGACTTGTTGGAAAGCCGGATTCCCGATCCGAGGACGAAATCGACCGACCTGGTGGAGGATCACCCCTTGAGGAGTTATCTCAACGACGAGAGACGTCTGACCTCGAGTCTGCTCGAGCTGGTTCGAGGCGAGGTCGACGACGCGTCCTTTAAGGACCCCAAGGTCCGCGTTCTCCACGATCTCTCCAGTTCCATCTCCCGGAAGTTTCCTCGGTATAATTATTTCCTACTTCTTCAGACCCCGAAGCAGTGGCTGAAGCACTGGCCGGAGGGCCCCGAAGAGACCTTGCCCTTCGTGGCCGGCTTGGTTTCCAGACATCGGGCCCTGGCGGCCCTCCGACTCTCCGCCGAAGGCCTCCCCGCGAAAGTCGATCTTTCCTGGCTCGCCAGACCCCGGGCTTTCCTGGCGGCGTTGAAGCAATACACGGCTCGGAGCTCCGGAGAGCCTCTAGAGGGCCTCCGACTGCGGGCCAGCTGGCTGGACGGTTCCCAATCCGCCAACTGGAGGACCTCGGTAGTCATCGAGGGCCTCCTCGTGTCCGGTAACCCTCGCGTCTACGTTAAAGGAAGAATCACGAGATTAATCATTTATCTACCGGCTCGCCGGTCAGTCCAGAGAAATTATACGGATTTTTTTCTCTTAGGTGCCTTGATAGAAAACAGAAGTCTGAAGGACCTGGAGGCCGGCGCGGCTCCGGTCGCCGCGGCCCCGCCTTGCCGGGCGGCGTTTCTCCTCGAGGAAGTGGCGGGGGAGAACTCGGCAACCGGAGGGAAAGCTCCCTCAGAGGTCCTGCAGGTCCCCGTATACGTGGACTCGAAGAGGACCTCGGTGATCTGCTCGCTTCCCGTGGGCTGTCCAGGGTCGCGCCGGGACGTCTGGCTGCGCCGGGGCGTCGCCCTCCACCCTCGCTAAGGCCCGACGGTGCGAGACAACCTCCTCCCCGGTACCGGCGTAAAGTGCTTTATTATCGTAAAATTTAATAAACTTTACAGATGAATATCGTTAATCGAGGAAAATATACGGTAGTTTAGTGTAACGACTAACGAGTTACGCAATTAGACGCACGAGGTATACGCTGAGATTCCATTGGAAATTACCGAAACTATTCGCCGCCTCGCGCCTCCTCGCTCTCGGAGGGATCCCGACGGGGGCGACATCCGGATGGGGATACCCTCCGAATTATCCAGGACGCTCGGCGACAAACCGCAATCATAATAATTAACGACAATAGCTAATACGCGATATTTCCGACAGTCGCAGGTCCTATGTCGGCCGTTGCGAGTGCCGATAACAAGGAGTCGAGTCGATAACGAGGGCGACCAACCCGGAGAAACGATACAACGGTGCCATGGGACAACGCTCGTCGGCGACGTCCCACCAGCCTCCGTTAACAGTCCGGGCGCGAGGTCGTCGATAACGAGAAAACGCCGATTAAACGGCCCAAAGAAGGGACGATTCGACTAAGGCAGTCCTAAACGAAGCCGGCCGTACCTCGATATGCGGTAAAAAGTCGTAACGATTAATGATACGCCATTATCGGTGATATCGTCGGGTCGCGCGTCCCTCTCCCGGCCCTCCGGGGAGCACATCGGCATCCTCGGAGCCGCTCCTTCCGGTTCCCGACCCCGCGGCGGACTCGTTCGCCCTGCCTTCGACGAAACCCTGCCTACCGGGTTCCCGAGGAACTCGGTCCCCAGGAGGCGCGGACCAGAAGGAGCGGCTCCTCGGGCCGGGACGCGCGAAGGTCCTCGCGAGAGGACGACTCCCTAACCTCTCGGGACAAGGATATATATCAGGCGATATATAACGACACGAGGCTACAACGACTTAGGTACGCACGGTACGATCGATTAAATTAACAATAGATAAAAAGTGAAGAGGGTTTGGGCCGAAATTGTCGTGATTGTCCCTTTTATTGCTCTAGTAACGTGAGAAATTTGCGGGCCAAACCCTCCACGAGGAAGGCAATACTGTGTTTTCATTTTCTCTCCCGTATACACATATATGCATGTACGTACATATATGTATACATATATATATTTCTCGTATCGTCTCCTACTTTCTTTTCGCCTCCCTACCTCGTTTATCCTCTGTCTCCCTTCGTTAACCGAAAACGGAGGGATTATTTATCCTGTCCTCGATTGCGTCTCGATATATATACATATATATACACGTCTCGGTATGCATATGTATATAGATATCCTCTCTGACCTCTCTTTCAAGTTAGTCGTTAGCGTGGACCGTAGAAGGCATTTTCGTTAAGTACTCGTACTCGAAAACTTCGATAAAATCGACTTATCTAAAGTAAATCGCGAGCGCGGAGACACGCTCGCTTACGTGCTCGATAAACGCCCGCTGTTTTTTTTTCTTTCTTTCTTTCTTTTTTTCTTTTATCGGGTCTGACTCTCATTGTACCGTGCAAAATCGTAATATGCGGTTATCGTGATGCCCGATGATTACATCTGGAATATATGTATATATATATATGTATCTCTCTAAATCGTAATCTCCTGGACGCGCCGACCGGAAGTGCCTCCGCGACTCCCTTCCCGTTTGCCGCCAGTTTTCCATCTTTTTCGGTTGTAAATAAGAACTTTGCCTCGGTCCATTAGTGATCCCTCCCAAAGGAAAGTGTCCTTTCGATGAAAGATGGTAAAACCCGAGAGATGGTAACCCTTCGTCCCTTGGTCGAAAAAGTGGAGTAGCCAGAGGCCTTCCTCGGGCGGTCGGGGTTCTACCTAGTCTCTAACGAATATTCGAAAGATCGCGACATCCGCCAATTCGAGAATTTCCATTTTCCTTCTGGATCGAACCACGGTATATAGGCATTGTACATAAACCTCTACAGGGTGTCTCTCGACCAGAGCCCCCGACCTTTGGCGCCTCCCCTCGAATCTCGACCCAGTATATACTTTTTAACACATATATCTACGTATTTCGAACCGAATACGCGAATCTCGACCCAGTATATACTTTTTAATACATGTATGTACGTATTTCGAGTCGAATACGCGAACATGACATTCCCTCGCCCGGTCGCGTCGTCCTGGCCGAGAGAGCTTCTGCGTGTATAAATATATATATGTGTGTATATATAAATGTACATATATATATCTTCACGTATATGCCTGTATGATTAAATTCCCAATCTAGAATCTAACACCTGTCGCAAGTGTATATACATATAGGTCCGTGTATACCTACATGTGCATACATGATATCTCGAGGAAAAGTGACTTTTCCCTTGGTTCAGCCCTAAAAAGTGTAGGTCCATACATGATATCTCGAGGAAAAGTGACCTTTCCCTTGGTTTAGCCCTAAAAAGTGTAGGTCATATCTCTTGGACCGAAACTAGAGCAGGACCGTTCGGGACTCGAGCTCGGCCGGAGTTTGTTCGATAAATTCGGTCGTATGACCGAAATAAGAAAAAAGAAAAAGAAAAGAAAGGAAAAAGTGTCTCCCTCCCGAGCCGAGCTCGAGTATCCGAGCGAGTGGTCGATCCCCCTAACTTCCGCTTATCCCGGAAATAGTCGGAGGGCCGTAATCGTCGGCAGCGGTAGCGACGACGGTCACATCGTTAATAGTAGCGGTAACGATAAGAGTAACGATAGTAGTAACAGCAGGAGCAGTAGCGCAGTAGACCGCCTTCTAAGAGCTAATTGGTGTTCGTACGTTGATCCCCTTTTTTGTCATTTTGGTACCGAGTTTCTTTTTAAGAATTTCGTATTAACATCTAAGTAGACGTAACCGCGCCCGGGGTCTCTAGTATCCCTCCCGACGCGATCGCCTCCTTACCCCGTGGAACTTGAGACGCGATATAATACTTTTGATCCCTGCCCGCTTCCGAGCAGTCCTCCACCAAGGAGGTTTCCTCCTCCTTTCCCCGTTCCCGCCCGAGGACGTATCTCGCGGAAGGCCTCGAGATCGGCCCCGGGTTATCCTTTCCTCTTCGCCTTCCCCTCCTCGCGGTGGGTGTCCCCGGGGTCGGCGTCAAAGTACACGCAATTCGTTCGATAGAAAGAGAGATAGAGAGAGGAAGAGAGGGGACAGAGAGACAGAGAGAGAGAGAGAGAGAAGTAGAGAGCGGACGCGCTCTTAACTAGCAGCTAAACCGAAAGATCCGCGTTATCACGAGCTGATCGACGCACGGACGCGTAGGCCGATCAGAGGAACCCTTATGCTTATCGTTGGAGCTAATCGTTAAGACTAAAATCGTTGGGTGCCCTGTCGATGGTCTCAAGCGTTGCCGCACAAGGCAGGGTGTCAGAGAACGCCGCCGCCCTCCTCCGTGACTAGCTGGAATTGTTCCTGACCTGCGCAAGAAGGATCAGCTGTGAGGTCTGACAGGACCGACAAAGGGTAGAGGATACTCACTGTAGAGGTACGCGGCGAGGTCGCGGTCCTCCGCCATCAGGGCCAACTGCCGAGGGGTGTTCCCGTGGCGGTCGCGCACCGTCAGGGTGGCCCCACCCGCCACCAGCATGCAGCAGATGGACCGCCGCTTCTGCTGGGCGGCCTTGTGTAGGGCGGTCTGCCCCCTGGAAGGTTTCGACGTTTCAGGCGACCGGGATCAAGGGCCGGGGCGAGAGCTCGCGGATCGACTCACTTGTCGTTGTCGACCATGTTGAGGATGGTCGGAGGAGAGCAGGCGATGAGGTATCTGACGACGTCCTTGTGTCCGTGCCTGGCAGCGAAATGGAGAGCCGTCTGGCCCGTCGCGTCGATGGAGAGGAGCGAGTACCCTCGCTGATGGAGGTCCTTCAGGGCTTGGAGGTCGCCGACCTTGGCGGCCTTCAGGATTCCGTCGGAGGTCCTCTCGAGGAGGCCGTGGCTGAACGCGTGGACTTCCGAACTCAGGCCGAACAACCTGTCCCTAGGACTGAAGGAGACGAGCTCGAGGCATTTCGGGAGAGAACTACGGAAATCGAGGAACGTACCTGATGAAGGTGGTGGAGTGCCGGTGCTGCGGTTGCACTTCCGAAACCGCGGAGATGGGTTTCGAGGAGCTCTGTCTAGGGGGTTCTTCGGGCATCTCGTCCTTGAGAGGCGGCTCGGGCTGCGGGGGCTTCGGCTCCTCCTGGACCTTGGCGGGGACTTCCTCGGCCTTGAGCTCGGTGGGCTCCTGCCGAGGCCTCGAGCCGACCTCGGGGTCCCGGTCGGACTTGAGCTTCAGAGTAGGAGCCGAGGCCAGCCGGGAGCGTTCGTCCCTAATCGCAAGAAGTCCTTTAACCCCTTGCCTTCCTCGGTCCCTCGGTCTGTACTTACTTCGAGGTCGACTTGCCGGACCTGGTGGACTGGGCGTCCCGCCTGTCGCTGGCCGCGTCGGCGTCGGCGGACGTCGGCCCGCTGGAAGTCTCCTCCAGCACGTAGACGGCCTCCACGGCCACGTCGGTCACGTAGTGGAGCTGCTCCTGAGCCCGGTCTATCCTGAAGAAGCGCTCCGCCGTGCACGCTGGAAAGTACGACCCGTCAGCTCGCGGCTCGGAACGCTGTCCCGCCGATCGACTTACAGTCCAGGAAGCAGCAAGAGTCCATGGGGTGGTCCTTGGCGAGGATCTGCCGAAGGGACTCCAGGTCGGTGGCGGCGTCCAGGTCGAGGGGCTCGGCGGTCCACGAGACGGCGGCGCTCTTGAGCCTCTCCTTGTCCGAGTGATAGGCCTCGTAGTCGGACATCCTGATCCTCATCACCGGCAGCTTCAGCCTCTCCAGCTTGGCCCCGACGTCTCGATACGGCTTACCGGTGCTCCGCCTCTTGGCCAGCATCGTCGCCTGGTTGAGCAGGCTCAGGGTTATCACCGACGGGAGCAGGCGACAGGCCTCGCCGTCGACCTTGAAGGGAAATTCGGGACGACGTGAGAGAGGAACCGGGCCTCGAGTCCTTCGGGCGCACCTGCATGGGGATGGTCCTGGTGGTGACGAGTTTGGCCTTGCTGCACTGAGCTATGCAGGTGCCGTGGCCGCCCGCCTGCAGGAGGGGCAGCTGGTAGGTGGTCAGCCCCACGACCTCGATGAGGCCGTCCTCCGTGGTAGGTTCCTTGGTTCCGCTGGTCGCCCCCCAGGGGTGCGTCCCGCCACCGTAGGAGGCTATGTTCAGGAAGACGATCGCGTGTACCCGGTGCTCCTTGAGCTTCGGCGTCAGGTCCTTGTCGTCGCACTGCAGGGTGACGAACTCGGAGAGGTCCTTCCACTTTCGGCGCACCAGGTCCTTGCCGCCCATCTGGCCGTAGAACATCTTGTTGCGCAGCCGGGAGTTGAACTTCTCGGGGTGGGCCTCTGGAAGTAGGTACCGACGTGGGTGGCCTCGCCACTCGGAGGAACTCTCCTCTCGGAGACACTCACCTCTCGCCTCGTGGAACTCCAGGGCTATGTGCGCGTCCACGCCGAGGGAGAAGTAGTTGTTGACCACGTTGAGGGGCAGGTTCTCCTTCCCCTTGCCGGCGTCGTCGTCGCTCGGGGCATCCTGGTTCCTCTCGACGACCAGCTGCCACCGGTCGAGCAGGGTGGTCTCGCTGTCGCCGATGTTGGTCAGGATCTTGCCGATGGGCTCGTCGGTGTACCCACCGCCCCATCCCAGGGCCCGGGCCAGGTCGTTCCCGGTGCCGAGGGGCAGGACCCCCACGGCCGGAGAGGGCGACACCCCGATCTGGTCCAGCACCGAGAGGACCCAGCCGACCGTCCCGTCGCCTCCGCACGCCAGTACCCGGAGGTTCGGCACCTTCTTGAATAGCTCCAACCTGGGGAAGGCGATTCGCTCGTCAGTCGGAGGCTTCTTCCGGGTCGTCGAGGTGGAGGGGTCCGCGAGGCCGCGCCGCGCTCGACGGATGCGTTTTCCTGGTAAATAAGTAAACCCTCGACGGAGGCGGGGACGTAACGAATTCGATTAAACACGCTATTCCCGGGCCGGGTTTTAAGGATTCAGGTGCTCGGATGCATTATTTACTCGCGTTGCCATTAGCTCGGACGGAAAGGCCGCTTCCGGAAATCTATGCGGACGGACGAATATTTATGGGACGGCTCTCGCGGCGCGGCTCCGCGGGAACGAAGCAGGGACTTCGTTTAAGGGAGGAGCTAGGTCGCAGTCGGAGACACAGACCCCATCCTGGGCCCGCCCTGGGTCAGGTCGAAGACCTGCCGAGGGTTGAGCAGCCACTGGAACTTCTGCAGCAGCTTGGCCCCCTGGTTGCCGCCGGACTTGGGGTTGATGAAGACCAGGACGGGCGTGACGGTGGCTGTGGGGATGGGCTTGATCACCCAGAGCCGATCCTGCTCCTTCTCGTTGTTCTCCTTCTCCTTGTCCTCCTTCTCCTTCTCCTTGGCCTTCTTCGAGGTGCCCTTCCGCCGGGGGGACTTGCGCAGACTGCTCTTGAAGCTGCCCTTCCGGGGCAGCTTGACGATCCAGGAGGGCGGCACGACGATGGAGGCGTGGGCCCCGAGCTCGCAGTTCTCCCCTATCCTCTCGACGTTGAAGCAGGACTCCTTGTTGTGGTAGGCGGCCTTACACCAGCTGCAGCTCACCGCCACGATCTCCTTGGAGCCGAAGCTCAGCTTCGACTGGAAGGACTTGCCGCAATTGGTGCACTTGCCCTTCTGGGACCTCCGATGGACCCAATGGTGGTGCGTCGAGGTCTGCTCGCGGTACTGGCGGACGCCCACGTCCCGGAAGCTGGTCTTGCAGGCGAACTTGAGGTTGACGGCGCAGAGGGCGTGGGCCACCACCCTGCAGGCCGAGCACTTCATCCTTGGCCCGTGTTTCTGCGAAGAAATCCCGGTTCTGGTCACTCGTCCTGAGCTCTCGGCTCCTTTCGAGGCTAAGTACCTACCGAGCAGTCGTTGACGTAGCAAAAGTCCCCGGAGGCTGCGGTGGGCACCCAGAAGTGTTCTCCATTGATCGCCCCCGGTCCCCAGTCGGGCGTACTTCGTGGCTCTCGGGGAGTTCCGCTGGGCCCGCCCTCTTCCCTTCCTCTGGAACCGTCAAAGGACGCGGTGAGCGTTTCGCGACTCGGAGGTCGGTCGACGGGCTCCTCGGACGACTCGGCGACCCGGGGGCGACCTCGGCTCCGAGCGTCGCCGCCGCATCGAGTCGTCCCGGGCCCGTCCAAACGACGACGACGACGACGACAAGGCGCGATCGCGGCGGGAAGCGAGGAAGGTCGACGTGCATCGAGGAGGTCGGAAGCCGAAGAGAGGATCCGCGGGGGTTCGGAGGAGGGAGAACACCTAAAGCCGCGGCGCTCCGGACTCCAGACCTGGACGTACCCACCCTCTCAACGAACGGGACCCATTCGTCGGCAGAAGGGCCGTGTACCTAGTCTGGGCCTCCGTGGGCAGGACGATGTCCACGCTCTTGGACCGGGTGCTCTGCTGGGGCACGGCGAGGGAGTCCTGCCGGTCGGCCTTGTCCCCCTTGTTGCCGTCGAAGCAGGAGTCGACGGAAGCCGCGCGGTCCCTCTTCGGGTCCGGGACCGTCAGGAAGATGTCGCGCACCACCAGCCCGTTCCGCCGCCGCTCCAGCTCCTCCTCGTCGTCGTCCTCCTCCGCTTCAGCCTCCTCCTCCTCCTCGTCGTCGTCGTCCCTGGGCCCGAAGCTCTGGAGGAAGTCGAGGGCCTCCTGTCGGGCCAGCTTCGGCGAGGAGACGGACCTCCTCCTGGGCCGATGGCGGCTCGAGGCCTCGGCCTCGTCCTCGGCGCCCCCGGAGGAGGCCTCGTCGAGGGCGAGGACGGTGTTCTCGCCCGAGGGCGTCAGAGTAACCCTGATCTCCGGGCTGCGGTCCCTCGACGAGTCCCCGTCCTCCTCGCTGGTTCCGGCCTCCGCCTCGACCTCTCCTCCTCCCGCTCCCCGAGAGTCCCCGTCCTCCTCGGAGCCGGAGGGTGAGTCCTCGCCGCGGCTCTCGTGCAGGCCGCGATACTCCTCGACGCAGGCACAGTGATAGCAACCGGAGAGCTGGATCGTCGGGGCCCCCGAGAGGCCGCCGGTCCCCCCGGGACCGCCGAGGGCCCCAAGGGGTCCGGGCGACCCGGGGGATCCAGGGGACCCGCGGGGGAGGCGCCGCTCGCTGACGTCGAAGCTGCGCGAGCGCTGCTGGCCTTGCAGCTGCGGCACTCTCAGGGTGGTCAGCCTCCGGGTGGCGCCGGCGTCTCGATGGGACCTGGCCGGCGAGCACGACGAGGACGAGGACGAGGAGGCCCTCGGCTCCGGGGCCCTCGCCCCCGGGCCCGTCTCGTCTCGCCTCTTGGCCTCCAGCTGGATCTCGTCGAAGGACGCCGACCTGACCTGCTTGGGTACCTCCAGACTCGACTGCGACTTCATCTCCGCCCCCGTGGGGGTGCGCGACCGCTTGAAGGTCGAGCGCAGTCGCTGCATCTTGGCTTCGTCACGGGGGGGCCCCAAGGCGCCGCCTCCCCCTCCTCCTCGGCCTCGCCCTCCTCTCCGGCCAACCTGGCCGAAGACGCCTCCTTCCTCGACGACGACGACGCTGCTACGTTCCCACTGCCGCTCCCCTTGTCGGCTACCACCCTGCAGCCCATCGTACCTCGTCCACCGGCCGCTGCACCTCCTGCGATTCCGCGACCTCCCCTTCCTCGGCCGCTCGGAGCACCGGGTCGTCCCTTGGGCCCTCTCTCGCCTCCGAGGGCTCCGGAACCGGCCGCTATCGACGCATCGATCCGTGCTCGCTTCCGCAAATTAATTCCCACCCCCTTCGGCCCCCGCCGGGGACGACCACGAGGGAAACGGCCCCGGAGTCGCCGCCGCTCTCGAGGGTGGAGAAGTCACGGGGATACCTCGGCCTCGAGCTTCGCCTCCGGAGATGCCGGCGACGTCCTCCTCGCCGGCTGGCCACGGATTTCGGTTGGGCGGTCCGGGCGACTTCGGGGTCTCGCCGGAGGACTCCCAGGGGGTGGAGGCGCGGGATGAAATTGGTCCTGTCGGAAAATTCGGTTTTCGGGGGTCCTCCTCTCCGTCCGACCTCGCCGCAACGAGGCGGCCTTCGAACGGAACTCGGGTTCGGAAAAAGAGTCGGGGGCGAGCACGAGGGGCGCCTCTTCAGGTACCGAAGTAGACTTAACGATTAACGACGGGTACTAAATATACGCGGTAAATTCGAGTCTCCCCGCGGTCCTCCGTGGTCCCCTCCGGGCACCGAGGTCTCGAGGTCCCGATCTGGTCGAAGGCCGGTATCGACCGGGAGTCCGCTCGACCAGGCGCCACGCCGTCGCCCCGGGTGTTCGGGAGGGTCCGGACGGCGAGCGGTCCCGGGCCAGGTGATTCTGCCCCGAGGACGGTCGTCGCGCGCAGCCGGGGTGGACTGATCTCGCGGCGGGTTAGCAGGGTCCGCGAGAGGGTGAGTTCCGAGTCCCTCTCTCGGCCGCGCCTGCGCGCCGAGGAGCCCCTCGCGGGTCCCTCGGCGCCCCGGCGTCGGGAGGCGCGCAGGCTCGCCGGCGCCGCCGCCTCCACTTTCACGGCCGCGGCGTCCTCGCCCACGTCGACGGAGACTCGGCCCGCGACCGGCCGCCGCTCTCCTCGGAAAGTCGATACGAAAAAAAGTCCGGAGCCGTTGCGCAACCTCCCGGAGGAGGCGCCTCGACCTTGGGTCCGGAGCTGGGTCTCCGAGACTCCTCGATCGGCCGGTCCGATGGGCGCGAAGGGCCCTCTCTCGCGCGCGGAAGGACCGCTTTATATATAGGAGGAGGCCTCTCTCCGCTCTCGCCGAGAGGTCGGGGATCGGAGGAGGAGAACCGTATGTAGGACGCGCGGATGCTCGCGGCCACCCCGACGCGCACGCTCCGGGTTTCCCTTTGATCCCTCGCGGCTATCAATCGAGCCGCCCACGCGGGACTCCCTCCGAGAGATCCCCGACCGACCCGGACGGATTCCGCGTCTTTTCCGCCAAGGCCGATCGTTAACGCCGCGGATCCGCGTTTCCTTGCGGGCCCGGCTCGGAGGGATCGACTTCCGGAACGACGCCGCCGAGGTCTCGGGGAATTCGTTCGGAAGCCGAGCCGCGACGAAGCGTGGTCCGCCGAGGCGGTGGAGGCGCCCGGTCGATCCGGTGCTCGGTGCTCCGGATAAGGTCGAAGGAACCCCCGATGGAATGCCAACCTCTCCTCCGAGTCCCGTCTCGGGCGTTTGAAGATCGTCCCCTCCTCGAAATTCACCCGGTGTCCCAGACCTGGAGCCAACGCGAGCCACCTACAATGCACACGAGACACGACGGTAGGTACTGCTGCACATCATCCACGGTGGAAGGACGGATCCCTGGGACCCCTCGTGCCGAGGGACGCGACTTTCCCTAGGAACGACCGGGCTCGGGGAGGGGTCCGAGGAATTCGGCCGGTCCTTCCCCCGGGACTCGTGCACATTGGAGGGACCGGGCGTTTTCGGGCTCCTCTCCGCACGTGCGAGCCTCTCGAGAGCGACTCGAGCACCGCTCGATTCGCGGATCGACGACCCTCGTGGATGTCGGGAACCTCCCGAGGTCGGCCGGCAATTTTTCTCCCGGGGGACGGGGTATCCTCCGAATCGACGCTCCTCCCCGCGATCGACGTCGATCGCCCCTTCTCGAGGGGAACGTCCCTTCCTCCCGACGCGAAGACCCGGTCGCTCGATCAGCGCCGTCGAGACGGTGCCAAGGTTTCTCGGACTCGACCGCGAAAACGCTCTCCGTAATTATCGCCTCCTCCGCGTCCAATTCCTTCGCGTTTCTCGAGGCGGCCCTCTCGACTCCGTCATCCGGCCTCGCCTTCGCTCGAGTACCTCGAGGATAAAGCCGCGGTTAGTCATCCATTGACGTCGGGCGTCCCACTCGAGTGCCCCGCGTACGATGTAGAAGCGATCGGAAACCGAGAGACGCGGCTCCCGGGTGTTTTCCATTTCTAAGACCAGGAAGGACTCACCGGCCGAGCTCCGGCGGGTCCTCGGCGAATTCCCCGGACCATCGGCGTCGGAATTTCGTGAGGATCGCGCGTCCCGTGGAGCGACGCTTCCCGAAGCAGCGGCTGCATCTCGACGACGAGGGGCAGCCGAATATCATTTTCGGGATTCCTCCGGAAACGCTTTTCCACTTTCCCAGGGATGACGAGGAACCGCTCTTGGGGCGCGTCCTCGCGGCACGGACTTTTACCCGGACGCCCCAAGGATCTCGTTTTTATTTAACAATCCGGGTCGCTTGACGTTTTACGCGAGTCCTAAAATCGCGCGAAATCAACTGTCCAGTTTTTTCGTTCCAGGGTGCTCGTCGATGATCTCCGGGAATTTCGTCGCGCGGCTGCAGGAGTGACGGCGATGACGGGTCCCGACCACGTGCTCGATAAGAACCCACGCGATGTCAGTCGCACGTGCCGGCGTCGAGACGTCCGTATCGCTGGAACGTAGCTTTGGAAACGCCTCGACGTCCGCATCGTTCGAGCGACGTTTTCCGCGCGTTGCATCCGGGTGACGGAGGAAAAACGGTCGACCCTGGTCACTTCGAGGAGAGAGAGAAAAGACGAAAGAAATACCCTCTCCTTTTGAAATGGAAATTTTCCTCTCCGGCCGCGTTTCCGCGGTACCCGCTCGTTAGCTCGCGAATCGATTTTCCCGAGCTCGAGAGACGTACCCCGATTATCGCGGAAGGAACCGCGAGTACCCTGGACGGGGTTTCGAAATTGGCCTCCGATACCCACTCGATTAAAAGCCCCGTAGATCATTCCCTGGAGATTACTCCGGACTCAAGGGCGCCTCTCGGCCTCGCCGAGGGCCGCAGATGGGGACCGCCCGGGACGCTCCCGTAAATTCTTCATCGAGCCGCACTTTGACGGGCATCCTGGGGGAGTTAACCGAACCAGACGCGCCTCCTTAAGCGAATCGATCCGACGTACCGAGAGAGTAGCGATCGAGACCTCGCAAAGGACGGCCCCGAGGATGCGCCCCGTATCTCGCGCGCAGTCCTCTAGGACGATCTCGCCATCCCCGGGAAGGGAAGAGGAAGAAGGATATCTCGCGAAGGCCCCTCGTCCGGTACCGCGGAGGTGGCGGAGGTGCGCAAGACTGGCTCGATACCTCGGGACCCGGGGACCCGGGGCCCTGGGACCGAGGAAGAGAGGGAGACGGCCCGACCGGTTTCTCGCGGCCGTCTCGCCCGCTCTCGCGAATTTACCCGGTTACGTAAAGCCAGTCGGCCGGTCTCGTCGCGGCGTTAATTACGGAGTCGGATCAAGGCCGATCCCTCCTCGGGGCCGGAAACGAGTCGTTGCCTCCACGGTCCTTAAGGTGACGTGAAAGTGGCCTCGAAGAGGTTTTGTTTATAAAACTTTTCTCCCAATTCGATTTACCAAATAGTTTGAGACACTACAACGTGAATAGGTAGACTGTAAGGAAGGTCCTGAAACTCGTGAAATTTCAATTCTTTTTAAATTTCTTTACAAGTATTTTAAAAATAGTTTATGAAAAATGAAATTTCCCGAGTTTCAGGACCTACCTTAGGGTCTCCACATTCACGTTTTAAAGTATGAAACGATTTCAAACACCCAGAAAAGTTTTATTAACGATTGAGCTTTCGGATGCCACTTTCACATCCCCTTAATGTGATGTGAAAATGGCGTCGAAGAGATTTTGTTTAAAAAAACTTTTCTCCCAATTCGATTTACCAAATAGTTTGAGACACTTTACAACGTGAATAGATAGACTATAGGGAAGGTCCTGAAACTCGTGAAATTTCAATTCTTTTAAAATTTCTTTACAGGTATTTTAAAAATAGTTTATGAAAAATGAAATTTTGCGAGTTTCAGGACCTACCTTAGGATCTCCATATTCACGTTTTAAAGTATGAAACGATTTCAAACACCCAGAAAAGTTTTATTAACGATTGAGCTTTCGGATGCCGCTTTCACATCCCCTTAACGAAGCGCGAGCGATGGACCGCAAGGTCGGTCGAGCGGGGACGTTGTCGCGACGACCGTCGACGTCGGTTGAGACGATCCTTTCCGTCCACTTTCCGGGTTAACGCGCGTCGATGCTCCCGCGACAACGTCCTCCCTCGAGGAGGATCCACGAGACGACCTCTCACCCCTTTCCGTCCTCCTCGTCGCGGTCATCTTTGTCGTCGTCCGCCATCTCGACCGCTCGAGAGATCCCGAGATCCTGGCCGTGGCGCCTCCGCTCCTACTCGAATCCCGCGGGTACTCGCCGGTACTCGAGTCCACCTGGACCGATCCCCGAGGAGTCCCTCGGTACCATCCGACGAGAGACTGAAGCCGAGGAGGCGATCGGCGCGAGCCGAGTTGCCCTCGGAACTCGCCCTAAGTCGCTTACCGCTCCCGGGCCGCGTCCCCACGGCTTCCGAAGCCGGACAGCGGTTCTATTTTCTTGTAATACCCTAACGCCGTTAGCGGCATCGAAATCCGGGACGCCCCAGCCGATTGGATCACTGGGAAGGAAGGAAACGAGGCGGACGCGGTACTCCGCGTCGTCCGGGTTTCCGGGTTCCCCCGCCGGAAGGATCCCCAGGATCCGACTCGCCCCGATCGCTCTATCCCGGATCATTCCCGCGATCCCGTCCGCGTTTCCTTCCGACGTCCCGTAATTCCCGCCCGACACGAGGCGCGGAAATCCCGGGTGCCCGACGTCCCGCCTCGCCGACCCGGCGCGGCGGCATCCTGCCCGGAAATTCATTTCCAACGTTAACCCGTTGCGTCGCGACGCCTTTGTCTCGCGCACGTAAATCCCTAACGAGCGGTTCCATTGTCATTTGACCCGGTGCGAGCTCGGCGTCGGGACGGCGGTAGCCCGAGAACGAGGGACCGCCGTCCGCGTTCTAAGTGTAGACACATCCGCGGTCGTTTTGAAAAGCCCCCCGCGCCAGGATCGCCGAGCGGAGTTCTCAAGGACACCTCCGCCGTAGGAAGAGACGCGGCCTCGCGCTCGAGGTACCGGTCTCGGTCTAAAATTGACGGGACAGGCTCGGCGGAAAGAGAAAGAAGAAAAAAGAAAATAGAAAAAGGAAAGCGTCGAGGCGTCCCGGGCCCTCACCTCATCGACGACTCCTCCTCTACCCTGCCGGTCCCGCGTAGTCGGCCGCGCGTCCCGGGTCGCTGCCGGTGGGCGAGGCTCGCGACCGACGAACCTCGTCGCCGTGGCCGCTCTCGGGGATCACCGCCATGACACCTACCCAGGCCCAACGTTGGCTCGGTCGTTGGCTTCCGGGTGTCGCGCGCGGAGGCGCGAGAGAGCGCCGCGGTCGCGACCGGCGCGCCGCGCGCCGATTGGCCGGCGCCGGTGCAGCGGTGCAGAGCGTCGCGGCGCGCTCGGCAACAGGTTGGGCGCGCGGCGCGCGGCCCGGGGGGGGCCGGTTTATTCTCGGCGCTGGCAAGCGCGCGCAATTTCGCCGGCCGAAGCGGGAGGATAGCGCACGTCCTGGCGCGGCCGCTCGGCGACGCCGTTAACGACGCTCGGAGGGTCGCCGCGAGACCTCTGGGTATAAATAGTCGCGACCGGAAGGGAAGGTTGGGACGAGCGGGGCCGGAAGTCGGAAGGAATCTCGGAACTCCGGGTCCGGTCGTCCGGATGTACATCTTCCTTCCGAAGAACGGCGTCGCGTCACCGAGGACGCGGTCGCTCGCCGGGTCCCCCGAAAGAGCCGACTCGGTCCCGGGCTCGGGAACGACCTAGGATATTCATCGGCCAGCCGGTGGAGGTGACGCAGACGCCGCCACCTCCTGTCGAGAAGACCCGAGTCCGATCGATCGGGACGATCGCGTCTGCGGAGGGAGAGAGAGAGAGACGGAGCGAAGGCGAAACGGGAGCGGTCCGGCCTCGTTCCGGTTGCGATTCCCGACGACGGAGGAAGAGGGTTTCTCTCTTCCGCCCTCCCGGGTCCCCTCCCGTCCGTCCGGACGTTTCTGCCCGCGGCCGCGTCGCTCCGACGCGAGAGAGCCCTCGAGCTTCGGGCGGGTCGAGGTCGAGTACTCGGGGCGTCGGGCCGACGACGGACCGACCCGGCCCCGACCTCGACGTCGCGGAGCGATCCGCGTCCCTTCTCCGCACTTGGCCGACCACCGGATGTCCTCCGGTCGCTGGCTCCTTCCCAAGGCGCGATCGCCGTAGATCCTTTCCGCGACGCGTGCCTCGGCTGCCAAATCTCGTCTCGCGCGCCGCGACTCCGCGAGAGCTATTTAAACGGCCGAGATGGCCGCGAGGTTTCCTCCCACGGTCCGCGTAGGCGGGAGCCGTCGAGCGAGGAAACGGGAAAATCGCGGTCTCGCCGCTAAACACGCGACGTCGCGCGTCGGGGCGCGAAACGAGGTCGGGGCGCAAGAACGGCACTCTCGAGGGTCTTATACGATAAATCGCTTTATTTTAATAATCCGTGTACTCGTATGATATTGTAATAGTAATAAGTAGTAGTGGAAGTAGTAGGCGCGCGCGGCCTCGTCGCGTGCCGGAGTCGCGTCCGGAGAGTTCCCGAGGGAGGAGCGACTCGAGCGGCTTCCCCCGCGTCCGGGCCGCCTTGCGCGATTCTGCCCTTCCGTAGAATAATTGTAGCGTAGGTAATGGAGTAGACGTAGAAGTAGAAGTAGAAGTAGAAGTAGAAGTAGCGGGTCGCGGAGTTACGGCGCGTGCGCCACGGCCGACGGATAGTTGCCGACGCGAGCGAAAATGGCCGACGGAAGCTTATTCCTCCTCCTCCTCCTCTTCCTCCTCCTCCTCCTCCTCTTCCTCTTCCTCCTCCTCCTCCTCCTCCTCTTCCTCCTCCTCTTCCTCCTCCTCCTCGCCCTCGGCCTCCTCCTCGCCCTCTTCCTCGTCGAACTGGGGCTCCTCGAGGTCGTCGTCTACCGCGGCCTTGGTGTCCTCCTCTCCCTCCGGAGATTCGGGGTCGTCCTTCTTCTTACCCGGCCTCTCGCCGAACCACTTGGGCAGCTTCGCTGGAATCATCGAAGAGAATTCTCTCAGTTCTCGGTCTCCGAAGCCGCCGCTACCGTTACCGTCCGTCGCGACCGCGACCGGCGCCGAGACCGAGACCCCTCCCTCGAGGAGACGTCTCGGTCTCGGCGGAAAGCGAGCCTCGGCCCCTCTACGTACTCTTCTGGCGACCCAGGAACTGTTCCTTCTGTTGGGTCCACTGTTTCTCGACTATTTCCTTCTGTTGTTCGGTCAGGCCCTGAAACAATAACGGAGAGACTGGCATGCCGGGGTTACCACACGGGGAGTGCCTAATCCCTTTGACTGGCGCCAAACAAAAGATCGGTCGGTCCTGTCCGTCGAGACGTCGGAGTCGGTCGGGGTCGGGGCGTTCCTCGTGCTCTCGCTTCGGCTCTTCGGGAAAGCCGGGACCGGGTGACCCGGGGTTATCGCGTCTTCGGGGACAGGAGCGGAGACATCCAAGACGGGGGAGAAAGATACGAGAAGAAACACACGAGGGAGCGGGCGGGACGTGGGAGAAACGCTCAATCGGACGGACACGGATTGGTCACGGGTCGTTTCCCACTCACTTTTGGTGCGCTTCATGAAAAGTTCCGTTTTCTGTTTCCACAGTTTCTCGTTGAACTCCGCTAAAAGCGTGTCATAGCCCTGCGATTCAATGCATTGATCGAGTTGAACCAGATTCGACCAAAGTGCACGGGGAAGATTTCCCGACCCGGTCGCGATTCCGTCACGTGGACGCGCCGCGCGAATCGTCCGTTCCGTTTCGGGAAACCTTCTCCGTGCAAGCCCAAGGATCTATACGTTCCGCGAGGGATTCTCGACGGGTCTACTTACACCCTCGAAGAGCTTCTTCTTGTCGTCGTAGGACCTCGTGTCGACGCGGCGTTCGTACTTGGAGGCGACCTGGATCTTGGGCTGTCGTCGGAGAAGAAAGTTAGTCGAAGGTCCCTCGGCCAGCGGAAAGGGCAAAGTCGGACACTCACCGGGTATTTGCCGGTGAGGGCTTCGGGGTCGAGACCCTTCTTGAGAGCCTTGTGCCTCAGCTGCTGCTTCTGTCTCTCCTTGAGCTCTTTCAGCTGATTCCCCGGGAAACGTTAAAGAGAGTTACGCCGACCGGAAGCGGTGGAGTCGGTAGGTACGCGTCTGGAAACTCACGTCGTAGTCCTGGCGTTTCTGGCGCTCCTCGAGGTCGTACTTCTCCGTCTCGAGCTTGACGATGGTCTCCCAGAGCTCGGTGGCCTTGGCGCGGAGTTTGTCGATCGAGAGCCCGTCGATCTCCAAGGGTTTGATGCGGAAGCTCAGGGAGATCCTCTTCTCCTCCTCGAGCTGTTCTTTCGTCTTGTTGCGCTCCAGTTGCGCCGACGAGAGGTTACCCTGTGCCGAGTGAAAATCGCTAAATAAACGGCGGAGCCTCGACCGCGGGGAACCGGGGAAAGCTCGAGGGTACGCACGGCGAGGTCCTTCTTGGTGATGGTGAAGTTGGGTCCCTTTTTGCTGGCCTGCTCCTTCATCGCCTGCATCATCGCCTGCCGCTTCTTCTCGGACTCTTCCAGGCGCCTGCAAAAACGAGGGCGATCGTAGGTCGGAAAGCTCGGGGGACCTCGCGATAAGGGGCACGGGATCCCTCTACCCACCTTCTCTTCTCCTCGATTTCCCGTTGCTTCTTCTCCTCTGTCAAGGAACGTCATCGGGACGGTTAGTCTTTCGATAGCGCGAGGTGTCCCTCTAGGCGGGAGCACCGAGTAAGAACCTAGGGCTCACCGATTTCACGTTGGCGACGCTCCTCCTCCTCCTTCTTCTTCTGGGCCAGTCTCTTTTCCTCGTCGGCGCGGGTGATCTTGCGCTTCGCTTGCTTCTCCTAAAACGAAAGACCGACATGAGAACGGGGGAGACATTCGCGATAGTAGACGAAGGGATCTCGCAAACGCACCTTCAGCCGCTTCAGTTCCTCCTCCTCCTTGGCCCTTTGCTTCCGCCATTCCGCGATGTATTCCTTTAGCTGTTCGTCGAGGTCGCTTCTCTTCTGTTCCTGTCTCTGGGCGTTTGGAAAGAGAAGAAGGTAACGAGGAGAGTCCGGTAGCGGGACCCGCGCCCCTTCGCGGTCTCCCGGGGGAAACGGGCGGAGACGGGGCGAAGGGGCGGGAGAGCCATCTTACCTTCATAAACTCCGGATTTTCCGATTCCCTGGAGGTTGGCGGGCAACGAGAACAAAAGTAACTGGGTTTAGTGTCGGTGCCTCTCCGAGTCCCGCGACAAGCTCGGGGACCCCGGGTAGTTTTCCCTCCGCTTTCTCATCCGAGCCGCCCCGTGTCCCCCCTGGTACCCCCTGGTGTCCCCTGCCACCCCCCGGCATCCCCTCGGTACGCCCTTTCGGAGTACCGGGCGTATCCGGAGAACGCATCCAAAACCGACACACGGACACAGAGACAAACGCAAGACCTCGTCCTCGCGCGCGGCCACGCACACACTCGCGAATGCACGCATGCGGACACACGGACGGACAGGCAAGACGCAGCAGACGCGCACGCGGACATTCAATACCAGGCTAGCGGATTCGGGGGGCGGGGAAGCGAGACTCCTCGGAGGACGCGGAGTCCCCCGTCTCGTCGGGGATCCCGAAGGAGAGGCTCGCGGATAGGGGCCGAGGAACCGAGGGAAGAAAGAGGATAAAAAGCGACTCAGAGCGAGAGGGATATTTCGCAGGCTCGCGGGCTTTCGATTCCGCTCGATCCGCCCGGTTCGCCCGGACGAGGACGCGCGGACGCGGACGTTACGATATATTAAAAGAGGCCAGGGCGACGGCGAGCTGGGCGAGGCGCAACAACAAGAACGTTATCATTCCACGCGTGAGAAAACACCCCACGAGGTCAACTTACTTTTGGGACGCCCTACCCCTATAAGAACAGAAAGCACAAGGTTCGATTATTAGAGTCGAGGGTGGAGGGCGGACTGTGCGGAAAGCGTCTCGTCTCTCTCTCGAGAGGGGCGACCCTCCGTCGGGAGAGACGCGATGGTCGCGACGGCGACCGCGAAGAGGAGGACGCGGACTCGCCGGCCTCGAAGCCGGGACGGAGAAAAGGGAACGCGGCCCGGTATACGCGTTTTCTTTCCTCGCTGACACACACATATATATATATATATATATATATATATATATACACGAATGCACGACACGGGTCTACACGCACTCGTTCGACACAAAGGTACACGTGCGGAGCGGCGCTCAAATGCGAGGCAACGGAGAGGAGGCGAGAAGATGCGTTTCCGCCGGAGAGCCCTCCCGTCTTCTCCCTCTCTCCTACTCTTTTTCTCTCTCTCTCACCCTCTGCCCTCCGAGCGCGAACGGAGAGGTCGAGGCGAAGGCCTAGGACGGAGGAGCGAGTCCACGGGGTGCATCCGGCACCCGGAGCACCCCGTGGAAACGCCCTCGGGGATCTTTGACTCTTCTCTCGGGATGCGGACGACGAGAACGCTGCGCTCGGCAGGGACGGAGAGACGAGGCAGGAGACAGGGCACGGCACGATACGTAGCCAGCGAGTCGAGGAGAGACAGAGAGAGACGGGCTCTCGCGACTCGGGCCCCTCGGTCTCCCTTAGGGACGGTCGAGAGAGAGAAAGAGAGAGGATCTCTCGACCGTATCTCGGAGCCCGGGTGTCCGGGTCGACCGGGAGCCCTGCCACGGATATATACACAGAGATGCGCAGAGGCGCGACGTCGAGTCGCCGAAGATAGATATAGAGAGATTTGGCAGCAGCAGCTTTGTCACTTGACAATCGACATATGAGCGGACGTAGGAACAATCGACCGACAAAGGACAGACATTCAGTGGCAGGCACTTGGAACTTACTCGATCTTCTTCTCCGGCTGCCTTTTTCGATCGAATCAAGGGATCGCGGGTCATGTCGATCGGTCGGCGAATCGTTCGGTCATTGATCGGTCATTGGTATCGGGTGTATGTGGAGAAGAGAGAAATAGAGACACCAGAGTCAGTGATTGGCTCCTCTTTCCTACGCCATGCCTTTCCTTTCCTTTCCTTTCCTTTCCTTGACATCGCGGGCTTCTCCGTTCGCCCCTTCCTCCGATCGTCTTTCCCTCCGTGAAGGGAATAACGAGGAACCCCTCCTAAACCCCTAGATGGAACGTCGCTCCATCTCGGTACCCTCGCAAACTCGTCTACGAGTCGACGAGGATCGAGCGGTCGCGGGGGTCCCGTCCTCCGGGGTTCCCTCCTCGGTATCTCCAGTCCTCCCCGGAACCGCGGCGCCTCCGATAGCGCGCTATTTCCGTATCTTCCCGCGGCGCGAATAGCCGTATACCACGTGGCTACGAAAATACCGAGTATCCGATTTCTCCGTCAAGGTTTTCGCGCCCGTCCCGTCGACGCACCGGCCGTTTCTAAATAAAGGAACGCGTCCTTTAGAATCCGAAATCGGATCCGAAGGCGAAATCGAGACCGACCCGCCGAGGAGTCCCACGCTCTGGAGAACGCCGGAGAACGGAACCCTCGCGATTGCGATAGCTCGAGGATAAAGAAGAAGAAAAAAATGCAGAAAAATCCGCGGAGTTTCCGGCCACGCGTCCGCACCATGCCATCCTCGGGAACGTCCCTTTTCTTTCCCTCCTATCGACATTCTCTCTACCCGGGCCTCCCGGGAGAAATATTTCCGGCGTCTTTGCTAAACTACGAATGGGAGCTACCGTCCGCGCGGCTTAAGAGGTACGCGCATCGGCATCCAGCCGCTCTATTTCCGTGCGGAAAACGCGCTAATTTTAACTGAGGGATGCGTAGGTTCACCCCGTACTACGGAACATTCCCAGAGAGCGACGTTACGTGGGGCTAAGCGCTGACCGGAATTCCTCCGAGACTTAACCGGCAATTACGCAATTATTTTCCCGTACTTCCGTCGTCTGCGGAAGGGATCCCCGGTCGGAGGGAAAATCGGAGGCGATCGGCCGTAAAGGGGCGCGCGAAACGTGGAACGCGAGTTAATCTTTCTTTTGTTCCTTTTTAATTAAACGGTGCACGATGCGGCAAATCGTTTCCTACAAAACTCGTCCGGATGGACGTGCTCCGGGATTTTCGTCCGAGTCAAATTTCCGCATCGTGCCCCGTCCTAGGATCGGGAGCCCCTTTACCGGAGAAGCCGTCGATCGGTTAACGTTGGAAGAAACATTAGGAGAGAAATAAAAAAATTACAAAGAAAAAAGAAGAAAAAAAAACTTGGACGATCGATCCGCGGCGCGATCGATGATCTAAGGACGCGAAAAGGAAGGAGCGATCGAGTCCGAGGACTCGGAGACCGCGGAAAGGCGACCATATCGACTCTAGCCTATCGATAAACTTAATCCGGAGATGCTGTACGGTCGTTACGAGACGCGACCCGGCATCTGGCACTTACTTCCTGCAAAGAAAAAAGGAAAACTTTCGTTAGGACGGCAGGAACATGCGTTAAGACGGTCGATTAGTTAATGAACGCCCCTGGTAGGGGGAGACACTTACACTTCCTCGACCTCCTCCTCACTGCTAGAAGAAAAGAAAAGGAGAAATACGGTGATTAGTGATACGGATAACGTGGGAAAATTCGGGCCGAATAATGCGTATACGTAACTCTATGTGCAAGGGTCGACTGTTACGGAGAAAACCGGGAGGGTCAAACGGTGGGCAATCGGTATCGAGAAACTCCGGGGGTAGGGACACTCGTTCGGGAGATCTCTTCCACGAGGCACGCTCATCACTCTAGGGTACGACGTGAGTTTCGCCGGTTAGCGAGCGGCTAAACCGGGTAGGTTGACCGGGGGTAACTCGTTGCATTCTTAACCACATAACACAAGTCGTGGGAGGGCTCGGGCCATGACGGGTGAATAATTCATTCCTCATTCGTAAGGTAACAACCGGAGGGGGGAAGAAAATCCGGGAACCGTCGTTACGTATGCATCAAGTGTTCCCCACTGTGTTCCGTGTTCTCTGTTCTGTAATTGCGCGCGTGCATCCCGCTGGCGAGGGTGCCGCGAAGGCTCGGCGACTCGATCGACCGTTTCCTGGGGCGAAGCTACCAAGGGGGGCCGAAACGGTTCCCTTGAACGACCGAAAACGATTTCCGATCGCCCCGGTCGAGGGGATGGTTAAAAGCGACTCTGCCGACGCGAAGGTATACTCACGAGTATTGCTCCTCGTCGTCGGACATGTTTGCGGTTTACTCGTCACGCTGCAACACACAAGAGTAAGGAGTCCGTTAGCGGGTTGGCTCTGCCGAGGCCCGATCGGACCCGATTCGCGGGACAAAGGGCCCCGAAAGGCGAAGCCGGGACGCGCCGAGGTAATCCGATATCGAGGTCCAGTTTCCTAACCCTGGCCGCGGGCTGGCCGGCTCGAGCTCTATAAGGAGCCAGCGGCCCCTTCTTCCTCCGAGTCGACGGCGGCCCGCCTAATTTTAGACCCCTCGCGACGTCCCGACTTTCCGAGCCTTTCCGAGCCTTTCCAAGCGACCGTCTCCTGGCCCTTTCGAAAGGAGCTTATTTTCTACGGCGCGACCGGGTCCTTTTCCCGGAAACCTTGGTACCGTGGCGATCGAGAGGTCCGCCCGGGACCCAGCTAACGAGTCCGACGACTCCTCGCTGTCGGTTCCCGCGGGACGTCGAAATCCCGAGCCTGCGGCGATCTCCGCGAGTCCCCACTGGCAGGTCCGGACGATCTTTTCCCCGCGCACACCACGATGACCCCGGTACCGACCGGCCAGGAGTCCGGTGAATTATAAGAGGTCAACTTACACTCAAGGGCTTGCGAGTCCAGCAGAAAGGAAGGGACGCGTGATATCTGAGGCCCTGTCCGAGATAGCGAGCCTGGTCACCGACACGCACAGCGAGCTTATCCGGTGGAATGTGGAGTCCGCGACGGCTAGAGCGGCTCTGAGGCGAGACCTCTCGGAGCCGACCAGGACCAAGAGGCTTCTTCTCCGTCGGCGTCCCTCCCTCGGGCCCCAGGCCCTATTTTTAGAGACGGATTATCATTCGAGGAGCCGCCGGTGCCCGTCCTGAGGAGACTCGGCGAGCACATCGGGGCGCAGGCGTGCCGCCGCCGTCCTGGTCGGGGGCTATTTCGGTCCACGGGATTACACCCGAGAGACCCGAGCCGGCCCCTCCACCGCCGCTGCCGAATCGGTGTCCGCACCGAAATCAGTATCTTGACGATTTCGGGCCATCGATACCCGCCGACCGCCGCCGATCGGGTGGCCCAGGGTCAGGAGTTCAAGGATCGGGACCGATGCCGGGCGGTCTGGCTTTTGCCCCGGCTCCGTTTTACGGGCTTCCTCGCTCTCGAGGCTGTTCGCCGGACCAACGCTCCGAATTGGGGATGGACGGCTTCTTTCGACCTTGAATGGCATGGAAGTAATTATGTAGACGGGTATAATAGGTATTTATTCGATAATAAAATGGGCGATATCGAATGTCGACGGGTTTCCCCGATTTCCGGGTCCCGTGGTAAATTAGGCTGCAGCGAAGCGTCGTGTTTCTTTTTCCCTTAGCGGAAGAGACGATCTCGAGCTCGGAATTGGGACACGGTGGTCCGCGACTCGAAATAAGACGAGCACGCGAGGGCGTCGGCGTGGATCTTTCGAATATCTCGGAGAGGGCAGAAAGGAGCGATCGGAAGGACGGAAGCTACAATCTCGGCTTTTCGGCTGGAAGCCCTCGGAAGCGCGCGGTCGTCGCCTCCATATATGGCGGGAGCCCTGTCGGGGGAGGGCGTCGCGGCGCTATAAATTTCAAGCCAAGACCGAGAGCTTGACGCTCCGCGCGGACGCGCGGACCGATCGACGTCGATACTCTACATTCGAGACTCATTTTTTCATATTGAAAAGCGATCCAGATTTACGTGATTCCAGGAACTCAAACCGTGAGAAGATTCGTCGTCCGAAGAGGATGCTTTGCTCGACGTTGAAGTTAAGTGCTTTACTGAGTGCAGCTCAAGGACGGCTTGAATTTTTCATGGCCCTGGCTTTACGATATTTGGCAGGATAGGTTTCTTGAACGGCCGATTTTTTCCTCCAAACCGCAGCTGTCCAGATTCCTTTCTACCTCCGAAACCTCCGCCTGAAATAGATCGACGGATCGGTCGTTTCGAGTAGATTCGACGATACAATTTTGGAAGAACGACGTACCTAATCGTCTAGGTTTCCAACCCTTCATTGTACGGCAGCATTCGAAGTCGACAAAAAGTTTATACCCTTTCAAGGTTGTATCGTGCAACCGTCTGGTCGCCCTATGTGCCTCGTCTTCGGTTCTCATTTCTACGAAGCTGTAACCTTGGGACATGCCCGTAACTAGGTCAACTATTAATTTAACTGACAGTACTTCTCCACATTTTGAGAAATGCTGTAAAGAGTGGGATTAGTTCCATGGGAGATATAACAATAGAACGTGCTAAACTAGGTTGGATACCTCTTTAAGATCCTGTTTGGAGATTTTGGATCCAATTCCAGAGACGAAAAGAGTTCTTTCTGGCTTGGACTTTAAATCGTGTGGTGGCTCGTAGTGTGCATACATGGCTCTAGCGATTGCCCTGTCGTGAGGCTCCGTATCCGTTCCATCTATGCTACCAGCTTTTAATGGATCGTACTCCTTAGCGTAAGGGCTCCAATTATGTAACGCTTCGTCCTTCAATGCAAACAATAAAGCCGATCATAGGTCTGAGTAAAATCAGTTCAATAATAGTTTCATATTCGAGTGTTGATGGGGGCGTACACAACCTAGAAAGTGTCATCTCACAAACGGTACCGATACAAAAACGGTATTCCCATACGAAATAAAAGCAAACATGTGACAATTTGGGGTAGATTTTTTTTTCCTGGTTTCTGCCCTTACTTACCATTTTAATCGTGAATAATATAAAACTTGAAAGCAATTAATAACAGAGATGAATTAAGAGATTGCTCACGGGTAGGGTCGCGCCATAGCGTCCTGTGCTGCCCCCCGGTGGAGGATGCGGACGGCTAATGCACTTCTCAGACTTCCTGGATTTTTTTTAATGTTCTATTTTGCCTGTTCTTTTGTGCCCTTTTCCAGGTTTAGGTGGATCACAATACGATCCATTTCTTTTTTCTTTTTTTCAAGCCATCATGGGTAGTTTATCGCCGCAGGTCTTGCTGGACATGTTGGTAAGAGATGTTAAACGATGTTTTTATCACAGCGATGAGTTCGGTGTAGAGATGAGGAAGATCCCTGAATGGGGCCGCCATTGAGGGGTATCAGGTGGCAAGCGCATTAGCCGTCCACATCTTCCACCAGGGGGCAGCCCAATTCAGAGATGACAAGGAGTTTCAGATTATGATTACCAGATGGCACTTCTTTCGAGAAGATACTTTAGGTTGGGTATGCGACTTCTAACTCCGCATAGTCTCAGGTAGCATCGTAGGAATGCAAACGTGGGTCTGATTGGACGCAAGGGACTTGCGACCCGTTATTTCTCCGTCCGTGGAGCCCACACGAAACCACCGCCGAGGGCGGACGCGCACTCTTGAAGAAGCTCTCGCGATGCGTTCTCGTACGTTTCGATGTCTCGAGTACGCGCGCCCGCATCTAACCTAACTTACCCGACGCGAAGCCCCATCCGCGGTCCAGTCCGTGTTTCGCGAAGTCGGTCATCCGCGCTGAAGAAACGGGGAAACGGACCGCGTTCTGGAAGGACTGCGTCAAGGACGAGCGAAGCCGCGGTCGTCCTGAACCAGTGTGCCCCACGTGAATTGCCGAATAAAGGACGCGGAAACTCCATTCCAAGGAGGAAATAACCTCCGACTGTGGCGTCCGACTCGCAGCGCTCGGAGTAAGGGATCGCGTTGGCGACCTTTTGAGGTTATCGCTCGAACTTGACGAGAGTGATAGAGCCGTTCCGTTTCTCTTCCTCCTCAGGAACAGCAACGGGTAGAAGGACTCGTTATCGACAGCGATTATCGCCACTTCATACGGTGCTAAAGAATGAAGATACATTTTCGCATCAGTCCCTGTATTATGGATGGTAGTTAATGTGGAGGAATAACAAGAACTGCTGAAGAACCTGTGATAAGAATTTTTGGCTCGGTCTGCTTTAATCTCCAAGGCTTCCGAGCATGGTGCTAGATATGGTCTGAAGCATCGATGCTATTATGCCAGAGAAAGAGGATCCCTGTTGCAGGGCATCGCAAGCGTGACCTGAGCGATGATGGACGATGGCCAGCAGTTGATGACGGAACTGCCGGCATTGCCGATGGCTCACGGAGCCACGTTAATCGACCGTAGTGGGCACTACTACCGCCTACACCAGCCTCATTTATCCGTCACCTCTCCACAGAGTGAACAAATAGTCTCTCACGATCTGTCGACCACGCCTCGGTATACCTCTGAAACAACGGACCTAACCTCCTACCCACAAGGTATTTCTAGGCAGTCGAATGGCTCGTCGAGGAGATCGTCGTTTGTCGGTACGCATATCTCATGCCTCTACCCAGAGATTCTGGCACACATCTTCAGTTACCTGGATGTAAAGGACAGAGGGAGAGCTGCACAAGTGTGCACTGCCTGGAGAGATGCTGCTTATCATAGATCGGTATGGCGAGGAGTGGAAGCGAAACTACATCTCCAGAAGCATGTTCCCACGCTGTTCGCCAGCCTTGTCTGGAGAGGAGTGAAGAGAGTGCAGGTTCTCTCCCTTCGCAGAGGCCTCAGCGACGTCCTTAAGGGAATTCCTAACCTGGAATCGCTAAACTTATCTGGCTGTTATAATGTCACTAATGCAGGCATCGCAAATGCATTATGCCAGGAATACTTGTCGCTGGTCGAGCTAAACCTGTCTCTGTGCAAGCAAGTGAGCGATGCATCGCTTGGGACGATATCGCAGTACCTGAAGAACCTGGAGATACTGGAGCTCGGGGGTTGCTGCAACATCACCAACGTCAGCCTACTTCTCATAGCCTGGGGCCTGAAAAAACTAAAGAAGCTGGACCTACGGAGTTGTTGGAAAATATCTGACAAGGGCATCGCCGACTTGGCAGGGGTGAACAAAGAAACCGACGATGGAATCCATGGACTGGAGTACCTGGGCCTACAGGACTGCCAGAGACTGAGCGATGCAGCTCTCGAACACATCTCCGTCGGCTTCACCAGCCTGAAGTTTATCAACCTGTCCTTCTGCTTCTCAATTACGGACTCCGGCCTCAAGTATCTTGCCAAGATGACGAGCCTGCGGGAATTGAACCTGAGGTCCTGTGACAATGTCTCGGACACTGGTGTGGCCTACCTGGCAGAGGGCGGAAGCAGAATCTCCTCTCTGGATGTCTCTTTCTGCGATAGAATCGGAGATGTAGCTCTTGGCCACATCTCGCAAGGATTATTTAACTTGAAGTCGCTCTCACTGTCGGCTTGCCAGATCAGTGACGAGGGGATCTGCAAGGTAGCCAAGACGCTGCACGACTTGGAGACCCTTAACATCGGTCAGTGCAGCAGGATCACCGACAAGGGCCTGCACACCATCGCGGAGAGCATGAAGCATCTCAAGTGCATCGACCTGTATGGATGCACCAGAATAACCACTGCCGGCCTCGAGCGAATCATGAAACTCCCGCAGTTGAGTATACTGAACCTAGGGCTGTGGCACGTACGGTGATGGCATTCTTCGGAGAGTTATGGCACTTGAAGACATTGCGTTTCCAGTTCTTTTGCCTTGTATGTTACAACGACGAGGCTCTCCAATCATGTATCCATTGGCATCGGGTTTAAGCATGCGAAGGAGATCAAAGGAGATTTTTCCCCTTTGTTTCCCATCGTTTTTTTTTTTTTATTTCTCATGCATTCTGTTTTACCCATGATCGTGGGGCAATGTGCTCGCGTTCGTTTATTCGTGTTTAACGGCGTTGACACCTTTTTACATTTTTTATGTTATATTTGTCATGAAAGACATTGCGCACGACTGCAAGAGGGAGGTCTGTGAAGTTGCCCTTTGGCATTCCCCGACTCGAGGTGAAGTTTTTATCCGTTCCTAGTTTGTTGCCAAGAGTCGGATTTTAATAATTTTATACGCAATTCTCGAGGGATCGTGTTCACTAGAAGCTGTTTATATCTTTTACTATTCTAAAGGAGCATGAGGATATTGAAATTTCACGTTTACTAGAAAGTCACTTCGTCGCTATGTCTGCTGAATAGTGTTTTTTAATATCAATGTCTTCGGAACGGTGACTTCTTAGACAAGGAATTTTGGCTCGACCCATTCCTCCTTCTCGCGGTCTTAATCTAGAAATTAGCACAATTCGGCGTATATTATTGGGCTTAGTTAAAGTTATAAGCACCAATTATTTTATTTTACGTTTCCGGCTCCTTCTTAGAGGACCGATTTCGTGACACCCAGCAATCGGAGGCCTATTCTCAGGCTTCGACAGTCTCTCGACTGTAACTCCTAAAGCGTCGCTCGTTGCGGGTGTCTTGCAATATTGTATAAAACGAAGGAAAAAAAGAAGAAAAAAAAAAGAAAACAAAAAGAAGCATGTTTCCCTAAACGTTTTAAGCGCTGTGACGGGGAGGAAAGAAAGGGAAATTAAGAGACCCCATCTGCGCCCGCGAAGGTAACGCGCCAGTTTTGAAGGTTAAGTCCGTCAGGTCGAGGCGCAGTTCCCTCTCCGCGGTTTCTTTTCGCGTTAATTTCCGTGTCTTCGGTAGATACGGCGAGGATTATACGCCAGAACGATCAAAATAGAGCGCAGCGAACGAAATAACACTGGCTACCCCGAGGTAGGATACTAGTGTCGTACCCTATGGTAACTTTAAAGGGAAAATCATTCAGCTACACTTTAAGGCCACTAATTCTGTCCTGCATTTAATTCTAAATGCACGACGTTAGTCGCCCGGTGCTAGCCGCGGACCAGGGTGTGGATCGTCGTCCCCGGGGAGGTTGTCCGACGCTGCGCCTCAAGACTTGGGACTGCGCTCTGGCACCTGCGACAACCTGTGCAGGGAGGGACGAGAGATTTATATTTTTTCAACGAGCCAGCTGCGCCCTGTCGTTTCCTGTCGCGTCCGCACAGCCACCAGAGGACGAGTTCAGATCTCCGGAGGGCCTGGACAGGGAGAGCGAAACACTTTCCCTGTGGCGTTGCGTTTGTATAAACATTAGGAGTGTTAAGAGCGAGCCAGAACTCGAGCGCTGTGTAGCATAATGCTCGTTTCGCGAGAGGTGTATTCATCCTTAACATAGCGAAACCTGTAAGATACCACTGTGACGGATGGGCGACGTCGACGGAGTTAATTGGGAGAGCGAAGTCTCCTCCGAAGGGTACGATAGCCAACGAATGCTTCGCTCTCCTGGGTGCAATAGGTCAAAGTTAGAGGAGGACCTCATCGATTAGGAATCGCTCCGTTGGCGTCGCTCGTCGTTTTCCGACCTTCGTCCAGATTTTGTTTATAATTATAATTGTAATTAAGGGTCCGCGGCGCTTGCCTCCTCTTTCCCCGCGATTGTTGAAGCGTTTCGTTAGTCGAGGAGGAGGCAAGGGACGCCTCCTGGAGACTCTCTCGAAGAAGGTGCCCTCCCACGTGTTTCTCGATTCTTCCCCCATGTTTCTTTTGTACCTTTCTTCTCTTTCTCTCTCCCCTTTTTGGGAGGAAGGTTCCCTCCTCGAGGGAAGAACCTTCCCCGAGGGCCCGACACTTCGTCGAGAGGGTATTCACGAGAGATGTACTTCGGGGTATTCCGAGGACAATCGCGAGCTACCGCCCGTTGTTCTCGCCGCGTCGTTAATTGTTTACAATTTCTCCCCCCTCGGAGGGATTTTCGACGCGTCGAGACTCTTCGAGGGAGGGGTCTAGGAATTAAGAGAGAAACGAATTGTATCTTGAACCGGCCGTCACGATTTCGAGTAATAATAAGCGAAGAACTTGCGAGGATACGCGAGCAGATCATTAATTATTCATTAATCCCCATAGATGTCGGATTAACTTGATTCGCTTTAATGTTAATAATTTTTTTTGCTCTCTTGTACAACTTGGGATATTTCAATTCGAAGGTTTCGAGAACGAGTCGGCTTCGCGGAGACGTTCTGGAATTTTCTTTCATCTTTTCTCTCTCTCCCTATTTTTTTTTTTTCTTCCTTTTCCTTTCTTTTCATGGGCCTGATCCTTTTGAGCGGATTCGTCGACAAGGCGGGAGGTGCGTCCCAACTTGGATCGTATAACCTGGTCGGAAATCCCATGGAAAAAGTCCCGTTAGGGTCCGAGAACCTCGGCAGGTGTATCCAAACACGCCGAGGGCATGAAAGGAGTCCTCGGGTCGTTTCTGGCCTTTTCAACAGCAAAAGGGGCGCGTATACCTAAGCGAGGACAATGGCCTACATTCGACCTTTAAATTTCGCCGATTTCCACCGCACTACCTTATGAAAGACTCCCTGGAAGCAGGAAAGTAGCTTCGTTTTAATATGGCTTAGTTAAAATCCTTGGAATTGGTAATAACCTCACTTCAATAGACTCTTGGGAGTACCTTCCATGCAATTAGTGGAATCCACGTCGAGCTCACTCTGCTATACAATTTATTAATAGTATTCGGTACTGTGATAACGATGGCTATATTACAGTGTATGTACATAATTACGGGTTGATCACGAAAATTGTTGGAGGATCATCAGATCGTGGTCCGTTGGCTCCTCCTTTACTCTGTCTCTTAATGTGTAAGCCCGATGCAAGGCAGCGAACCCCAAAGAAGGATCGTTTTCGTCTTCTTCTATCGGGTTGATTCCTTTGTCGTTTTTTCCCACCTGTCGGAACAGTTATAGTAAAGGTTTGAAGGTAGTTCGCATGGTGGTGGTAGGATATAGATAAAGGCACCTCGAAACGCTGTGGCTTGTACAAAGCAAGTTTCCGGGTTCCGGGAGAGTTCTGAATGAGATTCTGTATGGTGGGATGTGAGATTCCAAAGAAGTCCGCACCCTTCGGTCCCATTGCCAGGAGGGAGGGAGAAATTGCTGATAGTAACTTCGAGTGGCACTCGTCTGGACTCGATCCAACCAGAGGCTTGTCCAGGTCACAATCTGCTACTATTTCAAATCTGGCAGTGTAAATGGAACATTAATTATCAGGGATCGGAAATGTGAAATGTAAGCAGCAGCGTCGTACCTAGGCTTTGTCCCTCCGTCTATGATTTTACAAGTGTACAGGCTCTTCGTGCATATATCTCTAAGACTGGCATATATTCTAGTACTGCAATATCCTACTGGGAAGATAAGATCCTCTGTGTGGTATGTGATTCTGTCGGGGACCACTTCGCCGAGAGAGTAGACTGTAAGGTCTCCGAGGGATATTGGAAATATAGGTCTGCCTTGTGCATCCAGCGGGATCAGCTGGACAGTTCTGCGCATCACCTTGCTGTGTCTCTTTGGCTTGTTCTTTGGATCTGAAAGACAAAGCCCATTCCTTGTTGTATCTCTTCATACATCGGGAGGTAATTCTTCATTCTCTTTAAGGTATCAAATATAGATAGAAATGTTCTTACCTGCACCATCGGTGGAGCATCTTTTCTTGACGCTTTTCTTTGGGATGTATCCTTCGTGGCCAAATGTCGGTGAGTTCACGTTACTGCCGTGAGATCTGGATGTCATTGACGACGGATCCATGTCTCCATGCTGCTGGCAAAGTTTTCGTAAAAGCAGGAGCCTTTCTTCCTTGACGATGAGAAGGTTCTCCTGCATGTACGCGACTTGATCGCAGAGGGCTGCATTCTCCTAGGGTATCGGAACAGGTTTGTGAATATAAATTCCAGTTAACAAACGGTAAATCGACTTACAAAAACGGTGTCTTTCACAATTTTTTTCAGCTTTCGATACTTCTTCTTGTACTTCAAGTTTGGCTGTACCACTTTTTTGTGGTAACTGGCGTTATAGTAACCGTAAGACTGAGGCATTTTGCGTTCCATCTGATTTAGAGTATGACAATTACTGATTGAATAAGGACGCAATTGAAGTTTCTCTTAGTGTCAATAAATAAATTCGAGGTTATATCGACAGCTCACGGTGATTTTTTTACGGCTACGAGCATAGAGGATATAAGAGTCGCTAGGTTATGCACTTTTGTGACGGTCGTCGGATTGTGCACCGAGTTCCCAAGTGGCGCATACTACATAAGTTCGATGGCGCGATTCTGACCGTGAGCAATCTCCAAACTCATCTCTAATTACAAACTCGCGAGAGGTGCTTACTTTTAGCATTTTCACCCAATTCAAGTTACAAAATCGATCCCCTGGAGTTACTGCCAGAGATGAGTTGGTTACTGCCAACTGCAAACGTTTCTCACTTTTTCTCGGTTCGAAGATTTAACGGCTCGTTTGAGCGGCATTTTCAAATTTTCAAACACGGTATGACAAATTCTGTCTATACGGAAGCAGTAAGCATAGTAGGTTATAGGCAGTTATAGGTTATGAAATTTCCATTACAGTCGCTGTATAACTGGTATACTTGATTTATCCTGACTAGTTCAAATATCGAGGGAAAGAAGCTAAATTATTCAGTACATGGCCCATTATCGGACTTGCGATATAATTTAAGTCGAGTTGGAGATATCTGAATAACCGGAAACATGTACGATGCTAACCCTAAGGATTATGATTGCCAGGCCCTCCTAGGTTACGATAATTACAATTCCTCCGTGAATTTACTGCTTCTTGTAGTTGCGTACAGATCACTGCTGCTTAACGTCTTTCATCTACTGAGATTTTTTTTCAGGCATTTGTTACAACGGAGTAGGGACTATTCACTTGGCTGTTCATAAGTCGACAGATACACCCGTCGTAATAAAGAAATTCTTCATCGACAACAAAGCACACGATGAGTACAGCCTCGTCGAGAGGGAGATACTAATAACTAGGCAACTGCAACACCCTAATGTATTACCATACGTAGCCACATTTGTTTCTGGACTGAGTATATGTGCAGTGTCTCCGCTGATGGGTTATGGATCGTGCCGAGACTTGATTACGGAATACTTTGTCGAAGGCTTACCAGAATTTGCTATAGCGTTCATAGTGCGCGATGTTTTGCAAGGTCTGCGCTACATTCACAGTAGAGGATACATTCACAGGTTATTCTAATGTTATTATAAACAAAAATCTCTAAATATTGAGTAGAGTTTCATGGATTAGATTAACAAATTTCAGACTCTGTAGGGAGAGCAATGATTCTAATTTCTTTCCTCCTTATATCAGGGCTGTGAAAGCGAGTCATATCCTGGTATCGCTTCCAGGTCGTGTTTGCCTGACAGGAATGAGATATGCATGCGAAATCGTTAAGAATGGGCGGTGGCAAAAACATATTTTCTCGTTCCCAAAGTCCACGGCAAACAATCTCAGCTGGCTTAGTCCGGAATTACTTCAACAGGTGAGGTCTTGGCGTACTGGCTTGATTTATTGACACATTATTTTCCTTAACCACATCTGTGCTTTAGGACGTGCGAGGATATAACGAGAAGTCTGATACCTACAGCTTAGGAATGACGATTTGTGAACTAGCCAATGGTGTAGTGCCATTCTATAATGTACCAAAAACATTAATGCTTACAGAAAAGCTTCGTAGTGACAGTACACAAATAATTGACCGTACGACCTTCCAGCCATTCGCGATGAACACTGAATCAGGTCTGGACACCAAATTGCTTTAAGAGGTTATGACTATGCGATCATTTATTTTTAATTAATTTTCAGGCATTAACTTCGGAGACAACAATGGAGGACGAAGTAGCTCAAAGTATCAGCGAGGTTCGTCATCGCATAAGTTCTCTGAGAATCTACAGTCTCTCACCCTTCTGTGCCTTCAACAAGATCCCAGCAACCGACCTACGATGGACCAGCTCTTATCGCATCCCTTTTTGAAACAATGCAGAAAAAGCAACGGATCGTTAGCAGACATCCTGAAACCAGTGGAGCCTATCAACTACCGGAATCTGAACAGTATCAGTAATACCTACGAAGTCTAAAACCAATTTACGGAAGACATTTTGTAAATACCTTTGTGTATCGAAGTGATCTCTCATTCTTGTTTATCGGAATTCGATGAGACGCGATTACGGCGCTCTCACTGAACGATCTACTACACCTTAGTGCCAAACTTTATAATCTAGTAGCCTGTTTTTATTATTTTCCATTATCAAGGAGCATATCTCTTATGCCTCGTTCATCTGTACATAATTACTCATTACTTCGTTAAATCATTAATATTGTATAAAGCGAGCAGTAGTCCGCAAGGAGGTTTATCAAAGTGCGATTTGGCAGCATTCTCACAATCTCAACAATCAACAACTCTGTACATTAGTCGGCTGAATCTTGGAAAGTCAGAGATCTTAACGAAGCCCCCTTTGGTGAATACAAAGACGCATGACGTTGGAGTAACGATAAAAGCAGGCAATTTTATTTGTAACAATATCTCCTCTAATAATTAGTCGTACATCTTTACAGTCGGAATAACATCTACGAGGACCGCCAACGCGCCCATTATCACTGAACTCAACCCGCAGGAATTCTCCCTGTCGAGCAGCCCTCTGATGGCTGGGCACAGTACTCTCTCTTTCTCTCTTATACAGTACTTTGCGACTAGGACGCGAGTAAAGTTAAAATAAATACAACTCACGCATGCTTCTCTGCACTAGCTCTCTCCTAGGCAACTTTGTATACCTCAATGTCGACTTCACCCTCTGCACAGCTCTAAATGGACCTCCTCCGAGGGTTGCGATCAGGATCGCTCTGTATATGTTTCTAAGTTGAACGTGTAAATCGCGAAGGTGTAAACGTCTCTTCCGCGTAGAATCTGTAAAACGGGATATAGGACAATTCTCTTTCTCTTCAATTACGTATCATCGGAGCAGTGTTCACTGCAGGTTCATTGTTCCTAGCTGCAGTCCCTCGACTGGTAGAATAGAATGTAGCCTGTCTCTGAGCTCTTCTGGATGTCGGAAGTGAGTCCATAAAAATCTTCTATTGTTGATGCCTCAATTTTCTGAAAAAAGAAGAAAAAAAAACGTACTTAGTCCCAAAGGAGAAAAAATGACTGTTGATTGTTTCATCAAGTGAACTTACGTCGACCATGTCATCATCGAAGAGCAGCCAGAAACCGTGACTCTTAACTATGGAAATATAGTGTCCCCGGTTTGGTCCGCTACCACAATGTATTACAACAGCCACCAGGTCGTACAGACGATCAGGATTGACAGCATCGTCACTCTGAATATTAACATTCAGTTAATACTGGTTTTAAAATTAATATATCATAGTACTCACTGTATTAAACAATCGAAGCTCCAATGGAAAGACAACCCTGTGAGAGACTTTGATGTGTCGATTGTATTGCTCAACATACTTGAACCTCTTTAAATGCAACGCTAGAATCATGGGCAATTTTTTCACCCTCATCCGTTTCTGAAAATCAAAGTAAAGGAATCAGTCAATGGTCCGCAGAGTTCTTATAAGCAGTTTATTGCTTTGAATGTAATCAATTGTGCGAAATCGTTAGGTTATACCTGTGCTTCTTGATAGCTGCTACAGTGATCGCACTTGAATTTGTTGTCGCTGCAGAGAGTTTCGGTATTAGAAAAACATTTGAGGCAGTGCGTGATGGACGTGTTTTGATCGACGTCGACTTGAAGATCGAAGAAGTCCTCATCCTTGCTGGAAACGGTCTCGCAATTAAGGCAACGAGTCTCAGAAGTTAAGATCCCCTGGAAGATCTCGTGAACCCATGTTGGCTCGGGGGGAGAAGCTGCATCTCCGGCTCCTCCCTTACTGCCTACCGGTTTGCTTTGATTTCTCTCTGCTAACGTGAGAAGGGATCGAAGCATTTTAAAATGTCCGCGAGTGGTTTTAAAAGTTAATATTTAAGATTCATCGGCATTTGCTTACCAAGGATTATTTCATTGATGTGGTTGATCAGGAAGTTGAGGAACTCGTGGGCATCTTGCTGCATGTAATTATCGAACTCTTCTGTAATGGAAAAATTGCAAGGATGTAATGTCGATAGATAAGTTATTTTTAAACGCATGGATATTATGCATGCATTCAACAATTTGATAATTTGTTATGAACATTAACCTTTTTCTTTCCTCAGTCTCGCAATGAATTTCTTTGGAGCTATCGAGCCAACTTTCTTCTTTTGCGTAGCAATGCTGTAGAATAAATCCGCCAAGCATGTCAGTAGAGTCTCCTTTGTTCGCTTGTTTCTTGCCTTGTACTCCAATACCTTCTCTCGGAATGGTCGACAGAAGTACAGAGCTTGGAGGACTGAGTTACTGTAGCATGTATTTCCAAACTAAACGAACATCATGACATTCATTATTAAAATAACATCTCTACGAAAGTAAGTCAGAACTTGAGAATTAAGTAATTCATAATCTCCCTTACATTCACGAGCCCGAAGTAATGCTCATTCGGTGGAAACTGATCAGTGCCGATATCTTTCTCCAACTGCGATATGTTTGCACCCTGAAATGTAAATATACAGTTACCAAGAGAAAAACCAAGATTTACAACTTCGTACAGATTAGCATTTGTCGTTTCACGGACATTCCACTCCACCAAACTCATAACAAGTGATCAAAGTAACGAGACGCAATGAATTTGCATGCCAGAGGAGTTTGACAGTTTCGCAATCACAAAACTGTCATCTATTTATTATACGCGTTAGTTAACGACGTACATAACCCTTACAAGTAAGCATTAGCCTATTGGGCAACGAGGTTAGAAATTAATCCGATAACCGTGGGAATTAAATCTTCAGGCACGATCCTCTAACTTCCAGCGAGCGAAAATACTAAAACTCTACATACCATTTTACACTGTTATTCGCCTAGAATACGGCTGACGATCACTCAGTACAAGTTTCGGAAATGGCCTTAACTCCATCGTAGGTCCAATTGTTTTCACGGAAATCAAAGACTGCTTAAGGGATTCATATCCGACATTCAGACATACGTTGTTTCTCAAGATCGACTGCAAGTGCGGTTATCAGTGGTTATCAGCGGTTATGGACCACAAACTGGCATAGATTAAATATTTCCAATAAAGGAAGTGCATAGAGTAGAGAAGAGACCCAACTATTCAACTGTTCTATTCTACAAAATGGCGACACAGCATGTTCGTTCACGCTCCCCCTAAGAGATGGCGCCACGGTCGCAACCTCTTCTATCAAAAAGAGAGGCAACGAGCCTTTCAAGTGGGAAATTTGAAATCGAGAGTCTCAATAGAGTAACACGCGAAGTTATTTATTTTCCACAAATGAGAAAACATTAATCTAGGACCTAACCGCAGGCGGGGAACTCTTTTAATCGCTTAATTCAATTTATTTGGATCACAAGGTCGTTACCTAAGATTAATAACGCCAAACCCTAATGCTCGGACTGGATCTCCGATCTTAAAGATTCATTCTCCGTCTGCAAGCCAGCTTCCTCGCGGATGATCTCCGCAACTGCAGCCAGTCCCTGAAAATGAAAAGAATTGCCAAAAATAATAAAAACATAATTTCCCATGGGATGATGACGTAAATCAAGAATCTGAACAGATGGTCAACCTTGTCCATGTCGTCGAGGGAAGCATAGCTGTAGGAAAGTCGAAGATGCTGACTGGGGGCCGCAGCATCCCAGCTGAAGGCGCTCCCAGGGAGCACGAAAATACTTTTAGACAGACATTTGTCCATGGCGAGGGGCAACACGTTATCCACTGCAGTAACGCGGATCCAGACGAACATGCCAGCCTCTGGGGCAGCCCACTCTGCCAGACCTGGGAATCCCAGTGTAAGACTTTTATCAATCCTCTCAAGGGAGTAGCTTTGTGAGCAAAGGCTGCGGTTCCCTTTGAATCGGGAACTCCGATTCAAAGGGATTCCTCGACCCAATCGAACTTGAACCCAAGCAGATATTCCAGCTGAGAAATAAGTCTTCTCTTTACCGGTCAGGTGTTTTTTCAGAGCATCCAACATGGCGTCCCTCTTCGCCCGGTAGAACGACTGGACGCTCTTCTGGTGCTTCTGGAAGCCCTCCATTCCCCAGGATTGCAGCACCTTCTGCACCAACACCTGCGACAAGGCACCAGGTACCCGTTATTCTCCTGATTCTTTGTATAATCTATCTGTTTATTTATTTTTCAGGATACCTGCGACAAGGAGGACGCGTGCATGATGTTGCTCTCCACGGAGAGGATCAGTTTCCGGACAATATCCTTGTTAGCCGTGACGACGCCCAACCTGAGACCGGCGCTCATGATCTTACTGAAGGAGTCTAATCGCAACACTCGGCCATCCGTGTCTATTGACAGGAAGGACGTGGGATTTTTATCCAGGAAGTGGACGAAGTAGTACGCGTCGTCCTCCACTATCAGGAAATTGTACTTCTGGGCCAATTCGTAGACTTTGAGGCGTCGCTCGTCGGAAAGCACCGCGCCGGTGGGGTTCGACCCTGTTGGGTTCACGTAGAGCACCTGTTGAAGAAGGTGCGGAGGAGGAACTCGATCATTTAATTATTAGAATCCTCGATGAGGACCCATACCTTTGGCAACTCACGGCCATCGCGGATTCGCTCCTCGAAGGCTTCATTGATTTTTTCTGGGATGATTCCATGGACGTCCTGAGGAATCGGGATGACGTCCGGCGCCAGGGAGTTCAACTGAGATGAGATCTCATTTAGTACCGATACTATGCCGATATGGTGATAGTTAAATTATGTGATTCCAATATGAACATCTATTTTCAGAATTCCCTCACCGAACTCATGATCCCGGTGTACGTGGGGCTCTGCACCATGACTGGGTGGCCTTCTTCAAGGAGCAGTTCGAAGATCATGGTGCACCCATTCTGGGAGCCGCAGGTGAAGACGACATCCCAGTCCTCTCTCTTAGGACTGTGCCAGGTCTTCTGGAACTCCCTCCACAATTTTACAAGCGGCGGGTACCTGGAGACCAGGAACACGAAGACCATGAAGACGAAATGATACCCGAAGAGTGCCACCCCAGATCCCAATTTCAATCTCACCCTTGGGTAGGTCCATACTGCAAAGCCACGCTCAACTCACTCTCGTCCAGGGTCCACTTCAGGCCGTCCTTCAGGGTCACCACCACTTCCTTGAAGGGGAAGGTCTCGCTATTCGGCATACCCCCCGCGAAGAATATCGGCGGGGTTGTCTTCGGGGCGACCATGTAAGCCTCGGCTGTTGGGGCCAAGAGTACACCGTGAAGAATTAGACATATGAAATGTCATGGACCCTGATGAAAAGTCTTGAAGAGGCTTACTCAGCTTCCTGATCATGTTCGCTCGACGTCTGCCGGCACTTTTCGAGATGAACCTCGAATAGTCTAGGGACTTTGTGGCGAATTCTCGTCTCAGCATCTTGGTCCTCTCTCCAGGGTGTCTCTTCGAGTCTTCTCGAGTCTCTCGTCGATTAGCCGATACAATCGACTCCTCGTGGTCCCTAGATGCTCTTCGGAGACTCGACGTCGACTAAAACTTCTTGCTTTGTCAGGAGGGTCAAGTCGAGTGGTGATAAGGAACAGCCCCCCTCTTTTAGTGAACTAGCCTCACTGTTTGCGCTCCGATAAACGCATTTCAAGGCTCGTCAAATTGGTAGTCCACTATTGATAACAGAAAAGTGTTGTTTATCTCCTTACTTCATACTGCTTACGAAATGGTCTCCGGAAAATAAATAAAATTTGCTAAATACCTGATCTTGAATTTAGAAATATTCGTTTCTTATCACCTGTCGCTACCCGTGAAGGGGCAATTAGACCGCTTGGCGAGGCGGGCGGGTTATCAGTAACTTTTGTAAATGTATTAGATATATATATATATATATTTTTAACATTTATTCCAATTCATTAACACCTCGCGCGTATAACCGTGTTCGCGCGTCGACATATACGCGATCGTATATACGAGTCGTGTGCGCGTGGATCGTTATCGATCACCTTAACATCTTCTGATAACAGTGGATAGTTTTTCTTTTTTATTATTTTTTGTTGGGTTTTTTTTTCCTTTTTTGTTTTAATCGCACGAGTACAGCGCGACGCTCCGCTAGACATCGGTCGGCGGAAAGGTCGATTCGGAAGTGGGATCTCGATCGATCTTCCGACTTCCGGTAAAAAAGGGACCGATCGATCCGCGTCGAATGCAGCGACGCGCCCACGTGCGAAGGCTCGTCGCAAAACTTGGCCGTAAATTTAAAACAGGCTAATTAAAAAGTCGAAAGCTCTAGAATATGCTAATGATAGACAGGTGAACCATTTAGCACCCTTCTCCGATTTTGAGAAAGTGGAGGGAGGTGAATTGTTTGCTAGAGTATCAAAAATTGAGATAATTCAGAAAATCTGGCAGGTCAGTTCGAAACCTGAATAATCATTTAGACATTTGAAAAGGTGAAGGTCTTAAGAACTGCTCCAGAGAAATCGTAAAAAAAATTAATGCCTCGATAAACAGCACTTAGTTATAGATTATCGCCGGAAGATCGTTGGTGAGAAATCGGGGAAGAGGTCTTTGCAAACCCACGGAAAAATGTCCAAGTAACGCGACGAGCCAGCTAACATTAGGGGAAGTCCAGGCGATCGAGGAGGAAGTGCGCAATCCGCCAGGTGGCGGCGCGAGCGTTTTTCTCGCAAGCGCCGGATCTTCTCGGTCGCGAGGCCTTCCCGCTCCTGAGGCCGTTTTTAGATCTTACTTGTTACAACTTCACCTCCATTTACGCATCTCAATCCTGCCTACACTGATAAAAATGCCCATGTCAATTTACATACCCGATCATTGGTTATTTCGATGCCAGAATAAATCGCAGGGAAATTACGTCGTCGCCGTAACGTCCGACATATAAGTTAACAAAAATTATACCGTAACACGTTACAATTAATCCAAGCAAAAATGCCCTAACACGATATATTTAACGAGGTGTGTAAAAATATGTATGTAAATTCCCATGGATTCTTTATCAGTGTACACTTTCTAATCTCACCCTCCCCTCGCGTTCTCTCCCTCCCGTTCGCTCGAAGTATTTACAAAAAGTAATCTCAACGACTGCGCCTAACTACCTCTTTACACCTAGTTACAAGTTTCCTCGGTTCATCTTCTCCCTTCTTTTACGCTACACGGTTAGTCCTCTTTATCTAGCTTTGCACTCTTCCTCTCTCTCTCTCTGGCACACCGCAACTCGCACTCTTTCTTTCTTTCTCCGCCACTCTTCCATGTCCTCTCATTCGCTCTGAAAAAGAAGGAGAACGACGAAGACATCTGCGCACGAAGAAAGATGGAAGGAGCGGAAAAGGAGGAGGGGATTCCTGAATTTCTTTTCTGTATTTCTTCTTTTTCGGTTCTCTTTCTCCTCCTTTTTCTCTCCCGGGGAAATGAAATTCCGAGGCGACGACGCTTGTATCTCGTTTTGATATCGCCCTTCCGAACGACAGTCTTTCCCTCGAGGTTGGAATCCGCTTTTCCTTCGCGCGCATAATGTTCCTCCGTTTCGTCCGCTTCTCGGGTATTATCCCGAGATGATCCTTCAGGATCTGAATGAGATTACACCGGCACCGACGCGGGCACAAAGGATCGCGCTCCCGTATTTCCCAATATTGGAACATCCCACGATTTACTTATATTTCCCGCCATCGGAGGGAAATCCGAGAAATCTTCCCCTTCGTCGAGCCCCAGAAATGAAACCCCAGAAATCGAGCCGATCGTTCGAGAAAAAAATTCCTAATTAAATTCCAGATAGAGTCTCAGACTTCGGAATCTAATAATAATATTGGAACATCTCACGATTTACATTTCCCGATTTTTCATTTCATTCCTCTATGGTACATCCCACGATTTATTTATATTTCTCGCCATCGGAGGGAAATTCGGGAAATCTTCCCCTTCGTCGAACCCCAGAAATCGAGCCGATCGTTCGAGAAAAAATTCCTAATTAAATTCCAGATAGAGTCTCAGACTTCGGAATCTAATAATAATATTGGAACGTCTCACGATTTACATTTCCCGATTTTTCATTTCATCCCTCTATATTACATCCCACGATTTATTTATATTTCTCGCCATCGGAGGGAAATTCGGGAAATCTTCCCCTTCGTCGAACCCCAGAAATCGAGCCGATCGTTCGAGAAAAAATTCCTAATTAAATTCCAGATAGAGTCTCAGACTTCGGAATCTAATAATAATATTGGAACGTCTCACGATTACCATTTTCCGATTTTTCATTTCATCCCTCTATGTTACCTTCGGCGTAAAAGTGTCCGGATTGAGAGGTAATAATTATACAACGCGTTTGCGCTCAGCTCGCGAGCGGTCTCTCCACCCCGCCCGGAAAAGAAGCGTCAGAAGATAAGAGATATATTGCTATTTTCCCCACCGGTGGATGTCATTAATTTATCACTCCCGACGAAATGGTCCGATACTCGCGCGTCCATAAATGGCTTACGTCCTTCGATATCGCGAATTTCTAGCGGAAAACGAAAATCACGCCTCCACCTCCACACTAGAAGACAAGAGATAACAAGGCAGACAAGATTGATTGTATGTCGACAGTACGGTACAGTAGTATGTTGACAGATAGGATTGTATGTCGCTAGGGTGCGATGGAAAGGCATTCATGTCCAACAAGTACCCTGAAGAGAGGAAGTCGACGTCCACTTCGGAGGTCGCGACCCTTTGCGCCCTTGTTCGTGAAAAGGGAAACGGAAATTAAGGGATGAATAAGCTCGCTCGGCGGGTTAATATTTCCGCATTCGTTGAGGTCGCCGAGTCGGGCGAAAGCAAAGAAAGCCCTCCGCGATCGGGCGATTCGGCACGTCGGCACCTGTCCCACTAGGCGCGGCGCGTCAGGGCGAAGACATCAAAGCCGCGCTCACCCCCTTCACCTCCCCGACAAAAAACCAGCGATTCGATAATATTCGACCCGCCATGTACACCCTTACATACATCTGACATCAGACTATCAAAAATATAGAGAAACCGGAAAAAATCCGACATTGAAATTAAAATCCAAAGTCAAGGATTACTTAACCCTCGGTTGTAACATTCTTAACAGCGGATTAAATCTCCAGTTAGCTGAATTTTTTTTCATAATAAATTTCGGTATCCTGAGATGAATTAATCATGGTTAAGCCATTTTTATAGTAATCGTGATAAATAGGGATTTGTTCATAATTATTTGGATGTATCACTTAGAGTGCGTCAAGGAGGCCGCGCTCAGTGGGACTCGACCGCGGCGGCGGATCGGAGAGGGAAAGTCGTGACAGAAAACGGAAAGGGGCGTCTCGAGACGGCGAGGACGTCCACCGCTTTGGATCTACGGTCCCGCAATCTTAAAGTCTAGCGTCGAAGAGTAGAAAAATTATAAAAGTACGAAGGTCTAGAATCGACTATCGCGAGAGAGGCGGCGCGCCGCGGCCTCCTGCGCGCGTCCTTCGGGGACGCCGGCGTCGCGAAGGAGGGCCGACCGCGCGCCGGAGGGAAGGTCTATCCACGAAACTATATTCATACCGAAACACTCATAACCGAATTCTCCAATATTTAAAATGAAGTTTTTCCTTCCCGGTTAAGGACCATCCATACAGCGTTCCGTATTAAAAAAGAAATGTGAAAAAATTTGTCTATGAATATATTGAACATTTTTTGATCAATTGTCAAATTCCACGGGGGTCGGGACCTTTTTAACAGCCTCCGTATTTACATTGTAAAGTGTTAAACGATTCGATACACCCGGAGGAAGGTCTCTCGAACGACTGACCCCGAGGATGTCGCTTTCGCATCCCCTTAATTTCTTCCATTTTGCTCCTTCGTGGCCAGGAGTTTTGGAGTAAGCGAGATAAGTACCCTGAGGGGCCTTCTTTTTCGGAGATCGCCGGCTCTAGGAGTGTTCCAGTATGACTGTTTAATGGTTCTATCCGACGAGAAGTGCGAGCGAAGGGCGCGGCGGAGCTCGCCGACGGGGACGCTTCGTCGAGCCCGCGACGAGAGGATCGCCGATGACGGCGCCGGCCGCGACGGAAAGGCACCGAGAAAAGGTTCGCATATGTTCGATCGACCGACACTGATAAAAATCGGAGTAAATTTACACACGCCAAAGTGTTAAACCCCGCCTCGGAATAAAGCATTCCCACAGAGGAGCGTGACAAATTAGATAATCAATACACCTAACCCTAAGTTATGAATTTATTGCCGACTTTACTTGAGTTCAACGTAACGCGTTACACGTTATCATTCTTTTTAGTTCAACTTGGATGCCGAATGCGATATCATTTTGCGGCAATTCACCGTGGCATCGAAATAACCAATAATTGAGTATGTAAATTTACATGGGCATCTTTATTAGTGTATAGTCTATGGCCGCGGTCGATCGCGATTACCCCACGACTCGCGCTCGGCCATTCACTCCCGCTCACTCTTTCTCTCTCTCTCTCTCTCTCTTATATCCACTTACACTCCCGCTCTCCCCTGTATAACTTGTATATAATTCGACTAGACACAGTTTGATTGTTACATTTGGCAATTCGGCAGCACTTGCGAGTTCAAGCTCCTTTTGCGGCTCGAGGGCGGCGGCTCCGCGCGGGGCGACCGGGTCGGGATTTTCCCAGGGTTCCCGATCGAAACCTAGAAGACCCTTCGAGAAGGTGGAAACCTCGAAGAGCCCCCAAAGGATCATCGGGGGTTCGAAGTCTCCCAGATAGACGGATATACTTCCTATTTACCTTCTATCAACGTCATATCGACTTAATATCGACGTTATATCACCTTTATATCGCGGTTCCCCGCAAGTCCCTATGATCATCACAGCTAGACACGTACGCGTCACACGTTGCAGTTATCTCATGTGACGCATCCCATGCCGCCATATTGGAATCGTGTCGACCTAATAAATCCTTAATTTTTAATCGCACGACATGAGTATAATATACTATCTATGCGTGCATACATAAACAGGATATTTAGCAGCACATAGCCGAAATTTCAACTTTTCTGCGATTTTTCTCGCATTCTCATCTCACAATGCAGATCACATGGAGTCAATATGCATAAATCAATGGGTATCGGCGATGATCACTCGCGTCTATCTGGGCCACCTCGGCGAGGCTCGTCGAAATAAAACGGGAATAACCTCTCTTTACGGCAGTGGGCTTATCGGGGCCGCTCGTCGGCGGGAAAAGGGGGGAGGGGAAATGGAAAAGTGAAATACGGTGGGCGGCACGCGCCCCGTATTTCCTCCAAGTCGACGCCAGGCGAGAGCGTCGCGTCGCCTTTTAAAAGGAGACGCCGTCGGCGAATATCGACTGGTCGTTAAATTCCCACGGAGAAAATAAGGCGCTTTATCTCCCCCTCGGGGTGGGGGAGGGAATGCCCCCCACCCCGCGCAAAGCCGCCGCCATGCCGGTGGTTGATCTTCCTCTTGTTTAGAGATAGTTAGAATTACAGTACATATGTTCTCTCTGCTTCAGTTATCGTTATAATATTATCCTCCACTGCTCGTGAATGTTTTTTTTCTTTTTTCATTATATAAATTTCATCTTTACGTAGACAACGTTATATATATATATATATTCCTGTTATTTCGACGCCCACTCTGACTCTCTCTCTCTTTCTCTCTCGCTCTCTCATTCCTTAGCATCTTATGTACACCTAGCTAGAGTACGCATTTTGTAAGATCTCACTAGAACGGTAGCTTTGTCGGGCCCTTCGGAGTCTGGCCGGTCGGACTGGGCCCGTATTTCTAAATTACGATAGAAAAAAACCGTCGGTCGGTCCGCAGACGCGGAAGAGAGAACGGACGCGTCCCGGCCTTCCGGAACTGAAGAGAGTCGGCGCGTCCCTGGCTACCTCCTTCAGGTGAATTCGGTTTTTTTTCCGGCTCCCATTGCGAATAATTAAGGTGGAATAATGAGCAAGGGACTCCCTCGGGATCGCCGAGCGACTTCGGACTCGCCTTTGCCTGAAAATATCCCCGAAACCCTCTAAACTCCTCTTCGCTTCCATGGCGTCCACCTTCGACCGCGCGGGACTCGAGCTCGGACATGGCGCGCTCCCTGCCGATTACTTCTCCTTTATTCCCCGATTAACGCGCGACCGGTGCCGGGGATTCTCATCTCGCCCTGCCGAGTCGTCCGACACGTCGACAGGGAGTCGCGGTAAGCCCCTAGATTTGCCGAATATCGACTTGGCGGCGTAGGAACTTTGGTCGCGGACAGAGGCCACCGGCGGAACCAAGATGGCCGCCGCCGCGCGTCGCCCCACCTCTCGCCAAGGGCGAAGGAAACGACGCTTTCTGCCCCGGGCGAGCGTAATTTCGCATGAAGGATTAACGAACGATCGATGCAGGGAACGGGCCGGCTCGGCCGGGCGAAAGAAACACGGCAAAACGAAGAAGAAAGAGCCCACGGTCCACGGCCGACCGCAGGCGGCCATCTTGGACGCCGCGGGAGGCGCAACATGGCGGCGGCCATTTACGAGGGGCACGCCACGCGCGTCGGAAACGCACACGAGGGCCGTCTGCGGCGCGATTTACAGCGTCGTTGGGGTGCTCGGCGATGTCGCCGACCGCGCGACATAACCTCGAAACGACCTGGCGCCTCGTATCCCCCGGCCCGGGGTTATAGACACGTACACACGCACATCCAAATTTTACAAGAGCTTTCACCACGGCCGGAGCACAAATAGAATTACCGGCCGCTCGTTTCGTTAGGTTAGGTGCGGCGCGGCCGACAAGCTCTCTCTTTCATTTTCTCTCTCTCTCTCTCTATCTCCCGGAATCGAGTCGCATCTACCGAGGACCGGCTCGTAATTATCCATACGCGGTAAATTATATATCGGGGCGTAATTAATTCCCGGAGACGAATCGATCACCGCGGCCGGTTCGGCCCAGGGGCGCCGCGACGCGCCCGTCCCGACGCCGACTTTGATTATCATCACGTACGTATAAAAATAATTGCCTATTTCGCGGGCGCGCACCGGCGACGGCCGAGCCGCGCAAGACGACGAGCGTCCTCTTCAGGGTGGAGGTGAGACGGTCGAGGTCGCTTCCGGCCGACGTCCAGAATCCGTCCAGGACTAGAAGAGCGTCTCCTGCGACCAGGCCGGAGGGGAAGTCTGCGGGGGGGCCGGCGGCCTGTGGCGCAGCTCGATCGGCGGGGAACACGGCGCGGACGTCCCGCTGCTCTGGCTGCTGCTCGTCGTAGACGCCACCGGGGACCTGCGGGAGACGGGACGCTTTGTCGTCACGAAAATCCACATTTTTCACTCACAAGGCGGGGCACAATACGGATCATTTTGAAAAACCGAGAGCGTTTCAAGATCGTAAAATATGAAAACATACGAATGGGATCGTAAAGAATATTTAGTGCCAATTTTGCACTTTTGCAATTTTTTTTTCGGCATTCCCATTCGTGATACTATTTCTCTACTGTCGCTCTCGATATAAGTACGTATAGTACACATCTAATTATAGTGTACACCCGGAAGTGGGAAAAAAAAATAAAATAATGCGGGACGAATATGAATTCGTATGGAGAATTTTTGAGGGAAAAAAATACAGGTCGAGTTTTTAATAGGCTGGATCAGGTGAGGATAAGAGCGAAGAGCGACGTCGGCGCTCACCTGGGCACCTCGACGGCGGCGCTGATCGTCAGGCAGGCCTGGCAGGGTCGCCCTGGGGGGGTGCCCCCTGCCCGCCGGCGAGGCACGCACCCCGCGCACCCGTCCCACCGCTCCAGGGCACGCCGCCTCTTCGGCGGCACCCTGAGGAACCTGCGGCAGCTCGGCCCGGGCACGTCCGAGTCCGTCGAGAAACCCGAGACCTCGTCCTCCGTGTCGAGGCCCTCGTCGTCGTCCAGGAACACGGAGTCCGAGCCCATCGACCTGGAGTCTGGCTCCGGGGGGTCCACGCTGCGCATGGACGCCAGGGGGGCCCTCCGTCCCGACGTCGCCGCCCCCGCGTACAGACCCGCCTCGCTTCCGCAGGGCGACAGGTCCGGCGTCGGCTGGATCACCTGTAATCAAGATTCCGATATTAGTATCAATTAACATCATGAGTGAAGAGGATGAGACCAAGGGACACCTGCGCACCTGGATGCCGATGGGGCAGTACTGGTCTCAAGGCTCATCGTACTCGGCATGCCGTTAAAATTGAAAAAAAAAAGAAAAAATTAAAAAACACATTCCGAACCTCCCTAAATTTATGGAACGACTCGATTAAACGAAACTGGGGATGAAATGAAAATCGCACCTGGATGTCTATGGGGTAGTACTGGTCCCAAGGCTCATCGTAATCAGCATGCCGTTAAAATTGAAAAAAAAAAAAGAAAAAATTAAAAACACATTCCGAACCTCCCTAAATTTATGGAACGACTCGATTAAACGAAACTGGGGGTGAAATGAAAATCGCACCTGGATGTCTATGGGGTAGTACTGGTCCCAAGGCTCATCGTAATCAGCATGCCGTTAAAATTGAAAAAAAATTAAAAAACACATTCCGAACCTCCCTAAATTTATGGAACGACTCGATTAAACGAAACTGGGGATGAAATGAAAATCGCACCTGGATGTCTATGGGGTAGTACAGGTCCCAGGGCTCGTCGTAGGCGGCGTGCCGGGGGAAGGAGGGCGGCGGCGGAAGGCACGGCATGACCACGGCGGAGCCTCTTCTCTCGAGGTAGCTGCTCGCGGTGCTGCTGCAGGTGACGGAGCTGCACCTCCTGTGGTCGGCAGGGGGTGCCAATCTGGGCTGCCTCGTCGGGGGGGTCAGTAGGGCGTCGTAGCCCCCGCCGACCGAGGCGAAGCGAGGCGCCACCACCGGCGAGTGCGACTGGTTCACCTGGAAATTCACCTGCGGAGTCAGGACCTGCTCCATTTCATTTCCCCTCCTCCTTTGTGTTCACCGACCTCCACGCAGAGAGACCTCCTGGGTCCTCGGGCAGGTCTCGGCGGCATCCTGGCGATCGCCTCCAGGGCGGCGGCCAGCGCCCGCTCCTCGGCCTCCGCTTCGGCGACCGCCGCCTCGGCGGCCGCCGTCAGTCGAGGGTCATCCAGCTGCTTGTTCGCCTTGCACCTGCGAATTAAATCGTACTCCATTTACTAATACTCTGCGTACTTCATCATTAGAATTTTTTAACTACTCCCGCATTCTGAATTAGACAATACCTGCATAATTTTCAATTCTCTTCCATTTCTCATTTCTAAATTTTTCAAAATTCATTTCCTCGTTCCCCCCTTCATTTTGCAATCTCAAATCCAGGCACAATTGTCTGGTACTCTCCAGACTTATATTCATATTTAATAATCCCCCGTCGAGTCAAGGTATCAATTTTTTCCACTCTCGGTATTAATTTCTAATTCTTAAACCTTACAATAATTATGGAGAGCGCATTCGTGGTGCACCCGAAAATGAATACCCAATTTTGGCACCTTGAATTTACCTGCTCTTGTAGACCACCAGGAGGACCATGATGCCGAAGAAGCCGCCCAGGGTCGCGGCGATCCTGACGCCGGTCATGACGTCGTACGTCTTGTAGAATTCGATTTTGAGCTGTTCCCGCTCGCTGAGGGTCGGCGTCGCTTCCGGCGCGGTCGAAGACGTCGGCGTCCCGGCGGTTCCGGTGGCGTTGCTGCCGACACTCCCCATTCCTGTCAACAGAAGCGAAAGGTGAAAGGTCCGAGAAATCGAGAAGGCGAAAGTCGCCCGGAAGCGAGGGGGAGAAAAGAAAAAGAGAGAAGAAATAAAGTAGAGTCCGGAGAAAGCTTGGAAAAGTGGAAACCCGATTTCCCGGAGAATCGGCGGAGAAGGGAGGAGGCTACGAGGGGTATATCCTGGTTTCAAAGAGCCGTGGCTTCCGGGGGGAGGTCCCCCCGGGAGTGGGGGGCAAACCAGGGGGCCGAGAGGCCGACTCAGGGCTAGGAGAAGGTTGGAGGTGTTCGCGTATTGATTCCACCTCGCAGAGCCTACCGGAGTCGAGCCCAGCATCCGCTGGGCCAAGGTTCAGGGTGGACGATGAGAGGACTTCTTCAGGGTCGCGGCCCCCCTTTTGCGTGAAGACGAAGAGACGAGGGTGGAAAAGGCGAACAAGGGGCTGGAGATCGAAATCTCTCGAGGGTTATCAAGGGGAACGGGACCTCGATGAGATCCTCCAGAGATCGCGGTCTACCGATGCACCAGGTGCAGCTTTAACGAGGTGGTTAGGATATCGATTCCGGCCATGTTCCCCTGGCGAACCCACCTCGGCGCCTCCACCCCGAAGAAGAGCGCCGGATTTCCGAGCAACGCGTTTCCGCCTCGCCCCCTCGTCCGCTCGGATTTCTGCATAAATCTCCCCGGAAACGCGGAAAGTCGATCCGACAGCCCGAAATGGGCATCCTCCTCCCCCACCCACGGGGGGATTCCACCCTCGCACGAAGTGCAAGTTCCCTCTCGATTCGCAGGCGATCCCACCTCCGAGCGGGAAGCTGGGCGACACCTCGAAGAGGGTCCCAACGCCTTTCCGGTCGACGAGCTACCTGTGGATCCGGCTACGGATTTGCATGAATTGTCGCCGAGATTTGGATATGCGGAGGATAGCGGCGCTCTTCAGGGTCGGGACCAACTCTGGCCATTACCACCTGGTATCGTTCCGCGTGTTTCTAAACATAAATGGAAATGCCGGGAGTATGGCCCGTGCAAGAAAATCAGTCTTCGGGGTCATCTTCAGGTCGGGATATTTAATGATACCACGTGGCGACCTTCTGACACGCACATGATCGCCATGGGGGAGCCGACGCGACATCTCGCGACACCTTGGGGAAAGAGGGTCGACCTCGGTCCCCCTCGTCGGCGCTCCTGGAAACGGATCGACTACCTGTGGATGTTCCTCCGCGAGTCCCGGCTTCCCGGCAGGACGTCGCGGGGCATTACTCGCCGGAGGATAAATGGGGGCGCGTCGACTCGCTGCCACCCGGGAAACTTATCGTCCCGGCTCCTCCGGAGGGTTTCGCATTTATTTATTCACCGGGGCCGAGACGTCCGAATCGCGCGGCCACCCAGGAGACGTCGGGAACACTCGCGAGGTCGTACTCTTCAGGGTCCCCGAGGTCGAGGTCGATATTTCAGGCGAGCTTCTTCTGCGGTTATGAGCGCGCCCTTCGGCCTCTTCCTCCTAGGAGGTGGACGAGAAATCCAGGTTCACGATCCCGATGAAACTTCACGGTCTAATAGTGTTCACGATCGAGGGATCTCCGTGGCCCACGATCATGGCCGACAGGTGTTCACGATCACAAGAGGTGTCGACGATCCCGAGGGTGCATACCTAACTCGCGTGACCAGATCCTGACGAGGAGGTTCCTCGGTTCCCGTCAAACACAAGGGAGCTGGAAAAGGAATCGAATCGATAACCCGCCGACCTCACCTGGCAACCTGTAACCCCTCGCGTGGCCTGGCAACGCGAAGAACCGCCAGGAAACCGCTGATCCCTCCACCATGATCGACGCCAAGACCTTCCCCATAGTAATATGCCCCCTCCGCCCTTCAATTATTTCCCGCCCACCTGGGGCGGAAAGGTCGCGGTCTGACCCGAAGGACCGTAAACGCGAGACAAGCCCAACCAGCGAAATGGCGCCTCCACCCACAACGAGGCATAAATGCCGAAGAAGACCCTGACGTCCCCGCCATTCAGGGGGCATTTAACCCCCGTCAGTTTCAACCCTATAAGCCCTGGAAATTCAAGCTCCTCTTAAAACCACACTAATATCCTTTCCCCATATAAAAAAGTGACGATCAGCTGATCGCAACCTGCCCTACGTTCAAGGGATTCCCTCAAGCTCTCTTCGAGATCAATTTCTATATATGAATTTTTTATCCGCCCCGTACACACTGCGTTACATATTTATCGGGCATATATTAATATTATCGGTATTAAGTATATATGTGGCAACTTATAAAAATATCTTCCCACAATTTGCCCATAGCAAGGTATATCCAGAGAAGGCATTAGCGTCATCCCCTGTACTCTTCTACCGTGACGGAGTCTCCTGGAGTAAGAGACCCCCTGCAGAGCCCGCCTTCCCATGGGACCCCCCATGGACCAAGTAGATCCATCTCTCGTTTCGACGTCGCTCACCTACTTTTCGGCGAACGCCCCTGAGAGGAGTCACCCCTTCGCTCGTTAATTCGGGTCGATGGATATTTACTGCCGCGAGTTCGATCTCCGGCCACCCCCCTCCCCCTCCCCCCCGGCACCTGGGGGGCATGCGCCCCGAGGTCGCCCCCGAAACTCCGGGGACCGTTCCAAGGAATTTTTTCCCGAGACTTCAGTTAAACCCATCCCCTAAAAAGATATATACTCCAACCCTACATTTTCATCTCACGTGGCATGCTAATGATATGTCTCTTTTTTAACGCTAATTCGATGTTGCCGAATTAAATCGACTGATGAGTTTCCGAATAAACGTACGACCTGTCAACCTCGAGTTATTCCGCGGGGTAATGAATAAAATTACGTACCGTAACACGTGTTACGAGTTCCTGATAACGTGATATCACATCATACGACGTGACTAATTAATTCATATTTAAGACCCGAGATATAGAATTTTAATACAACTTGATTAAATGTCAATCCACGAATCGAATGTTACGTGTACTAAATGACAATCTATGAATCCAATGTTTATGTATGAAATGTCAGTCCGTGATGTGGATCTATACTTTTGGAATTGTCAGCCCCTCGGGTGGAGGGGTGCCACCTGTCCCCTCCCCCAGGAGGAAAGGCCCCGTTTTCCGGCCGACTCGGGAACCCGGCGATCGATAGGCTTCCCCGGGGGCGGCCCTTGATTCCGCACCTGCCGAAAAGCAGGTGCGGATGCGTTTTCCTCGGAGACGTCCCCGAGGTCGCGAGGCCGCGCGCGGTCGTTGGCCGAGAGGCACCAGGGGCTGGCAGGTGCCGCAGGGGGTGCAGGGGTGGTTGGGCTGGTAGGGGAGGTTAGGTATCGATTCCATCCCGCTCGGCGAGAGGAGCCCCTGCCTCCGGCCTCCGCCGACCCCCCGCGAACCACGCACTCCGGGTCACCGGGTCAAAGCTCACGGCCGCGAGGGCTGTTGCTTCCCCCGGCCTCGGGATCGGCGATCGCGGCTCTCTCCAGGGTCTAGGCACCCCACGAGGTCGGAATTTAATTTGCTCCCTCTTCTTGGGGACCCACCCTCGAGGGGCGAGGGTTGAGAAAATTCGATTTCGCGGAGACGGGCGAAACTGAGATCGAGATCTGGACCATAATTGCGAGAAGAAGACTGGACCGATACCCTGAGCAAAGAAAAAAAAAGTGCATTGAACCTAAGAAATTTAAATTTAACTCCAAGAATAATTACTTCACCCTAATCAATTGTCACAATTCCGATAACAAAACGTTCCATCCCATTTATTCCAATTTATTTAAAATAAATAATTATTCTCCGAATTGACGGGATATTTCTTTCGTTCAAAGGCACTTCTTTTTTTTTTCTCAGGGTAAGACTCGACTTATTGGTGTATAAAAATTGATAAATGCTCTCAGCGAAGTGACAACCCTTTCTCGGAGTCAAGCGTTCATGGGGACATACGCGAGAGAAGGTCGAGGCTCGCCAGGTTCCTTGGAGTTCACTTCCCTCTTCCGGGAGTATTTCGCGAGACCGGGGTAAAATTCCCCTTTACGAGACGCATCTCCCCCCCTCAAGTCCCGCCAGCATCCGAGGAAAAGGAGAAAACTTGTCCGCGTTAAAATTGAATCCCTCCTGCCCCGGGCAAACGGAAACCTCCCGTTGTACGCGTAACTTCGGCCGTAATGAAACACCGAATAACTTCCGGCCCCCCCTGGAGGAGGTTTTCGCCGAGAAGTTTCCCTCCAAGTGGGGCCGAATTAGGGCGCGAAAGCGAGCCAGCAACGGCCCCCCCGGGAGGGCAGGGGGGCGGGGGCAAAGGCGCCTGGAAATCGGACGAGGAGATAATTTCGCTAATTAGTGGGGAAGTTTACGGGTCAATCTGTAACCTATTGGGATAATCTCGACTCCCGGGTCCGGGAGGCACCCCAAAGAACATCCCGAAGAGAGCACCCTGAAGAGCGGCGACCGGCGACCCGGCAGTTCTGACGTCATAGCGTCTCATAAATAATAAAACATGGCCGACCTCTCGACCCGGAGCGTCGGGCCGCCGCGCGCTTGATGGCGGGGTCCTGAAGAAGGATGCGAAACCCTGAAGAGGGATGAGGATCCTGAAAAGAGGAGGCTCCCGAAGGAACGCGGACCCTGGAAAAATGAGGATCTTTAAGGGATGCGAACCCTGGAGAAGGAAGAGGGAAATTTCATTTTTTTATCAACTATTTTTAATATACCTATAAACAAATTTTAAAAGAATTGAAATTTCATGAGCTCCAGGACCTTCCTTACAGTCTCCCTACTCACGTTTAAAAGTTTCACATTATTCGGTAAATCGAGTTGGGAGATAAGTTTTATAAACTAAACCTCTTCGACGCCACTTTCGCATCACCTTAACTTTTTCGCTACGACGGGTGACTGTAGTCACCGTACGTTTGGTCGAATATTGCCTGCACGGTCAGACGAATTTCGCCCATATGTCGAACGGGCTCCGGCGTTCAAAGGGTTAAGAAGACATTCGGAGAGAGGTGAT